CAATTGTGTTCTATTTTTCTTTTTGGTTTGAAGCCGCAATCTTTGAGTATCCTGCAACGTTGCGCTCGTTGAGAACCCTCCGTTTGGCCTCTTTTTGGATTTGTTCCTCCACAAAAAGATACGCCTCCGTAAAGCCCGGTAGCATCTCCACTTACGAAAGTCAACTGCGAGAAAGTTGGTGTCTTTTCAAGGTCGGGGGCAATTGCCTCCGGCTGGCGACTCAAAACCCTGCGAATCACTGATCTGCTGTCATCATCGTCACCCTCCTTGAGAAAGAAAGATCCTGATGGTGACAGATATGCTGCGGGAGTCAAGAGCACCACTTCAGGCATTACAATGATGCTCGGCGTTTGTCTTCTATTCCTTCGCATTGCTCTACCATAGTCTTCTGGAAGTTACAGGCTATTAGTAGCTATTAATAGTAATGTCATCCAGTTTGCGGCATCAGAGTTGGGAGGGAGGAGCCTCAAACACGACGTTACAAGTCAAAGCTAAGGGTCCAGAAGTTCTCGCACGGGTTTTCCCTCCAGTAATACTTACGGGTGATGGAAGACTCAGAGAACGTACACTATCAAAGTAGCCAGACCGCTAGATCCTAGAATAACGTTTACTGCGCCGCAGTCTAGCTCGCTCACTGCTACCTAGCTAGGTCGAGATCTTCTGAAGCTGGATGTTCGCTCAAGGGCCGACTTGGATGAAGGATGAAACGTCCTTGGCAAGCAAGTGGCGTCGACTAAGATGAGGCAAGCTGCTTCGCTATGAGTTTCCACCTGTAGTGCTTTACTTCTCCATGTGTAAGCAAGAAGTCTTCGTTCACACCCCTTGACAGTCTGTTGGTTTCCACTTTCATTATCGAATCCAGCTCTCAAGACATGGACGAGCATTTTTGTATGTTGTAGGAACACTCATCGTGCAGGTGCGTGCAGCCTGTTGTTTGCTTGCGCCCTGAACCTTCCAGTTCCAACGATGCGGCGTGTGTGTGTGACTGCCAATAACTCTCTTGTCCTGCGCTGATCAAAATGAGCTGCATCATGGTGGTGATCACGATTGCTTTGTCTCTTTTGTTTCCTCCTCACTGATGACAGGCGAGGAATATATTGGAGCCGCCCTTCGACCCGGCACAATACTGGGAATGACCGTTCGTTCAATGGCATCCCCTCGATCGAGTAGATTGAGCACGTGCGATATCATGGGATGTCCCTGTTCTCCATGCACCATGTCCGCAAACTCGTCGTACGGCACCCATGCCGTGGCGGCAATCTCGGCTTCTTGTGGCACGGGTTCGGGAATGATCACAGTACCATCCACATCTTCTTGTTCGATCGGATCCAATCGGCAAACGAAATAGATATCGGATCGTCCATTGGCTAGGCCGTGCGTATGTCGGAAACAAAGAACATTCCGAAAAGTGGTTTGAATTCCCGTTTCTTCCAAGACTTCTCGCACGGCGGCTTGATCAATGTGTTCTCCCAAATGCGACAATCCACCGGGAATCTTCCAGGGAAGAAAATTTTTGCCCTGTTCTCGGACGCACAAAATTTCGTCGCGACTGTTGATTACAATGCCGCCCACCCCAATGTGATGCGTGGCGAATTCGGGCACCAATGATGATTCCTGTCGTAGCCACAGATTCAATACGGCATGATCCCCTTGGGCATGATGGAATTGGAATCCCTGGTCGGCCATGTCGGTTATCAACGACGACCTGGAGATGTGTATATTGACCCAGACACTGGATTTTTCCATTTGACGCAGTGTTTGTACGGTGGAATGGAGGCGGTTTGGAAACGTGGCGGGTTCAAACTCGTCTTGGTCGTCTGTGTGCTGGGGGATGGTAATCCGGACCGAATTGTGGGACCAGTCTTCAAAGGGCAACAGATATTGCCAGTCATCTTCATTGTTGTCATTGTCATTCATGCTTTCTGTGTCTTTTATATCACCACTGCTATTTGACATCCATCGCGGCGACATACTCCTCGTTGCAAAATGATTAGGTCGTCGAGTCCGACTACATGACCATATTGGTTCTACATGTACCGTCGCCAGAGACATGACTGACACAGGCGACAGTAAGGAAGCCAGGGCCGTCAGAGACAAGGTCCCTCTGCCTAAACAACTCGGATGTCGCCTTGTCATGACTAGTATTAACCTGCTGTCCACACCTTTTCTCAACAGCATCCTCATGTTCAGAATCTGATGATTGTGGTGGAGTGTTGTTGTTGGTGGGAGGGTTTTGTTTTTACGTTGTTGTTTTGGCATTCGGGGCGAGAGAGGCTGACGTCAGAAAAATGATGTAGACTACCAGTACCGGTACCAGGTACTAGCTAGTACCTTTTACCGTTACTACCTTTACCGGTACCTTTACCGCTAGTAAGACGCACACTTTTCCTATTTTGACAATCCGAATGTTGGACAAAAAAATCCGAAGGCGAACCTTCTCAAACCACCACCAACGACCAACGACATCTTGTGCGGGTTGACCAAGAAGGCCCACATTATTCCAATGCTCTCGGTCCTTCCAGCGAGGTAGCTAGCTATTCTGTACCGGTACCAATAATATAAGTAGATCCACCAACCACCATGACAATCCTTCAGAGTGCAGAGAACCGACAAGCCAATGGAGAAGAAATCCAGACGGACCTCGTCTCCAAACGCCAAGACAACGACAACACATCCGAAAAACAAGCCGTGGATGGGGAAAACCAAGCCAGCAGCACCCAACAAACCAATGCTACCTCCTTTGTACGCTCGGGTGTAAAGGAAGAAATTGCCAAACAAGTAGTCCGAAAGAAACTTGCCAAACTGCGACATTTGATATTGGAAAAAGCCATTAGCCCGGAATACCTCGATTCGCTATTTCCTCCATTGCTACAACTCTTCCATCCCCAACCGGTCGTCTACAATGGTGGCATTGCCAATGTCCGGAATTGGAAAATATCCTGCTATTTGGAAGTCATGGATGGAGGAGTCCCGACCACGGATCCCAATGTGGAATTGTTGGAATTATTCCATCCGCTGTTGGACCAGTGCGATGATCTATTCCTCTATTGGTTTCGACAAAAGAGATCCTGCAACACGGGGAGTGTCAAGGACAAAGAAATCAAGTGTCGCCGATTAATGACATTTATCACACGGTATACACCCGCGCCTGGGGAGCAGGCGTTGTTAAAGGTGTGTACAATACAGTACGATATGACTGTACTGTGGGGATTGTTGGTTTGTTCTGATTGATGGGAGTTTTAACCCACCCATTTTTGTTTTGCCCTCCTCTCAATTCATCATCAGCATGTCGATGGATCTGGCAAAGTCGACGGATCCGTCGTTGTGGCGCTGCCGATTGATAGATGGTCTGCTCCCGAAAGTGAAAACAGTTTTGTCGGTCATGGTGGCGTAAGTTGCTGCTAGTTTTGGTTGTATCACTCTGTATGTGCTATCCATGATTGTAATGCACTAATGCAATTCCAACTACCAAACTGTCTCATTATTTTTATAGGGGCTCACTTTCTGGGATGGTCGCAATCGAGAGACTGGAAAACCCAATGAAATTCACTATGAAACGCGATCTGGAGATATCGCATTTATTGATAGGTGGGTTGACTGACTATACCATTGGTAGCACTATGATAGTGCTACGGTACCAATGGCATGCTTGCTTGGCTGGGTCAATTCGTTCACCAAACCTCAATGCTTTTTGTTCCTTCGTGCATCTTTTTTTGTTGGCAGGGCTGTTTGGCATCAGGCAGATCCCATCACAAAAGGTACCCGATGGGCACTCGTCATCTTTTATAAAGTGTATTAGTTTTAGCTAGATTAGTAGCCCTCCTCGGGGCCTTTCCTGGGTGCCGAGTGGATCATCCAAGAGCGGAGATAGATCGTCACCTTACTTTGTTGGCGATTGGCAAGACCTGTAGAAAAATGCAGGACAAGTATAGAATAGGACGAGTACAGTAATAGTAGATGTTGTGTTGCAATTGTTTGATGGACGCATTAGACTGTCAGGGACCAAATCTGCATTGGAGTTCTCGTGGCAAGGTGCTACCAATGAGGCGCCTGCTAGCGGAACATGTACCTGGTACCGGTACCTGCGACGAGCCCCGATGGAGCTCCAAGCCTCGCATCGAAGGGCGCGTTTGTTGCGCTCAGAAGCGGTGAGACCTGATGGGAAGCTTTGTTTTGTTTTCAGCTTGGCTGGATTAATTAAACGACTCCCGCAAGCAAATTTTTGTTTTGGTCCATCGTTCAGAAGCATTGCTTTCGCTCCTGCACTCCAGTAGCTCCAAATTCAATTCATCTTGGGCTGCATCCTTGCCTCACTTCGTTCGTTGCATTCAATTGTTCCAGATCAAAAGAAGATGCGAAAGATTTGTGGCGCCATCGTTCTTGCGGCCTTTTGGGCAATGGCGTGTGTGAAGTACGACGTGACCTTTGCACAATGGATTAGCGGAACATACTACATGGACACGGCCAAGAGTCAAACTGGAAGAAAGACTCACTTGGTTGATTTTCAAACAAGGGCACAAATGCAAGCCTCGAACTCGACGGGCTTTCACCGACGAGACTGTCACACAGAATGCCAGTACATGTTTGCGGAAAGAATGGGTTATGCCACCATGGTCACCCACTCTATCGGAGACTGGGACACATGTCGATGCGGAAAGATCTTTTGCCAAGGGAACATCACAGAAAATCACAGCTCTGAAGAGGATGTACTATCAAGCTGTTCATGGTCACCGGCTGCTATCAATACTCTCGTGGAGTTGGTGCAACGGGAGGATATCTGCACACCTAGTCACGTCCAGGACTTTTATCTCCCCGAAGAATGGGAAAAATATCAGTTCGGCGACTTTTTCAGAGAGCAAGCACAGTGGAGAGGAGACGATTGGCATACACAACATAGAAAGGAAGACAGCTTTATCGAGGCATACTACCAAAAAGCAATCAAGAGTGGTACACGCGGCAACAACTATGATCTTTTGCACCAAGTGGTCAAGGAGAAGCTCAGAAACATGACTAAGGCTGTCAATGGTCCCAACAAGGACGTGCTGCCGAAACCCCGTACAATGGTGGTACATTTGCGTATTGGGGATGTTGTAGACTTGGACCCGCACACTGTCCAAGAACTACTCGAAACCCAGCGGTATTTCTACAGGTTCAACAAGGGGGGAATTTGTTGCGCCATGCCATGGCAACAACCAGATTGGGACCCGATCGAAGAAGACTTCAATGCGTATGTTCGGCCTCTTTCTTACTACAAAGAGGCGTTGCTGACAAATCAATCAACAAGCTTCGATCATGTAGTCTTGATGGGAGCTGTCCACAAAGGGCAGGTGGGGGTCCGTGCGTATTATGCCACCAAGAGTTGCATCTACACTACAACCATTCAACGATATATTCAGAAAGTATGGCCTCAAGCCGAAGTCACCTTGCGGCTGGCACAGCATCCGGATGAAGACTTGGTCTTTGCTTCCCACTCAAAGAAGCTTGTCACGTCCGGAGGTGGTTACTCAAAGATTATCAGCAGGCTTCAGGAAAAGGTCATGGAGGAAACGTGAGAGGTGAAATGAGCCGATTCTGTTTGGCTCCGTACCGTCTACTAGTACATCTTAGGCTAGAAAACAGCATGATCTAGAAACATGTTTTCAAAAAGTCAAAACTCGAAGACACTCTTGCAGCCTTTGATAATGGTGCTTCTTGAATCACTGAATCAAATCGCAGCATCAAACCTTATCAAGCTTCCCTTTCCTTGGGTCAACTATTCCATAGCTACAGAACATGAACGATTGCTGCTCTAGCTAGAGCAGGTTCCATTTTATGGTTATTCGACCTGCGGAAAACTTGAGGGGTGAAAGCATGATAATTGTTGACGCGAAGAGCTAACTAGGCAGCATAATCTCATGACTTCTGCTTCCGTTTCGCCTCGGCTTGGCGAGCCACGGCCAATCGTTGGGCCTCAGCAGCGTCATGCGCCCACAGGAGCTTCTGGACTGCCTCCTCAGTGGCCCGCTCTTGGGCTGCCTCAGCTGCCCGGAGGGCAGCCGTCTGCTGTCGCTCCGCACTGGCCGCCTCCTCGCTCTTTCTTGGGCAGCCAATAAGGCGATCTTCTTGGCCCTCTCCACCTCATCAAGTACAGCTTCGCGAGTGGGCGTGGTCTTGCGGGCGGGGGCCTTCTGCTCCGCCAATGGAGTATCGTAGGACCCGCCTGACTGGCTAGAGAAAGTTCCTGTGAGGCCGGGAGCTTCTTCTTCTCCAAAGGAGATTGACCCGCCGCGTCCCTTCAAGCCTCCACCGGAGAAGGCCCGCTTGGCATCGGGAGGCCCCATGCTTCTGGTGTCCACCTTGAGGCTGGGGGGCGCTCGGTGGGTTCTTCCAGAAGGGCTGCATCGTCGGCCGAACGTTCTTTGGCTCGCAGCGTGGCCATATCCTGCTCGGGGGAGAGAGCAGTTGAGTGGATCCTGTCAAAGTACTTGCTGCGTCGGATCACTCCTTCGAAGTAGTATCCTATCTGGTTCGAACGGGTGGCCCCTTTGTGTCCTCCTCAGTTACAGTCGGTACCACGATCGCTGAAACAGATGTAGATAGTGCCTTTCATGAGGAAACGAGCCAGACACATGGGCTCGGTGCACACTACTCGCCCGGTGTGCAATACCTCCCCATCCTCCATGCCGGATCCCTGGGAAGCCCGGCTATGGGAGTCTACGCTGTGGTCATCAGCCTCCAAATCCATGTTTAAGCGTATCTGCGAGGCAGGGTCGAGCAAGTGAGGAATACGATGTCGGGCAGCGATACTTTTTCAGGTTGCGGTCGTCTAACACTAATTACCCCCAGTCAAAAAGGAAAATTGGTGTTGGGGGCGGCTGCAACTCTGGTTTAGACACCGCCCAGTCTACGGAGGAAGTCCGTCGATGGGAAACCCCGGAACCCGCCAACAGCCGGGTGGTGAGCAACCTGTCTGGGTTGCCCACTGTGCTAGCTGGCCGGGGACCCCTCCACCAAAGACAAAGACACCATCTACAACATCCCCATCACGGAAGGAACTGCTCGTGGCAAGGTGGTATGTGTACGACTGTAGAGCTTAGTTAGGATTAGGATAGAGATGAATGAGGACTCTCAATGATGACACGGCAAAAGATCCGTGCCACGATCTTGATTTTGGCTGAAATTTTTTTGGGGGATTAGGGGTAACCCAACAGATTGTCACGTGCAAAACAGTAATCCATCCCAGGATTGAACTGGGGACCTTCTCGGTGTAAACGAGACGTCATAGCCACTAGACCAATAGATCACTTCTAGTTACGGAATAAAAATAGATTTACAACCTTGGGATTTGTATTCTGAACAAAAATCGGCGAAGATGAGCTTGAAACTTGCAAAAAGGGAAAGCGACGCGACGGTGCGACGATGGCCGCTCATGTCAGTAGCACCGAGCATTTATTTTTGTGAGACCGAATCGAGATGAGCGCCCCGAGAGATGTTGCCTTGTGAGGGATACTTCTATTATCTAGCTACCGGTAGTATCGGGTAGAGCCAAAGAAGAAATGGAGGCGGGAACTGCTGTCGATGATAACGATGGCAGTGATTGCCATGTTGCTCACAAGACCAGTGAAGACGAGGAGAGAGCAAAATACGCCAATGGCATTGAATATGCTATGAGGGATCAACCTTCTTGGATTGCCGAGTTAGAGGATCCCTTCATGTTCATGGTGCCCACCATGTTTCCGTACTATGAACCAACAGGATACAGTGTGGCATTCCGCCGTCTCAGTGGAAGCACAATAGCTACTTCAATGGCATCTGAAAGTGTGAGCGCACAGGAGCTAATGGCTTACCGATTGCAGAAGATGCATATTCGGAAACTCTTGGGGCGGGTCCATGAGTGGCAGTTGCAGTGCAGGAGACCAAGCGTCTTCCAAAGGTGTCTTTTTGGCAACGGCGGACTGGTGGTACAGAAAGAATGACATGCAAGAAGAAGAACTCCAGCGTCGTGAAAATGAAACGAAAATGCTTCAGGAACAACTTTCCGCTTCCTCTGGCGTGGACGCGGACTCTCTCAAGGCTCGCGATCTTCTGTATCAAAGAATGACAACTATTGCACTTGAAATGGAACAGCTTGATTGAGATTCTGCCGAGAAGGCTTTGACCGAACGCCTCTCGATTCTCCATCAACTTGTAAAGGGAAACAGTGAAACCTCATCAGCAACACCAGGAGCACAGAGACTCGAATCGCTGGCAATGGTATATCAACTGCTTGGCGATTGCAAAAACGATACAGGAAACTTTGACGATGCAATTCACCACTACCCAAAAGCTTTCAGCCTTTGGGAAGATCTCTATGGCTCTATCCATCCCCGCTTGGCAGACTGCCTGTATAGTATGGGCCGGACAAAGTTCAATGCGGGATATGAATCAAGGGCGCTGAAGTTCCTAGAACGAGCCAGAGTCATGCAAATGGCCACCCTGCAGGCGGAAAATATAAACAGGAAGGGAATGGGAGATGTCATGTTTCTGGTTGGATGTTCCCATTTGCAAACCATGACCTTGAGGATGCTCAGTCTCCACTCCAACAAGAGTCGCTGACAATCAGGAAACAACTGGAAATGGATGATACCAACAATCAACTAGCACTGCAAAAAGATGCTGTGGATACTTTAGTTGCCTTGGGCGATTCGTACAGCTGGATGAGACAAGACGACAACTATGCGACGGCCTTGAGACATTACAAAGAAGCCGTGGATATCCTAGAAGCTGAGCTGGATGATGACAATGACGATCACCTTGTCGACTCTCTGATGTCAATTGGAGACTTGCATTGCAGCTGCGGCAACATTGATGAGGCAATGTCCTGCTATTTGAGAGGTATTGTAGCGTTCGTGTGTACGCATCTCATGTCTATTTCTTTGCGCTGATGCCGTTTGCTGCATTGTCCTTGTTCACAATAGTCACCGCTTTGAGTCCATCCTGCTGGAATGGTCATGTCCTCTTGCGAATAGCTATTCTGGACTTTGGTAATCTAGAATTCACCTCGGCTCTTGGTTGGTTCAAAGAGTTTGTGGAACTTCGACAAGAAAGAGGCTCAGTAGACGACTTGGACTACTTTATTGGAATGCTTTCTCTTGGAGTATGCCATGCCTTGGAAGAGAATCAGACACAAGCACAACGCTGTTTCAACCAGGCGCTCCAAACGGCTCGGGAAAATCACTTACTGGAGTTGAACCCTGAATATGAACCTGCAGTTCGTAAGTCCAGAGTCAAAGCCAAACATCAAACGAAGCAGAGAAAATTCTCGTTTGGAAAAGTTTTTGGGATGCTGAAACGAAGCAAGCACAAGGAAAAGCAGGGTACCGGTAGCGGTATGGGGGTCATAGAGGAATACGACAACAAACAGGAATAGAAAGTTCTCTTTGAAGTCCATGTATTGTACTGTCCAGGCATACTGATGAGTCACCGGTTTGGGCTAAGTGGCATCTGTGTGCGTGTTTCCCCTTTATAACAGCTTGAGGAGCCTTGCATAGACGAAGATTGCTGCGAAGGGGCAGTTTCTCTGCCCGCGGTGACCGTTCTTCTACCTTGCTACAGCGGCTACTACCATGTTTTGGCTGCGGTATTGGGTTTGGCTTCAACGGGTTTGGTTCAGATTGAATGATTCCATTGGACGCCCTTCTGCACCTCTGGGGCCCGCACCTCGGCGGCAACAATTCTGCACCTCGGTGGCAACTGCATTCTAGCTAAGGTGCACACCTCGGGGGCAAAGATTCTGCACCTCCAGGGTGCGCATCATCTCGGTGGCAACTGCACCTCCAGGGTGCGCCCTCGGGGGCACAGATTCTGCAGCTCTGGGGCGCTCAATTCCTAACAAGTTTCCGTACCGAAGAGACCCAAGACAGTTGCCTCTTGTGCTCTCAAATTTGGGGTAGCTGGGGTGGTTCCTTTCCTCTGGGCAGACATGCTGAGTTGCCGTTCGTGGGAGTTGCATATCTGGTTATATTTTGGTCTCTGGGGCAACTTGCGGAGCCTTCCATAGCGTAGGTCCTTCTCAACTGGTTGCTTCTGCTGCGAGCATCAGCAGACAATCGCCTCTGAGGCCAGTTCCCTCAATCTTTTCTAGAGAGACAAACTAGGACTATGCATTCTGAAAGGATGCGGTTGCAGGTAAAGGTAAACTTTGTTTTGGTAAAGTACAATCTCTATAATGTTGTGGTGGATGTTAGCTCTATGCAGCTCCATAAGTAAGTAGTAAATCAAATAACCCAGATCAAAGAGTCATGTCCAGTTGAGAAAAGACAACCTTGGAAAAGTCACCTGATGTCATGGCTTGATTTCTTTGGCGTCGATGGCTCCTTTTGGGTGCTGCTGGACTTCTTGGTGCCGAGGGAGGGGATCTCCTGGTACTGCAGGTTCGGTCTGACAAGTTCATGCTCATGTTGAATTGGTCCATCAGTGATGACATGGAGCCACAGAGAGATCGTTCCGAAGAATCGTCCAAGTCGATAACCTTCATTGCTGGCAAATAGTTGTTGGCGTTCTCGTCTTCTTCTTCATCGCTGAATTGTAATTGATCTTGTGCAAATGACATTCTGCTGTTGTTCTGCATGGCTTCAAAGACCAATTCTGTAATGGGAAAGCTGTTCCTTTGCGTGGGCTTGGAGGCAAGTTCTTGGAAAGCTGGGAAATCGTTGGTGGCGGTTGCAACACACATGCTATTATTATAATAAGTGTTCTTTGTTGGTTTGGTTTGGAATCTCAGTTTGATGCTTGGAGCTTTGTGAGAAAGTCGAGGGTCGCTTTTGGCGTCAATGGCTGAAATTGGGCTGCCGTTCTTGGTTGTTCTTTTGTATTTATTTTGTGTCACAGAAGCTTTGCGGCAATGCAGATCCCAGACGCTCCCGCACTTCGCGCTTGACTGATGAGTCACTCTGCTGACCGCTTGAGCACGAATAAGGTCAGGATTGGAGGTGCGAGAGATCTTTGTGCGTTGATAGCGGTACCATCGACACCGCCACGAGCCAGTAATCCGTGCATAATCCCAACAGCTTCCCATGAATACATAAGATTCAAGGTGATTTAAAAGTCAATTGTACTACTGAAGTAGGTGAGAAATGCTCTAATCCTCTAGATTCCTTATGGCTTATTAGGCAATCTTGGAGAGTCTGTTTCGCTTTTAAATACGTTTAGAAACCGTGACATTGACTTGCTAAGTCGACAGATTTTTTTGGACGAAACGCTTGTTCGTTTGTCCGTTTATAAGAGCTTTTAGCCGTTTCATGAAAGACTGGATCTTTTTACGGTTACTGGCTTTTTGCATGCACTTTTACCACACCGAAGGAGATGGTGCATCGTGGGAAGCATCGCAGGTTGTGGGATCAAAGCTGCATCAACAAGAGTCAGGCAAGATAGATCTGGAGGTGATTCGATTCAGCGATTGTCACGTCAACAGAAGGGCCATGGGAATGAGAGGATCTCGACTACAAGAATCTACTGCCAGCTAGCTAGTCTTTCCCACTTGTTTGTCCCACCAGGACGATCTATAATATCCAGGAATGAGATTCAGCGATGGTACCGCCAGGATGGATCTTTTCGGTACTGGCCAGTTCACTGCTTGCATTGGATAGTAATACTATTAATAGTCCTCCATCATCATCGGCCACCATAACGGGGCTGTACCGTTATGCGGTCAAGGGGTTGAGTGGGGATTCCTTGAAGCAAGTGCATATATCCCAGGCGTATGATACCTTTCCCGATGATCGACGCTTTGCCCTTCTCTACGACAAGAATGTCCCCAAGTGGCAAGACATGTTGTCGGCCAAGAAGGAGTGGCTTCATAAGGAGAACTTTCTCTGTGCCTTTACCAACCCCGAGCTAATGGCCAGATACGAGGCTTCTTATCAGCTCTTATTACAACAATCATCATCATCATCAAAGGCAGAAAGCTATGGGGTTCCTTCGGACAATATTGTTGGGAAGGAACATACTGCAGCAACGCGGCGACTGCTGTCTCTTCGAGATCGAACGAGCCAAGCATCGGTTTTCGGTCCAGAGGATCTGGCCACCGAGCACGGCCAAACAGCACTAGCAGACTTTTTCTCCCAACAATCCGGCCTGGCGGTTCAGTGTATCACGGCGGATGGACATGCCCGACAAAAACATCAGTTTGGCAACACATCGTCGAGATGGAAACAACAACGAAAAGATACTCGAACCATTCATTTGATCAATGCCAATACCGTCCAGCAAGTGGCCGAGAAATGCCAGATACCTACACTCCACCCCACACGGTTTCGCCCCAACATTGTGGTGGAGGGGTGGGAACCGTGGGCGGAATTTGATTGGATTGGAAAAACATTAAAGGTCCATTCTTCTTCTTCCAGCAGCAACAAGAACACCAAGGAGGATCCAATACGACTCTCGGTTTTGGCAAAGACGGTTCGCTGTGACGGGGTCAGTGTGGATCCACTGGATCCTGGTGTTGTGCTAGATGTGCCCAAGCTATTGACGCAGCATTTCCCCGAACACGGACCCTATTTGGGAATTTACGCGACCATTGATGATCCTGGGGTGTTGTCTCTGGGGGATCAAGTGATGCTGTCCTTGGATGAATGAAGAATAGTATCGGAACGAACTCCGAGATTTGGTTTTTGAGAAAATGATATTATACAGCAGCTTGAGTGGCCATGACGTCTATCCGCGGCATCAACGTGGCGACTCATCCCTCGAACTTAGCGGGTTCGTCCTTGGGCTGGCATGCAACGACATTGGAGCAATTCTCTTTGCGATTCTGTTACTATGGTGTTATAGCTATGATGACAACCTCAACTAGTGTAACTTCATTCATCAAGGGTCTCGCCCATGCAACCAAAGCTTCTTCTAACGAGTGACAACATTCCATAGGAAAGGTGCAACCAGCAACATCCAAAGGCTGCCGTTGCTCCAAGCTGAACTGCTGGAAGATGTTGTGTCTTGTAGGCTAAGCGTGGAAACGTCCACAGGGTCTTTCATTTGGTTCAAATCAGGTTCAGTTGTCTCCCCTGTAGCTGTAGCGATAAGCGCCGAAACGTCCATAGGGTCTAGCACATGGTTCAATTCAAGTTCAGATGTCTCCCCTGTAGCAATGTTGACCTTTTCGATCTTGTAGCTTTCGGGAGTCTGGGATCTCATACTGGTAGGTCTGGTCGGCATAACATTCTTGACATTGTAAGCAAAGGTCCCATCATCTGCAAATGAAACAGCAGTGAGACCAAAGGAGGCCCTTGTGAATTGGCGGTACCCGACAAGCCGGACAGCCGTCTCGTTGTAGTAAAAGTAGGCAGAGAGGAAGCAATCGGCACCATTCTCACGGAGTTCCACAACTTGTAGTTGATCCCAGTGGTTATGCGCTGGCCCATTGAAGTAGTTCGGCCTTCCTGTGTATTCGAACGTCGTGTAGGACACGTCGTCTGGATTTGAAAGATCCACAATGGCAACTACCGGCTCGGTGTCGGATGGACCGCCCGAGCTCAAACTGGGGATGGGCTCTCCCGATGGCAGTGTTTCTGCAGGTTCACCCCGACTGTTGTAAAAATAGTAGCCTCGCTCGAGATTGTCGCTGTATAGAAACACATTCTCCAGGCGACCTCCTTGCTCCAAGGGATTGGCAAAATCAAGCGCAAGGGGCTCGACCAAATCCGGACCAGACAGGACGGCGCTAAATCCATCCTCACTGCTTTCGAAGGTGTAATTCCTTGTCGGCTGTGTGGATTCAAGCGGTTCATTTACATCAAGGTCTTGTGGCAACCCCAGGAATACATTTCCTGTGATTGTGTCGATGGTAATGTTCTGAACGGAGACGGGGTCTTGAGTTTCAAAGAAGTCTTCTTCCGTCTGATTGTACGTCCCCAACAAGGCCGCCAACAGGGACGGATCAGAGGTTGTTCTAATGGACTCTTCAACGATGAAGGTTCCGATACGACCGGGTTCGATCACAGAGCATCCTTCCGCTGTCTTGGCTTCTTGGAATGCAACAAGAGACCAGAAACAGACAGCGAGACAAGATAATCGTTTCGCAGATGGAGCAAGGAGCATAATAGTTTTCGATGAATGGTGGGGCTTGCGAGGAGTGGCTGGGCTGTTGTTTTCGTTTTGTATGTCAGGTAATTTATGCGAGCTTGTTTTCCAGGCGTCGCAGTCGAACCACACAACGTGCTCGGAATCGAATCATTCAATGAGACAGTGTTGTGTCAGTCGAGTTCAGCACGAACACCTCGACCGCACTGTTCCGAACCAGTCGTGGTAATTTTTGGTTGAACGGCCAAACGCCGTGCCCACAAGGTCACTTATATTGCAAAAAGTTTGGCGAATCAATCTGATGCCCTCTCCCGCAAAGCAGCATGTTTAAATGTAGCTAGCATTCGGTATGCGGCATGCATCCCATCATCGAACAGGTTTTTATCGTATCCCTTCGTATCAGCTCCAGCTATTTCCTCAATGTTCCAACTACCAATGGATCAATGGATTGATGAACCAGGCTGCAGCAAAGAGCGCAACAAGATGATGACATCTGTCTGTTGTGGATTTGGAATCATCGGTCGCCATGAAACGTACTTCACTGCCCTAAGCAAGGTCACCATCCATCATGTATATACCGTGCCTTGTTATTTTGTAGGCGCTCCAGAAGGTCATCGGTGTCGCTTCCAAACCTTCCGCAACCTGCCAACAGACAACTTGTCGTGAGCAAACCAAACTCTTTCGGTTGGGCCACTGTATTTTGCTGGTCAAATTTTCTACTACTACTAGCTAGCCAGTCTGCACAATACCCGTACGGTAGGATGATTCTTGGCATATAGTTCCTGCCATTTGGTCCCTCGATGGCTGCGCCCCTGCCCCGTGTGAACTGGCTGGTTTGGTCTTTACACTACCCACACTTTTCCATGTCTTGTTGCTCGTCATGATAGTAGGATTCGGATGAATCACTGCGGTCATTATTATTATTATTTGCTTGTTGCTTTTGAATGGTATCTTTGAGGAGCGACTGTCGCAATTGGGATCGAAAACGGAGGACTTCTTCCCTATTGTTGTTGTCGGATTTGGGAATCCAATGATCCATAGCATTGGCCAAGAGAATACCAGCTGGCAGAACCGGGGCGTACCAATGAGGGGAATCCGCCGGTAGCATCCACAGGTATAATACGATGTAGACGCCCAATGCCATGGTGATGACACACATGCCTGCATATTGTAGGAGGGTTTTCTTGGTGTCTGTCGTAGTACTAGTGGAAGAAGTAGATGAAAGGTTCTGCCGTTGTCTTATGCCGTCTTTGACCCATCGATGGAACAATCCTCCTGGTCGGACACAACAACGCCGCATAGCAACACTCGCCATGATCACAACGGCAGAGGATACAACCCAAACTGGGTTTAGCTTGCTCTTGTCCATCTTCTCCTCTTTCAACAATCCTCTTCCCTTAATTCTTGTTGTTGCTTCCATTTTGCCGTTGTTGCCTTTTCCCAAAGATCTTGTGACGTCACAAAAGAAGATCGCAAAAAATGGATGAGCAATCACCACCAGAACAACAAACCGGAAAGAAGGAACCATCCATACCGGTACCACTTGGAGAGATAGAGAGAGAATACACGATGATGACTCCCAACCTTCTTGGAGCTCTTGCTGTCTTGGCGTTGTTCGACTCGAAAGCCAGAGCTCTGGACAATGGCTTGGGAAAGACGCCCCCAATGGGTTGGAACACTTGGTCAGTCAATCCCAATGCTCAAGCTAGATTGCGTGTGTGGTGTGGTCTTTGCTCTCACATCATGCAGTGCGCCAAAATAATTATAATGGGTTGATCATCATCATCATCATCATCATCATCATTACAGGTACAACTTTCGCTGCGACTTGAATGAGACTGTGATTCACGAGGCCGTGGAGGCGTTCCTCGACTATGGACTGCTCGATGTGGGATACGAATACATCAATTTGGACGACTGTTGGCAGCTTCGACGGGATATGAACACGGGCCAGATTGTCGAGGACCGCGACAAATTTCCTTCGGGAATGACGGCACTGGGCGATTACATCCATTCCAAAGGACTCAAGTTTGGTCTCTACAGCGATGCCGGTCTCATGACGTGTCAACAACGACCGGGATCTCTGGGAGTAGAATCCATTGATGCGCAAACATACGCCGACTTTGGATGCGATTTCTTGAAATACGACAATTGTTTCTCCTTTCATTTGCCTCCTCAGCAACGCTATCAAGCCATGCGAGATGCTCTCAATGCCACTGGCCGACCCATCTTTTATAGTCTCTGCGAATGGGGCGAACAAGATCCTGCCACATGGGCACCACCCGTGGGCAATTCCTGGAGGACCACGCCCGATATTGGGCAGCGTCCCACCTGGAGTATACTCATGAAAATGACCGATCTCAATGAGCCTCTCTGGTCTACCGCCGGCCCCGGAGGATGGAACGATCCCGACATGTTGCAAGTGGGAAAAGGACATTTGACGTTGGCGGAACAAAAAAGTCAGTTTACTTTGTGGGCCATTATGAAGGCACCGCTGCTATTGGGCAATGATATTCGACACATGTCGGGGGAGATTCTGGAGATTATTCGCAACAAGAAACTCATTGCAATCAACCAAGATGCACTGGGAATACAAGCCCATGTCGTGTGGTCTTCGGAGGATAAGGATACAGTAAAGGGACAGCAAGTCTGGGCGGGACCACTGCATGGAGGTGACTTTGTCATTGTCATGCTCAACCGAGGAGCTCTCAATAATGTGGAGATTACAGTGAATTGGAATGATATTCCTGATTTCTATACAGAAACTACCACTGTAGTGCTGGAGGACCTTTGGAATTCCAAAAATGTCACTGCCAAAGGGAGTTTCACAACACATGTACAAGCTCATGATGTTGCAGCCTTTAGGGCGTCTCCGGTAACGACAGCAAGCTAGAAAGAAATTGCAGAAAGCAAGGTTTGCAATAATGTGCACAGCACAAGTCCATCTCTGCTTTGCCTAAAAGCCTCCCCCCCGCTGGCAGTAGATAATTTCCGTTCCCTGCTCTTTAGCAATCTCAATTAAACAGTCTCTTCGTTTCGCTTAGAAGAACTTTGAAAATCCATAGGTACATTCAGTTTTACGCCTTTCCTCGGATGGATGGAAACGGCTGTGGATGGAGTGACAGTCGAGTGCAGTTGAGTGCATCCACCACGACCCGAGCGCTGACCAGTATTTTTGCCAGTGCTGCTGGCTTCATACCGGCAAAAACACAACAGCCCAAGCGAAGTCCTACAGTAATAAGGAGGAGGTTGCCCATCGACCTCGAGTCCTTACAAGAAGGAGGCTACCAATCTAGCGACTACTAGTGACCATGATGTTGAGTAGCGACCACGGCTTGAGCGACGAAGAGAAGGAAGCCTTTGGGGAGATTGCTGAGATTGTGTATGATCAAGATGAAACGAGTACATTGGACGAGGAGGAAGAAGAGGAGATTCTGCGTCTCTGCCAAGAATTTCCAAACCTGACCACAAGGCTCTTCTACACATCCCAAGGTATCCGATTGAATCCTCTGGAGTTTCTCATTTGTTTCCGAGCTAGTCTGAAAGCCATTCAAGATTTCTGTGACTCTCATCCCTCATCCATCGAAACTTCCAACAGTTTGCGGCTCTTGCCACTCCATTGGGCGTGCAAGACTAAACGCACACAACCTGGCGTCATCCAGTTTCTGACACACAGGCTGCCGATGGCTGCCTCCAGGAGGACGTTGGATGGTCTCTATCCAATTGATCTACTGTTCAAGCGCGAGCATACTCTGGAAGAAGTGAAAGCTGTTGTGCAAGCAGATTCTCCCGCAGGCAGCCTGAGCAAACAAGAGCACCAACTGCTACAAGGCTTTGCCTCTCGCCATGGCAATGTCCAAGTGATCGAGTACATTGTGGAACAGTGCCCTCTTGTCAGGCAAAAACACGAGACAGTCCGTGATATCTCATTGCCACAATTTACGGCTTTGGCCAAGCTGCTGCCGCAACTGACCAAATTCAGCCTCCACATTTTCTCTCGGGAACTACCCACTAGTAACGACTTGATTGGCTGGAATCATGTCATGGAAAAACTGGGGAATTGTAATTCCTTGGATAGTCTCAACATTACTTTGAAATTTCCAGAGGGATTTCCATCCACTGGGCTGGATGCTCTCGGCAATGCCCTTGCCTCGATTGAAAACCTCAAAAGTTTGACTCTGGATGGAGGCGAGAGGGGACATTGGAATCGTACGATATTAACCCAGGCCAACCTGACGGCGGCGCTGGTAACCCTCCTCAGTCGCAATTCTCTGCAAACTATACGGGTTCCCAACACAATCTCTGTCGATCACAACGAAATCTTTGATGCCTTGAAACGCAACATCAGCCTTGAATCCTTTGATATTGTTTCCTGTGTCAACAATGACGACAAGCGAAAGGCGTTGGCGCAAGTTCTCCAAGTCAATACGACATTGCGTTTTGTAGAGCTTCGATCCACTGGAGGGGAGGCCGTGACGTACGACAAGATTCGGTACCTGCTGCAGCTCAACATGTCAGGGAGAGCCAAGGCCCGCACGTGCACCACATCTCGCGAGGAATTTGTCGATCTACTGGCGACAGAAGTGGAATCCTGGGAGATCTCGTCAACTTCCACATCAATGCAGACGAGTCTCATGCTGGATCTATTGAGAGAGTGCCCCAGTATTTGGTGTAGGAGACCGCAACATCGTTGATAGGCTCTCGCTTCCAAAGAGTATAGCTTTGGGCGAGGCAAAAAGCACAGGCTTATGCTACAAAGACCAAGATTTCTTATGCGTGATGATATCTTACGACATGCAGCATTGCTCTACCAAGAGCCTGAACATGCTGTCTTCCGGAGTGAAGATTCAAAGGGAAACTACTGACCTGAATGCTGCGCAGTCGGTCCCGTGACAAGAGAGATTGGATCGACACCGTCAAGCCAGAAAAGGACGCCTTCTTCCAACGGCTGCCTTCAAGGTAAAAGGGCCTCTAGATACAAAATCAATGATATTACCGGTTACAAGCCTTGTGTGGCCTCCATCGTCTGGTTCTAGACATGTTGAGAGCTACCCTTACGTTGAGTGTTCGAACGGTGATGCTTGATCCGCAAAAGGCATGCATTGCCAATCTCTATCCTTTGAAGTCAAGCGAGCTGTGGCAGATCTTCAGGTCGAGGACAGTAACGGTGGACACGAACGTTAAAAGGGTGGACGTGTGGATTTCTCGCAGGGACATACCGGTAGCATATTTAGAATCGAATCTTCAATCAAGTTGACGGCTTCGGTGATATTCTGTCCACCACAGCTGCATATTGTACTTGAACAATGCGGGCTTGGTGAGTCGAGTGGCGAGTCGTTTGAAAAAACGGTTTTCTTTTCTTCGTGAATACCAAAAAAAGACAAGTCAAAGTCAGGCTCATCAACCCAATGCATCCTCCCGATCACATCCATTTGGCGTGCCTTCCCACTAGCAGCTTCAGGCAGCAGCCAACAACGAAGGGTGATTGCGTCCGGTTGCGTGCTTCAGCTACTACATTGTAGAATGCCAGCAAGGCAACGGCGCAAGCGGCTTCGGTATCCTCAGCTCTTTCCCCCTTCTCCAGCACCATGAAGCCACACCTCGTCAATGCATTAGATGTTCGTCAAACCGAGTCATGAAGTCGCTCGAGAGAACTATTAATAGCTAGCTAGCTAGCATAAAGAAAGATTGAACTATGCAGATTAAATTCTTACCACCTATTTGGGCATCAATAGTCTTCTAAGTACTAGGTTCAGCGTCCAAACAGTTACCTGCATGCAAAAGCTCAAGGCGAACTATCGCAGCTGCAGCAACCACGCTCGTATGAATGAACAGTGGCTTCAACAATCACAAAACAGGGCTGTCCAACCACGCAACAACCAAGCTGGAAATGCTCGTGTGCAAAGGAGGTGTGCCCACACGTCGTGGGCAAGGTGTTCCCGACGTGGACATATCGTTCACACGGTTCACTTCGCAGACAGAGGTCAGTCTGGTTCTCGGCTTCAAGCACCTCGGACCAGTCAACACTTGACTTGTGACTGTTATCATCACAGCCACAGGTAGCAACGTTTACACGTATCTGTCCTGCGTACACAAGATTTTGCGATTGGGATTCTTGGCAGGTGCCGGTTCCCATCCACGTGTCCATCATGTAGGCGCTGTCGTTGCCGGTAAAGTACCATTCGTGATGGTAGTATCCAAAGCGACCTGTCATCTGTGTAAAATAATTGTTGTGATTTGGCTTGCTGAAAAGTGTGCCACTTTCAACGATGCTGCAGGTTTCATTAGGCAATGGAGACATCACGGGAACGCTGCTCGCAGGTGAACTGGAAGTGGTGGGCATTGGTGGGAAGCCAAAATTGAAAGGTGCCATTGTCTCATTTGCTGTTGAATTCATGGGGGGCAGTGTTGTTGTCCTGAAATCGTTGGGTTGAATAGTGGTCTTGTTGCTTGTTGATGCCACCATCGAAGGAAGCATTGTGCCCCTGGGTCTGTCACCAGCATTGCCAGGAGGATTCGGCAAAGGATTTTTGGTTGGAATTGCTGGTACAGGCGAACTGGGCGTCACCACTTGGGCTGGCCCTCCTGTCATGACAGGAGTCATCATATTGGGACTGCCAGTAACTGACGTTGGATTGGTCACAGGGCTGGCTGAGCCCATGACAACCGGACTTAGAGCTGGCAACATTGGCGAGCTTGATGGCACTGGGTCCAAGGGGTTGAAGCTAGTAAGCCTGGTTGGGTCAGATGGACTGGCACTTGGACTATCCAATGCATGGCAACACCCATCATCGTAGACAGAAACAGCAGCATGAACAATTACAAAGCATGGGCTTCCCACTGTGCAACAACCAAAGTTGTATCGGCCAGGTGCAAACGTTGTTTTGCCCTTCCCCACCATAGGCAGCTGCTCACCAACATGCACATGTCTGTTGTCCGGGGGGCTGCTTACACAGCTGTCCGGCTCCACGAATGCATCAGTCCAATCAACAGAAGCAAACAAGGGGTTGAAAGACTGACATTCTTGGACTGCCACCGAGACAGATCCAGCGAATGTGCCTTCATTCATATCATTGTACTGACCCGCACCAACCCACAGGTCCATGGTAACTTCAGACATCGTTGCCGCAAAACTTGATGTGCTCCAATACCAACCCCATCGAGTTGGTATTCGAACTGAATTGCTCTGATCTGTTGGCTCGCCAAATGCAGTTTCCGAATTAAATGATTCACAATCGAGACCTTGTGTTGGAACAGGGGGAGCGGGTACAGGAGCAATCGGTGGTTGTGATTCCATGGACAAAACTGTGGGAATTGCTGTGGTCAATGACATTGGTGACATGGTTGGATTGTCACTTGGCATGGCACTTGGCATGGCACTCGGAGAATCCTTATCAGCAGGGTTGGTCCCTGGCGGACCTTCTTCAGTTGGCACAGTGGTGGGAATGACAACCATGGATGGAGAAACCACTGGAGCAACAGATGGGGTAACCATGGGGCTTGAGGTTGGCACATCATCTACGAAGGGAGCCAATGATGGAGTTGTGACCAGTGTAGGGAATGATGTCACAGTGCGGCTGATAGGAGCCATTGTTGGAACATGGCTGGGAGCTGTTGATGGAGTGGCTCCTGGGGTTGGAAGAGGATCAGTTGGGGATGCGCCATTGCAGCAACCATCTTCATAGACAGAAACATCAGCATGAACAATTACAAAGCATGGGCTTCCCACTGTACAACAACCAAAGTTGTATTGGCCAGGTGCAAATGTTGTCATACCCCCTCCCACCATAGGCAACTGCTCACCAACATGCACATGTCTGCCATCCAGTTGGCTGCTTACACAGCTGTCCGTCTCCATGAATGCATCAGTCCAATCAACAGAAGCAAACAAGGGGTTGAAAGACTGACATTCTTGGACTTTCACCGAGACAGATCCAGCGAATGTGCCTTCATTCATATCATTGTACTGACCCGCACCAATCCACAGGTCCATGGTAACTTCAGACATCGTTGCCGCAAAACTTGATGTGCTCCAATACCAACCCCATCGAGTTGGTATTCGGACTGAATTGCTCTGGTCTGTTGGCTCGCCAAACGCAGTTTCCGAATCAAATGATTCACAATCGAGACCTTGTGTTGGAACAGGGGGAGCGGATACAGGAGCATTCGGTGGTTGTGATTCCATGGATAAAACTGTGGGAATTGCTGTGGTCAATGACATTGGTGACATGGTTGGATTGTCACTAGGCGTGAGGCTTGGTTTGGCACTTGGCATGACACTTGGCATGGCACTTGGAGAATCCTTATCAGCAGGGTTGGTCCCTGGCGGACCTTCAGTTGGCGCAGTGGTGGGAATGACAACCATAGATGGAGAAACCACTGGAGCAACAGAAGGAGTAACCATGGGGCTTGAGGTTGGCACATCATCTACGAAGGGAGCCAATGATGGAGTTGTGACCGATGTAGGGAATGATGTCACAGTGCGGCTGATAGGAGCCATTGTTGGAACAAGGATTGGAGCTGTTGATGGAGTGGCTCCTGGGGTTGGAACAGGATCAGTTGGGGATGCGCCATTGCAGCAACCATCTTCATAGACAGAAACAGCAGCATGAACAATTACAAAGCATGGGCTTCCCACTGTACAACAACCAAAGTTGTATTGGCCAGGTGCAAATGTTGTCATACCCCCTCCCACCATAGGCAACTGCTCACCAACATGCACATGTCTGCCATCCAGTGGGCTGCTTACACAGCTGTCCGGCTCCATGAATGCATCAGTCCAATCAACAGAAGCAAACAAGGGGTTGAAAGACTGACATTCTTGGACTTTCACTGAGACAGATCCAGCGAATGTGCCTTCATTCATATCATTGTACTGTCCCGCACCAATCCACAGGTCCATGGTAACTTCAGACATCATTGCCGCAAAACTTGATGTGCTCCAATACCAACCCCATCGAGTTGGTATTCGGACTGAATTGCTCTGGTCTGTTGGCTCGCCAAATGCAGTTTCCGAATTAAATGATTCACAATCGAGACCTTGTGTTGGAACAGGGGGAGCGGGTACAGGAGCAATCGGTGGTTGTGATTCCATGGACAAAACTGTGGGAATTGCTGTGGTCAATGACATTGGTGACATGGTTGGATTGTCACTTGGCATGGCGCTTGGCATGGCACTTGGAGAATCCTTATCAGCAGGGTTGGTCCCAGGCGGACCTTCTTCAGTTGGTGCAGTGGTGGGAATGACAACCATGGATGGAGAAACCACTGGAGCAACAGATGGGGTAACCATGGGGCTTGAGGTTGGCACATCATCTACGAAGGGAGCCAATGATGGAGTTGTGACCGATGTAGGGAATGATGTCACAGTGCGGCTGATAGGAGCCATTGTTGGAACATGGCTGGGAGCTGTTGACAGAGTGGCACTGGGAGAAGAGGAAGGGCCGGCACTTGGTGCCGCGCTGGGCGCTCCTGTAGGGAGCGGCTCGGGCTTTCACTCGGCGAAGAGCTGGGCGGGAACTGGGGGAAGCAGATGGACCGGCACTGGGGGAGGCACTTGGCTGCCGCTGGGAGACGAGCTGGGTGATGCAGAGGGTCCGAGCTCGGGGTGCACTAGGGGCTCCAGTCGTGCTCTGCTGGGTGACTCACTTGGGCCCAGGCTTGGAGCGGCGCTGGGGGAAGAGCTGGGCCGGAACTAGGACGGCACTGGGCGATCCGGATGGGGCTGCACTGGGAGAAGAGGAAGGGCCGCACTTGGTGCCGCGCTGGGCGCTCCTGTAGGGGAGCGGCTCGGGCTTTCACTCGGCGAAGAGCGGGTCGGGAACTGGGGGAAGCAGATGGACCGGCACTGGGGAGGCACTTGGGCTGCCGCTGGGAGAGAGCTGGGTGATGCAGAGGGTCCGGAGCTCGGGGGGCACTAGGGCTCCAGTCGGTGCTTGCTGCTGGTGACTCACTTGGGCCCAGGTTGGAGCGGCGCTGGGGGAAGAGCTGGGGCCGGAACTAGGACGGCACTGGGCGATCCGGATGGGGCTGCACTCGGGAGAAGACGGAAGGGCCGGCACTTGGTTGCCTACGGGGGCTGCGCTTCCTGTTATTGGATGGGTCACTGCAGAGAGGGCACTGGTGCTACTGGGCTTCTTCTGTGTCATACGGTTGAGACTCTTGTCGGGAGAATACTGGGTTTTTATCTTTGTTGACCACGTACTAGGGGACGCAGTTGGGATGGAGCTGGGACTGGTACTTGGAGCTTCAATGGGTGCATTTGAGGGGCTGGAGCTTGGGGCAGAACTAGGTTTTGTACTGGGAGATTCTGATGGATTGGCACTTGGAGCAGATGAAGGGTGTGCACTTGGTGCTCTGCTGGGCTCTCCTGTTGGTGAGTGGCTTGGGCTTTCACTTGGCAATGAGGTTGGCTGGGAACTGGGTGAAGCAGATGGGCCAGTACTAGGGGAGGCACTTGGGTTTGTGCTGGGACTGGTACTTGGAGCTTGAATGGGTGCTCTAGATGGGCTGGAGCTTGGGCCAGAACTGGGTTTACTACTGGGTGGATCTGATGGATGTGCACTTGGAGAAGAGGAAGGGCTGCCACTTGGCTTTGCGCTAGGAGCTCCTGTTTGCAACTGGCTTGGACTTCTACTTGGCGAAGAGCTGGGTGGTGCACTGGGATCAGCTGATGGAAGGGCACTAGGGGACAAACTTGGGCTTTCACTTGGCTTTGTGCTTGGACTGACACTAGGAGCTTGAATAGGTGCATTAGAGGGGCTTGCGCTTGGACCAGAACTCGGGGAGAAACTTGGTTGCACGCTGGGGGGGCCTGATGGTATTGTAGTTGGGATTGAACTTGGACTGTAACTGGGGGCTTGGATTGGTGCTCTAGATGGGTTGGTGCTTGGTCCAGAACTGGGAATAGTACTTGGTGATCCTGATGGAGGTAAACTTGGAGAAGTGGAAGGACTGGAACTTGGTTGTGCACTGGGAGCTCCTGTTTGCAGCTTGCTTGGACTTCCACTTGGCAAAGAGCTGGGTTGTGAACTGGGGGAAGCAGATGGACCGGCACTCGGCAAGGAAGAAGGGACCACAGACGGACTCATGGTGGGCTTACTGGTCGGAGGGCTAGATGGCTGTGAGCTTGGTTCAGATGATGGGGATGCACTTGGGGATAAACTTGGAGTTGTTGTGGGCAAAGCTGATGGTTCATCACTCGGGCTCGCACTTGGAGCTGCACTGGGACTCTCTTTGCCGCCTCCTGATGATCCAGGTGGCAAGCCCTCATCTCCACTTGGAGTGCTACTTGGGGACACACTGGGCATCTTGCTCAGGCTCTTTGTTGGTGATGAAGAAGGGACCACAGACGGACTCATGGTGGGCTTGGTGGTTGGAGGGCTGGATGGCCATGAGCTTGGTTCAGATGATGGGGATGCACTTGGGGATGAACTTGGAGTTGTTGTGGGCAAAGCCGATGGTTCATCACTTGGGCTCGCACTTGGAGCTGAACTGGGACTCTCTTTGCCGCCTCCTGATGCTCCAGGTGGCAAGCCCTCATCTCCAGTTGGAGTGCTACTTGGGGAGATACTGGGCATCTTGCTCGGGCTCTTTGTTGGCGATGAAGAAGGGGCCACAGATGGACTCATGGTGGGCTTGGTGGTCGGAGGGCTAGATGGCCATGAGCTTGGTTCTGATGATGGGGATGAACTTGGAGTTGTTGTGGGCAAAGATGATGGTTCATCACTTGGGCTCGCGCTTGGAGCTGAACTAGGACTCTCTTTGCCGCCTCCTGATGATCCAGGTGGCAAGCCCTCATCTCCAGATGGAGTGCTACTTGGGGAGATGGATGGTGCTGCAGTAGGACTTGTGGTTGGGTTTTCACTGGGCTTGTTTGTTGGACTCGAGGAAGGCACATCGAAACTTGGCTTTGCACTTGGTTGGAGCGTTGGAGTACCTGTAGGGAGCTCAGTGGGGAACACGGTCGGACTAAGAGTAGGATCCAGAGTCGGCTTGAGTGTTGGGTTGTTACTAGGCGCTACACTCGGGATAGCACTAGGACGAGGTGATGGGTTTCGGGTAGGACTCATGGTTGGATCGAGAATAGGCTTTTCCGTCGGGCTGGCACTGGGGGCTTGACTAGGACGCTTGGATGGAGTGCGACTTGGCGTGACACTTGGAGCACCTGTTGGGTTCTCGGTTGGACTTGGACTAGGTGGGGTGGTAGGGCTATTTGTTGGCATTTCGGTTGGATCTGTAGTAGGCGAGGCTGTTGGATTGCCTGTTGGCATGTCGGTTGGACTGGGACTAGGGGCTGAAGTTGGGCTGTCCGTCTCGAAAAAGGCAAGATGCTCACATCGGAAGCAAAACTGTATGTTGACGATTCCTTCCAAGGGGCGTTCTCCTCCGAACGACGTTGCCAATGTGAAAGTGGTGTCCTTTGGCATCTGATACAGGGTGCCGCCACCGTCACCTTGAACGAACACGTCTGCGTCCACGGTGGTAAAGATGTGTGCAAGTTGGTAGAGGCCGTCATCTTCGGTTGTACAAAAAATGTCAAACAATCCAAGATCTTCAATTTCGCAGAACGGGGGCAGAAAGGGAGGGTCTGAGAAAACCAATGTAGAGAATGGCCGATACCAATCGTCGACGCATCCATCCATCCGGTAGCCAAACTGATACCCGAGCTGACTGCATTCGAGATTATCACCGGAGTAGTACGTTGTTTCCAACAACAATCGTCGTGATACAAGGTTATCCTCGAACGACCCGTTCAAGTCGTTGTCGGCGGCCAAGCCACCGTCAACCTTGCCGAGCTCCTCTGATTCCTCGTTGGGCTTGTTGGTGGCTCGGAGGCGTAATTGGTTGGCTGCAAAATTCGTGCTGGTGTTGGCGTCAGAGACAGAACTCAATTCGTTGGAATCTCCTCGGCCCTTGGCAGAGGAGGTCGTCGTGGATGGAGAGTCAGGCAAAACAGGTTCCTCTTTGACTCGAGCCTCAAGGGGTTCCGGAACGCGAACAGAGGTCGTTTCGGTCGCATCGTCTTGATTCCGTTCCGGATCCCAGAGGAGATCCTGGCACGGTAGGCAAACCAGAACATGTCTATTACAAGTAGAAAGAAAGAAGGAAAGAAAGGTGAGAGATAATGCGTTTTTATCGCACGTCGCCTTGACTGAGCAGCGTTGCGTTGACGTACCGAATCGTAGATCCGCTGGGAGACTGCATACCCATGACGGTCGAATCTTTGGAGACGAAATACAAGTTTCCTCCGTGGTCATCCTGGTATTCAATTAATTCATTCATTGTCGCGGAGAGAATAGGAAGCAGAGGCGCGGTCGTGAGTACAATACAGTAGTGTCGGGCTCTGGCGCGTTCCTAATATTGGTCGATCGGAACAACATACCGTTACAAAGGCGTAAACATCAACAACGGATGTGAGAGAGGTCAAGGGACGACTGTGGAAGTCACTGCCATTATCCATGTCGTCGGAACATTCGAGAGACAATCCAGCGTCGCTGAGGTCCATTTGTGAAGCATGGTGGCGAGTCGTGAATGATGTGGACGCCAACGCGTTGTCGTCGCTGTGGTGGTCCGAGAAGATTTCGTGGTGCCGACATCCACTCATCTTCCACCCATCATTGTCTTGCTGGTCGTATTGCTCCTCATGCTGATAATGATAATGGTAGAATCCCAAGTCATCGCAATCCAAACTCGCGTTGGTCCAGACTTCCACGAGATTCGAATGGTTCTTGTTCGCGGGAGAGGAGGAACAATCGTCGTGGTCGCTGCAAAGACTGCTGCTACGAGGCTGGCAGGAGTCTCCCCGTCGAAGAAGATTTGGATGGTTCTTGCTGTGGACGGAGAACGAGGCAGGACTGCTGCTACGAAGGTGGCCGCGATTGGATCCACCGCCGTTATCGCTGGCCAGAGCGGCAGCATGCTGGACAGCCGAGAAGGCGCAAAGAGTCAGAGACATCATCTGAGGTATCTTCATAGTAGAGATAATAGAGAACGAGAGTTGTTTGTTTATGTTGCAGAGAATAGTATAGATCGCTGCGTTGCTGCATATGGCTTTCGCTACAAAGGGAAAGCACTGCTAATGAGCAAGAAATCAAGGTTGTGAATGTGGTGTTCGGGCCGGGGAAGACACGCAAAAACTTTTTGGGCTCCAAACTTACGATTAACACGAGGACTGCAGAGCGAGCTTGGGAGTCCGTGCGGTCGGCAACTAAGCCAATCCATCTGTTTCTGCTCGAGCTTAGGGAAAGATCCATCCAAGTCACACTTTGCATCCAATGCCGAAGCATCATCATCCGAAATCATTCATGCTTCAATGTCTCGATTGGTACAGTACCTTCTGGTTGGGCGTTTTCATCCATAAGTGTAGCAGGTACGACCATAACACCATATTGAGCAACGGGGCTTCCTCAGAGCAGGAATTGAATCATAGCCACGCAGCTACTAGCTAGAGTAGCAAAAAGCTGAGATGAAGGAGCTACTCTAGCTACGGTAGCTTGCTACGGGAGCAAGAAGCAAAGGACGCCTCCTGTTTTTGTCGGCCTCGTCTTCCCGTCAACCGACGAAGCATGATTGAAAAGATCCATCCAGCCGCGGCGCCATCGCAAAGGAGTGTTGGGAGGCTGAGTTCCCTCCACGAAAGCAACTTTGCCTGGCTACTAGTAGCTAGATTAGGAAGCGAACGAGGAGATGTGGAGGCGTTTAATATTTTGAGTTCCCTGGTACAGTACTGGTACTGGGATTGGCAAAGTATCCATGAAAGTAGGATACTTTGACGCGTGGGATGTGTTTTGTGACGGGCGTTGTGGCATCGGCTGGTGCGGGACCGCGAAGGGAGCTTCAGTCATGTCAATGACATCACAGGCCAGATCACACCACCACACACCGCACCTTTGGGGATGAAGCAGCAGGCCCAATGCACTGCACAACACCCACACTTTGCTCCCTTTGTTGTTTCTGCTGATGGCCTCTTTGCTGCCAAAGCTACTGCTGTTCTCCAACGGCTCTCCCAGCTTTTGGCTCACAAGTGGTCCAAGCGCTACTCTACCGTATGGTTTGCTCTTTCATTTCTGCAAGGTTGAGCATAGGGCTCGCTCCTCATACAGTAGCTAGAGTTACTCGATTATCACATACAAGTGTGGTCAAAGACAAAATGTTTTACCCCCAGTGGTCAAAACTATGAAGATAGATAGTACCAATGGTTGAGAAGAGCTCCAACAATGCAAGTGTCGTAGGCATATTTGCAATCCCAATCCTGTTTTGAACTGCAACACTGGCTACCGGTATGTAGGTGCAGTAGGAGCATGAAACTCTGGAGGTTGGTGCCCTGGCCCCTGGCCCCCAGTTCATATCGTAATTGTCGCGTCCTCATGCCCCGGCGCCTCGTTGAGATCAAATGATCCTACGTAAACTGCTCGCATACCCTCACTTACGGGTAGGGCCATGTGTAACAAATCGGCTCCCCAGACAATGGCAGTACCGGCTGGAGGACTCACCCACCTGTCAAACTCCTTCTCGTCGTTGTTGTTGCTGATTGTGTCCGCGTTATCCTCCTCCTCATGATCGCCATGAGCATAAAAGGCTGTTCCACCACCCTCAAAGGCATCATTCAATACCACCAAGAGCGTCAATTGCATCCCATCTACGTGCTGTTTGAAATATCCTCCTTTTTGGTATATATTCACTTTTGGCTCGGGGTGTAATACACCGCGATCGTCGGGCTCCGCGTACCACGTCGCCTCCAGCTGGTGTATTGGAGTACTCCTCGAAGTCGTAGATGGAAACTCGCTGCTTTCATCATCTGGATTCTCGGTACTTAAAATATTTCGAGATAGGTCCTTGTCGTTTTGCAAAAATTTCAAGAGACGATCGAGAAAAATAGCACTCACCGCTTTCGATGGTGCATCGAGCAAGCGTTCCACGGAATACCGAGTACAATTGAAGTTGACCTGCGACGCTCCCATAACATGAGGACGCTGGTGTTCACGCTGTTGTTCTTCCTTTTGTTCTTCTTGTAAACGCAATGCCGACTCTTGCAATGTCATGCGTTCCTCTACGCTGCCAAAATTGGGAATCGTCACATAACTCAAGGATTGCGCAACGGCCGAACCGACAGTCGCCGTGAGCGATGCCTTTGGGGCGTTTACAAAATGTTCTTGCCAACAAGCTCCATCTATCGTCGTTCGCGATGACGCCTCTTTTCTTCTTCTTGGCAGTTCCTCAAGTCCGTTCGGCAACACCTTGGCGGAGGGTGTGGCTACCATGGTTATCAATACTAACTGGTGAGGACGATAGGCACAGCAACAACAAGCAGTACTAGTATTGGCTCGCCATTGCTGTTTTCGAAGAAATTGATTTGTCAGCCACCAATAGGTTCATGGTCTTGCATGGTCTTCATCAGGTCCAACGTCACGTCATCGTCGGTCAAGGTCGGTTTTTGGTCCAAAAAATGCAAGGCTCCGAACCACCACGCGGTCGGCGGATGCACCTTTTGGCCTTTGGCGGATGGTTTCCGGTACCGTGGTCTACCGGTACCGGTGCAGGTACGAGTACTGGGCAGATACTCGTACCTTTAGAGTAGTACGTGTCATGTCATGGCAGCACCATGTATGGAATGCGGTACAGTGTCGTAATAGCTAGCTAGACAGTAGATGGCCCCCTAGCTAGCTAGCTACTGTAGCTTCGAGCAGCCAGTTTGCCCTTTCTTAGCGACCAGAAATGGGTTGCATCTTGGCAACTTGAAAGATGTCAAGCATTCCGTTTCACTGGAGAAGGGAGAATAGGCGAGGAGCCCGAGAACTTTGATTGCGGAACGTCGAGACAAACCCACCCGAGGGCTCTCAAAACACCGCGTGACGGGTTATTGAGGAGGGCAGGGAACAGACCGTCGAGACAGAGTCTCTTTTCTTCCGGTGATCCGAAATCGAATGGTCGCCGGACTGGCGTGGAATGCGAATTCCACATGGCCAAGGCTTGGTGTGCTTTGGGGGCTGGTTGGTTGTTGTCTCCGTTGTTCATCAACTTACCAGGGGCATAATTGCGGCGGCTGACCACAGAACGTCGGTTAATGCTGCGCCCACGAAGAGCGTCGCCATATCTACCGGTGCGCTGACGGGTCTTCTGCTTTCGGAACATGGACCGCTCCAAAGACCAACCACTGATCACGAAAGTCTACCCGTATCATCACATGTATCGAGGTCTTCTGGCGGGACGTCGACGAAAACGAACATACCTAAGAAGAATGATCTATACGTTACCCTGTCACTAATTGATTGTTGTGTAAGATGAAAAGATGTAGATTGTCGTTCGCGAAGCGTTCTCAAAAGACGTAGTCGTACAAGCAACATGTAATAGTGCTGTAGACAACTTCTCGTGTACCCGTTCGCAAGCCGTCTATTCACCAGCAGCGCAAAGGCCGCCAATGAACTTGCAAATGAATCAGTCATCAATGTTGTCCTAACAAGCGAAAGCTCAGTGTCTAGTTTGCAAAACACGTTGGAGACGCTCGCATTCTGCTTCCAAAAGACCGTGGCTTTGCACACCAACTTCGTGAGCGTCCTTGAGTGCGGCCGATCGCTGGGCCTTGTCTTCGGCTGCCATCGCCATCGAGACATATTGCCGAACAGAGGAGTTCTCGGAGGAAAGAAGAAACAAGGCCTTCACAGCGAGGTAGGCGTGATGGGGCTTGGTGTTAGCGCGACTCACAATCGTGACCAAGACCTCCACAATGTCGCAAGCAACCACGCCTTTGGTGCTCTCAAGGAATCGGCTCATCACCGAAGCCTCAGTAGTGCCATCCTCCATGGTGACTTCCATGCTCTCGCTTTCTTCCGCCACAAACTTGATGTGGACCTCCATCGCATTGACCAGACAAGTCAGGACAAGCTGGAGCAGACAGTCTCTCTGGTAAGCGGAAAGGTGCTCGACTTCGCTAGATGAGGAATCACCAACCAGCGATTGCATCATGTGGACCAGCTTCTCGTGAATGCCACGGCAACAAACTTCCCCATAAGCCATGGGAGACACACCGAGAAGGATAACCTTGGAGACAGCCTTCGAGGACTCAATCCCCGATTTGTTCGGATCGGAAACAGTTCCCAAAAGTTCCAATCCGTGAGACCACGTAACAGGCGTCTTCAAGAGTCCCCAAACCATCTCGAGTGAGTTCACGGTCTGGTCACCGACACAGGTGAAAGATGCAAAGGGAACAGCAGGCGCAGCTTTAAAAAAGGCGGGAGCCTTCTTGTCTCCTGCAGGAGCAGCACACGAGGCAACCAATAGCGACATCTTGCGGCATCGCTCAGACATCTCAACGCTGCCACGGCGAAGCTCTTGATGCTTCGCCAGACAAAGAGAGTCTCCTTCCAGCTCGGCGTTGCAGCACTTGATCGCCTTCAGGATCCGGCAAATGTACTTGAGAGGACCGCAGCCACAGCCAGATTGGCGCTTATCGAGTTCCACATACACGGAAGCACGGCTCTTGCAAGCGAACCAAATGAGCAGAGAAAGCTCCACTTGTTCCGGTGTGCGAAGCACAAGTCCAAAAGTGGCGAAAGAGGGTTCGTAGGTGGCCTGGATGTTCAACTTCTTGAAGCAGCAAAAGAGCCGCTCGAGGACACTGTCCACTGACTGGTCGCTGGTTGCTGATCGCCTGTCGCATCTGGGGTAATAGCAAGGGAGCACATAGACTCCATCCATCGCTTGGGCTTTCCAATGGCACAAGACCCGGTCCCGGGGCACTGGTGACGTGGAGCGCGAACGGGGCGTCGTCTTCTTGCTTGCTCCAGGCGGGGCCTTGTTGAAAACAGGGCTCTTGACCGCCTGGCCAAAGAAACTCTTCGATGCAGGCCCAAAGCTACTGGGCTGCTTGGTTTCTGGACTTCCTTTGGAAGCTGCAAAAGCAGCAGCAAAGGCTGGTTGAATCGCTACGGAGCTATTTTAGTACAAACATTATGGAAAATGGTACAGTAAAATAGTAGGGTGCACGTTTGGATCAACATGACACATTCCATCAAGCGAACGGAACCAGAGCAAAGCGAGAAGCGGTGTGAGAGCGCTGTCGTCGTCGTGTTGATGTTGATTGGAAGAGAGCAGTGACCTTTTGTTCTGGTGGTCCTCCGCGTCGAATGTTTTCCACCACCACATTCGGAAATAGAAACATTCCCACAATGGCGGAAAAGAACGGACGCGCGTTGCGTGCGGTCTTCAAGGTCATTCTCCGTCGAAGATCATTCACTCACCGGAAAAGAGGGGGCTCTAGGTCACCACCCTCCCCTTCTTCGTCTCCTTCTGTTGTAGTACTTGCTGTTCCTGTTGTCGTGTTGGACCCAGGGCCAAAGGCCCCAGGGTCGTCGGGGGCGATCGATCCATCATGCTTGCTTGTAGTGTTGTTCGTGTGATGCATTTTACTTGGTCGATCTTATGGGCGAAAACCACCGCTGGCGTCTTCAAACCTTCACAGCATCAAGCCAAGGTTGATTCGATCCGAGTCGTTTAGTGTTACGGTGAACCTTGTGTAAGTACAGTGCTGAAACGTACATTGCTTCTCAATTGTACTGACTATAGTGGTCCACGTCTGAAGCTTCTGACTAACTATCGTGTTATCACATACCGTACACCCTCCTACCGTCGTTCGTGTTCTGTCATGGTGGTGGTACTACTGTCTACTGTCAGAGGCGGAGTAAAAAGCTCAAGCACCGACAAGTGTAGATAAGATCCCGAGTGAAAAGCCCACGCAGGACCAGTACCGGTTGTACGATAGCTACCGGGTGGGGTGTAGCCCAAACGTGCAGCAAGTCTAAAAAAGTAAATTGAGACCTCTCGTGAGCAAACGTTTGACGACTGTTTCTCCTTTGATGTTTAGAATGTTCTGGTGGAGGCAAGCAAAAACTGGACGCAGGCAACAACAACAACAACAACAACTCAACCTCATCCTCATCCTGTCCTTTGTTCAAACGTTCAAACACACCTAGCTAGTTAATTAAAATACAAGTGGTGAGTGGGGAAATGAAGGGCTCCTCTTGGCCTAAGACACGGGGGTTTAGAGTAGGTAGATTATCTACGGAAGCCAGCCAGGGCCAGGCTTAAGCAAAGAACAGTCGAAAGTCAGGACTCGACTCTGTGGTATCAGGGGCGAGAAATTGAGAACCATTACGGGGGGGGGCAAAAGGTTTGGCTTTGCGGGGTCCATGGAGACATAAATGGGTAGTTTTCACAAGTGCAATAGAGATGCGGCTCTGCATGAAGAGAGCATGAACTGAGTTTGCTTGATAGCAGCTGCAGAAGCAAGGCGTTGTAAAAGAATCTTGGCTTGGATGTTTCTGTTGACCGCTCGCGGAGAAAGATGTTTTTATGAATGGGCTGACTATTGTCCACAACGGCTACAGAGGAAAATGCCAGCAACGCCAGCTACCGGTACTCCTGTTGATTGTAGCAGCCGGTTTGAAGATGCTGGATTGGTGATTCGATACAGGGACCGAAGTCGCCTACTGTACTAAAGGTCCTACACGCACTAACTATAGTAATACTCATATTAGCAATTGCATCCTCCAGCCAGAGAACCGAACATGTGCCAGGTTTTAGACAGGAAAAAAACAGCCAAGAGTTAGAAAACAAATATATCTTATAACCAAGGTAACGTGATATCCACTCCAGAAGAGCAAGTTAGGCCTGCTCGACTTTCCTTCCTTTTGGAGGCGGATGCGTTGAATCCAGGAACGTTCGTGACACAAATCCGATTGCTGAAACCGATCATTCGTATTCTACGGCCCCGAACCACCGAAGCCACTCAGTACCACCGAGCTACTGTACCGGTACGGTGGTACCACCCAGGCAGCTACCCTACCGGTAGAGGTTGGGTCAGAGAAGCCACTGAAGGCTGTAGGTTTCGGCGGTACCGATCGAGGACGGGCAAGTATCATCCGGAGTGATTGGTGCCAGCTAGAGATGTCTGCTTGCTGAGACAGCGTTTCACCTTCGCAGGCGATCGTTGCTTCTCCTTGGATATGCGTATGCATCATCGCTTCGAGACGTGCTGCTGGTTCTGCTGCATGGTAGGTACGGTACCACTCTTTGAGGTTTGGTTGGGGTTCAGGTGACCCCAGTGCTATCTCGGGTGGGTGGAACCTCTCCTGCTCGGGCGGGTCTTTCCCTGCGGCTAAGATCAAGAAGGACACGTCTTGGGGTGGTTGCTAGCGCTCAAGCATCCACGGAGTGCATGGTGACCAGTCGGTTGTGCTTGCTTTGGCAAAAGCCTGGCAACGTCAGGTTATGTCGGTTTTTGGTGCAGCCGTGCCCAGAGTACCCTCGTGTCCGTCTTGTTGAGGTTCGGCGACGATGCCTCGATCGCCTATCCACCCCCATCGTACGCCATTGTTCGTCGTCGCGTGGCTGTCTCTCTGGTACATCGATGCGGTCTCAGGAGCTGTTGGTTTGGAGCGGGGAACGTTTTGGAACCCTGCACTTACAATCAGGAGGCCCAATGTTCGTAGTCTACTGTATGTGAGTTCCAAGATGCTTCGTTGTCGCTGCGTCGCTGCTCGTAAGTGCGTGCTACCAGACCATGTTACATTCGGTTTCAGGGGACGCCCAATATTCAAGTAGTTCAGGTGAAGAAGACTTACAAGATCCACCCTTAGCGCCATTGATCAGCTTTCCCTCGTCTCAGAAGGTGCCGGAAGCGCATCTGGCAATGAATCATCGATCGACCTTGAGACAAGTGTGATACGGTAGATCACAAGGTTCTTGCTTTAAAAATGGATCAGTCAGCTCCCTCGTCATAGAAAGTGCCGCCGAGCCACCGACCTTGAGATACCGCGTGGTGCCTCCCAAGGTGTCGCAAGACGTCGTTCTCCCCCCAGGAGTCCATTTGTTGGGGGCGCATTGCACTATCGTAGAGTCATAGCCAAGAAGCAACCTTTGCACTACCAGGACGGACCGTGGAAGCCCAGAAAAGAGGTGACAGAGTGCTCGCTCCCCATACCAAATTCTTTTACAACACCTTGCTACTGCCAACACAAAAAAAACATTATTCCTACTCCCAAAAGATGTCCTTCCTCCGTATCCCACTCTCAATTGCTCTTGCTTATTAAAGCCACTCATTTAGGTATCCGTGGATCCCAAAGGTCAAGCCCTTTGGCCCCAGTGTTGGTCCTCAATTGGTCCCCCCGATCCCACAAAACCTACTACAGTGTAGCTAGTTCTGAATTTGCCTGGCCCCTCCCTGTTGCGTTTTGCAGATAATTTATCCTTATTTGTTCCGTCTGTCGTGCGTAGGATCGTCTTTAGACGGGGCTTGTGCTGCATGCCATCGAGTGAGTCTAAGTTGGATTTTGACTCGAGTTTTGAGTTTGACTTTCGTCTGGTCTAACATTCACTATAGCATGAACAGTAGGGTAGATTCGACGAGAGGCCAAAGCCAAAACTGCACGGCGAATTCAAATGACCGTCACCACCTGGCGAAATCGCAGGCCACGCCAGAGGTTCGCTGTGGAGGTTCACAACCGGCACTCAAATCGGGACTGACGTCAGTATTCCATTCCGTGGGATGTGAGGTCAACTTGCTCACAATTTCATCTTAAATGTCTTGACCTACTCAATGGCTACAGTAGTCAATGGCTACAGTAGTCGAATGGCTACAGTAGTCGACACTCGACAGTGGACACTTCAAGTGGTAACAAGCCAATAACTAGATAACGATTACACTAGGCTACTAAGCTAGTTTCGTGCGTCCTCGAGACTTCCTCTTTCCAAGCAGAAACTTCTTCTGCAAGTGGGTTTTCATCAATGCAACAGAGCACTTGCACTCGTCCTTGAAGATGTCGGCAAAGGTGGAAACAGCGTCGAACTCATCTAAATTTTGTTCTGCACCGTATGCTCGAACTCCTTTCACCACAGCTTGTGTACGTAGAAACTGGGCTGTTTGTGCTTTGCTGAAGTGCTTTCTCCACTTTGTTTTCCATTTCTTCTCTCTACCTTCAGGCCCTCCAAGCTCATCTTCGAAGTCACCACGGCCACAGTACTCATCAAACAGAGAGGAAAGCGAGGGATGCTTTGGCCGAAGGAAGAAAGAAGTATTGGGTAAGGTCACACCAATCATTGCTCCTTCGTTAATTTCCTGTTGTGTCAGCTGACCTCCAGTTCGAATTGCCGGGATCGCTGCTGCTGTTGCACCGACTTGAAGCAGAGTATCGGCTGCTTCAAAGTCGTTAAGCGGTTCCTCCAAGACACTTTCGAATTCCATTGGAGGTGGTGGATCCCCATGGAAGTCCTGCTGTTCCGAAAGAGCCACCAAGTCTTCTTCCATTGTAGTACTGGTAGCCCCACCTCTTAATGCACTAGCGCCCTTTTCCAGTACAGTCGCTAGTCTCTCTTCTGTTTGTTGTCGCCTGTATTCGCTTTGTTTGCTGTACTGGATCAACATACTTATGCCCTGATTCACAGTTTCAGCAACACTGTCAACCGTCTGCTTAAGAGCGCCGATAGCCGATTCATTGGCACGGTGCCATTGGTGAAGCCCAGGGAGTACTCTCTGCAAATTCGAATCCAACGGATCTTGCGCTTTTTTCAATGCAACTCGCATCTGTTCGACATACCCAATGAAGTCCAAAGAGAGCAAACAACTCAACTCCTTGAAGAGAGGGTGGTCAACACATCGATCTTCGTGTAGCACCATCATTGCCGCTGCATCTTGGAGGAAGATTCGGTTGATATCCATTAGAAAAGCAAGGAAGGCCCTTGCCGTCAGCTTCTCACATTTCGTGTCGGCAGCTACCACAGCATCGTAAGCAGCATAAACCCACTTTCCGATTGGTGTTTGTAGTAGTAGCGCCCTTGTAGGCTCCACAGTGCTCCGAGGAAGCCAATAGACGCTGTCTTTTCCACCAGTAAAACCTGCTAGACCACGAATTGGGGACATGGGGATTTTCGTACTGTAGGATCGATCTTGGACTCCTCCTGCCCATTGCCCCATCTTCCTGATGTTTTCACCTTCTTCCATGAGCATTTCGAGCGTCTTAGGACCAATATTGCGTCCCAGATGCTGTATCTTGTTGCAAGCCAATCCAAGAGCTTTAAGCATGTCTCCTACTGCTTCGCCATAGCTGTCGTTCCTCATTTCCTTCTTGTGGTTCGATGGGGATCCTACATCAATAAGTAATTTGATGTCAAACCATTCTTCGTTCTTCATCCAGTCCTCCAAAGCATAGGTTTCGAGCTCTCTTGTACAGTGAAGTCGGTGTTGAAGGTAGAAAGCCAGGCCATTCACTGCACAATGACGAACGTCCTTATGTCTTGTTGCTCTCCCAAACTGTCTACCACCCCTGGTCGCTGTCTTACCAATGTGGATCTGGTTGATCATCAAGTAAGGAGAGTGCACGTCGTTTGGTGCCTTGGGAAGCTTGATGCCCAAAAAGTCGCTCAACTCCGCACGATGCAAACTTTCCGATCTCAGCACTCCTGATGTCAAATAGAGGAGGCAAAAGCGATGGCGAAGAGACTTGTTGACCGACCTGTAGCCTCTTGCATGCTGGCTGCGGCCGCACATGTAGTCTTCCATCTTGTCATAATGCTCCACAACAGTGTAGGGGGAGAAATCGCCATTCACTTTTTCTTTGTAGTTGGCTTTGTCCTTCTTTGGCTTCCTCTCTTTGACATGCTCTCGCAGTAGGCGCATGTCTTCATCAACCCAAATGAAATCCCACTGAACTCTCAGTGCAGCTGGTAGGCTCCTGTCAGCGCGACTTGTACTTTGTAGATTTTCTTAATAACAGCTTGATAGGCAGTAAAAGTACATGGGCCAATTGGATTCTTGGGCTGTGGAACTGTAGAAATCCTGGCTGCTAGTGGCCCTTTATCCAACTCCTTTGTTACCTCATTGTAGTCGTCAACATCGAAGTAGGTACGGTCATCAGGAGGTAGAGCTCTCTGCTCTTTCGTCAGACCTTTTGTTTTCTGCTCGCGAAAGCATTGGTACCACATAAATCTGTAGACTCTTTCTGCCACCAGCATGTATTTGTAGGGATCATGGGGGTAGGCATGGTCACAGTATTGGAAGTACTCAATGGCTTTGGGTGTTTGCGCCTTGATGCTATGATCAGACCGGTCTTCCTCCCTGCATTCCAACACTTGTTGTCGCATGTTTCTGTTGATTTCATTTTCATTTGGATGCCTCAGGGTGTGAGTTGTCACTGTGCCTCCTGGACTGGTGGACTGCCTCTGTACAGTTCTGCGAGGGGGGGAGCCAAGGGTATTGGCTATGTAGCGACTGGTTGAAATCAGCCTGCTCATGGTGTTGGTTGGTGTTGTTCTGTTAACTCACTCTGTTGGTGTTTGTTGTCACTGCATCCACGGTAGCTAGCTACGTTCTAGATATCGATCCGTACGGATCGAAGGTACGATTGGAGGCTACTTCGCGCCAAGGCCTAAGACTGATTCAACGCAAACCAATGAAGGTACCAAAGGGTATTCTCTGAGTACCGGTCCTCTAAGTCCGGGGTATTAAGACTGGGCGTTGTAATAACGGTTTATTTGACGCGCTGCGCGTGCAATAATGACTTTGACTAGACTCGGAATTTCGACTCCACGTCTAATGTGGCACTCACAAGTTAGACTCAGACAGGTATGTATACCCTGAGTTTAGTGAGAGTCGAGTGACGAGTCCCTTTTCTTGTGGGATTGGTACCAGGACTCAGCACACTCCCTTGGAAACTTCTGTCCGAGTAGCAAGAGTTGCAAAAGCTTCAGCCTCCTGAAATCCTGCGAAAGATCCGTCACCCCCCACTACATGTGTGGTCCCAAAGATACCCATGACAATTAAGCCAACCTGAAGTCAGAAAGGCAACAACAAAAGCACTCAACCATGTCCTCCCGCCGACGTTCCAGTGTGGCTGAAGCCCATGACATTTACCTGAAATACCACCGTCACATTGGGGACGAAGCTGAAGCCAAAGAAGATGTGCCAACAACAGATCTTGGTGGTCGCGATCACAAGGTACAGTAGCAACAGTTCCTTTTTCTCGTCGTTATTCGTTCGCTACGATATTCTGACAAAGATTCCATGTTCCTTTCTGCAGCCAGTACCAACGTTCCCAATGTTTCACAGGGTGATGAAAACGGGTGTCATTTATGCTACCAGTCGAGCACTTTCTCATGGCTTCTCTAATACCACAGAAGAAGAATGGGCCAAGTAAGTCGAGCCTGAAATCTTGGTCTGTATGGATGCATAAATGCTTGGATTGAACTCGGCCTCTCTTATCATTATCCTGTTCTTCTTAAAAAATTAGCATGGGCCAAGGAGCTCCCGAAACTGGCCCCTTGCCAGGGGCGCCCTCTCGAGACTTTACATTGACCATTCCAGATTCCGAGCTGGAATATGCTCCCGTCACAGGTCTCCCCGAGCTTCGTGAAAAGGTGGCCCAATACTACAATCATCTCTATCGACAAGGCAAGGACAGTCAATATACCATAGACAATGTCTGCATTGTCCCAGGAGGACGGGCTGGCATTACCCGTGTCATGGCTATCCTGGGTACCGTGCAAGTGGGATACTTTACACCGGATTACACCGCCTATGAGCAGGCCCTGGGCTTGTTCTTACGAGTATCACCGTCTCCACTGTTGCATCGAAATGTCAATGAAGCCCTCATGCCGGCAGGAGAATTTGAGTTTCAATGTCAAGGACGCGGATTGGGAGCGGTGCTGGTATCCAACCCGGCCAATCCAACCGGACAAAGCATTGAAGGCGATACACTCAAGGAGTATCTGGATATTGCGAGAAGAACTAGTACTTCCATTATGTGAGTGAAAATGGATGGATGTGTTGTGGTTGTTGTTTGGCAATGCAGAACTTGGCTGCTCACGTTTCGTGGCATTCTTTGACCGTCGTGGTTTAGAATGGATGAGTTCTATTCACATTACTACTATGATGGCGAGGGCGTCAGCCCAGAAGATGGTGGTGCAGATGTAAGTTGGGAAAAAATCGCGTTACAGACGAAGTCAAACTGAAACTAACACTTGCCGCTCTGTTGGTAGAATGACACCAACTGGCCAAAGACAGTGAGCAGCGCCTCATACATTGATGATGTCAATGCAGACCCTATTTTGATTGTCAATGGATTGACCAAAAACTGGAGGTGCCCTGGATTTCGTGTTTGCTGGATCGTGGCCCCCAAGGAAATCGTTTCCATGTTGGGATCTGCTGGCAGCTATCTGGATGGAGGTGCCAACGCTCCTCTTCAGCGACTGGCATTGCCACTCATGGATCTTGATTTTATTCGACGTGATGCCTGGGCATTGCAGAAGCACTTTCGAGCCAAGCGAGACTTTTTGTTGAAGGAATTGGCCAATCTGGGTATTCGTGTTATGTGGAGTAAGTTGATTCTGCTGTCATAATGATTCTGATTCTGCTGGTTTGATTCGATTCAAGCTCTGATCCTTTCGCCCCTTTCGTTGGTCCCCTCAATCGACAGAGCCTACAGCCACATTCTACATCTGGGCAGATATTTCACAGCTCCCACCACCACTCAACGACAGTTTAGTCTTCTTGGAAGAATGTACCAAGCACAAGGTTATCTGTGTTGTAAGTACAGTATGGTTCATGTGCACGGGATGGATTGATGGCTCTTCCGACTCGATTCTCACACTTGTTCGTTTGTGCGGTAGCCTGGAGTATTTTTCGATATCAACCCGAGAGGGTTGAAGCAAGTGCACAGGAGCCCTTGCATTGCCAATGTGCGTTTCTCGTACGGCCCAAAGATGTCAACTTGGAACTTGGAATTCAGCAGATTGGCAAGATGATCCAGGAGTGGAAGGACAATCCAAAGTCTTGCGATGCCTATGTTGAGAAAAACATGCTTGCCCATGGGTGAGCCTCTGTATCCTTGGTACAGTCATCATACGGTAGCCAAGACGCCTTCTTTGGCTTTGCGCTACTGGCTTTAGCTGGCTAGCTGGTGCCAGTGGGACAGTGGGAGAGGTGACCGCTGGACCGAGGAAGCCCACCGTACACGTCGAGCGTTTGAGTTGCATTAGCGCTCGGGATACCTGTAATCCACTCCATCGGATTGAAGTTGAGCACTGACACCATAACATGTACCACCTCAATGGAATTTTTGATCTTCGACAAAGACAACAACAGCTCAACAACACAACAACCCAGAGTAGACTAGTACCGGTAGCAGCTTTTATTTATTTTTAATATCCCGCAGTAGACTATGCTTGGCAATGATGTCTACATTTTGTTTCCTCTTGAAAAGGTAGAGCCGCCCTCGTTGCGTTGAGTCCACGTGCTGGCACCATGAGTTCCAATGATGATTCTGACGGTTATTGCGAGAATCATTCCGAAATCCACGAGACAAATGATGAAGGAATGGCCAGAGCCAACAAGGCAGAGATAACCGAAAACATGGATTCAATGGTTCCTTCCATGAATGATGACATGAAGAAAGGATTGTCCGTATTCGAAGAAGATCTCGAAGCGAAAAACCGAGTTGCCGCCAGAGGAGCACCCGCCAAGGCGCTGAAAAGGGGAACTGACGAAGAAAACAGTACCGTTGCAATCGGTAAAGGCCAACCAAAGGCTGCCAAAGCGCTAATTTCAGCACAAGAAGACGTTGTTCTTCGTGATCTCACGTTGACAGAGACCGACAACAAGAAGATTCTTACCGCCGAAGAGGGCAGTGGGTCCCCCTTTGACCCCAACGGCGACATCATGCCCATACCGACACAACTTCGGCGACAAAACGCGGATGTGGAAGCCCTCCCGGGTGCCTATGCAGCGGGCACTCCTGGATTGCCCATAACCAGACAGGTAGAGCTACAACTCTCACTCGTCGGTGCCGCTGCTCGTGCTCAGAGTGAGGAGAACGTGAACCAGGCAAGCTTCCATGGCACGGACAGCAAAAGTAGCGGATTATCTTGTGCTCCGTCTAGTACGGCAAATTTGGCTGTGGCAAATTTGGTAACCGAGATCAATATCAGTCAATTGCCAGCTGCAGAACCAGATGTTGGCGAAATGGACGAGATCAGAAGGGAACGACGCAACACGACAAACAAGTATTTGTTGGCTGGAACCCTTGTCGGCATTTTCATCCTGGTTGTGATTGGAATCATCCTCGCCGTAGTATTTGCAAGGCCAACTGATGACGACAGCATCGATCTGTCTTTATCTTATTCCGACCAAAACGGGCGGCTGACTAAAGAAGAGTATATGTCGTCCTTGCTGCCGGATGAAACGGTGGCTAAAATTGACATTGATGCCGTCAAAACAAACGCAACAGACACAACACCCCAAACCAAAGCATTTCTCTGGTCCCTCAACGACCCAAATTTTGAATCTTATGAAGGATGGCAACTTGTGCAGCGCTTTGCATTGGTGTGCTTTTTCTATTCCACCGGTGGTGACACTAGCTGGTATGAAAAGGGCAACTGGCTCAGCTATTCAATTGATGAGTACAAGTGGTATTACAACAGTGTATTCCAGACAAGCTACTTCCAGAATCTCTAAACTGGTTCAATCCATACAACCTTGTGGAGGAAACCAGCGTTGAACTGAATCATGCATGGATGGCCAACAACAGCTTGACAGGCCCACTTCCACTAGAATTCTTCTTGTTGACGTCTCTGAGGTACGTAGGTTACAGTAGCTTGTGTTGATATCGGTATCAGAAACGGTGTACACATTAGCAACTGCTCATCACTTGTTCTGTAAGGTCAATTGATCTGACCGATAACCCAGGTCTAACTGGGACCATATCCTCTAAGATTGGTAACCTGCACCGCCTTGAAGCTGTTTCTGTTGCTCGATGCAGTCTACATGGTACCCTTCCCACGGAGCTAGGCAGACTTGACAACCTCCTTGCGTTGAGTGCACAGAACATACATCTCTCAGGGGCTGTGCCAAGTGAACTTGGGCTACTTAACACCTTATTCCTTGACTTTGGTGGCTCAGAACTCACAGGACAACTGCCATCAGAGATTGGGCTCAATACTAACCCATCAATAGTGGGGTTTTGGGGCAATGCATTGACCGGAACAATCCCTACAGAACTTGGTCAACTCACATCAAATTTTCTAGATCTTTCAGGGAACCAACTCACCGGCTTGCTTCCATCAGAGCTTGGCAATTTACTGCGCAACCTTGTCACATTCAGCCAGAAGTATGTTGATATAATGGAGGAGTTGATTCCTGGCATTGACAGGAAATTTGTTCTGGATATCATCTTGCAAGCAGCTCTGGAAAATTCAAACAATGCAATCTTACTTGGCAACAACCAGCTATCAGGAACCATTCCAACGGAACTTGGAAACTTTGATGATGTACAAGTCGTGAGCCTGACTAGGTAAGCTGTGCTCTGCTTGACTCGCCAACCCATGAGTGCTTTCTGTTGACCTTGTCCGCCGTCAGCTAGTGTTGCTTTCATCTGGCAACATATTTCTGTTGTGGTTGATCTGCTGTCATTATGAATTGCTGGTCCTGTCAAACACTTTTTATAAGGACGTGGACTCACTGAGAGGTTGCTCACTCCTGCCCCACAATGCAACTCCAGGAATGCCTTAACTGGGACCATTCCCACTGAGCTTGGTAGGTTGACAGGACTCGAAAATTTGGTGCTTTCGAGGAACTCATTGACCGGCCAAATGCCAACAGAAGCAGGACTATTAACAAACCTGAAAACCATGGAGTTGGCTTATAACCAGATCATTGGTCCCATTCCCTCCGAGGTTGGACTTTTGTCTAGTCTGCAGATGCTTTCATTGCAATCCAATTTTCTGACAGGAACAATCCCAGTGGAGGTGGGCTCATTGACTGCAGCAAATGGATCATTGCTGGGTTTGAGAATATGGTCAAGTGGCCTCAGTGGAAGAGTTCCAGATTCTCTCTGCTCATTGGGAAAATGGAATGAGTCACTGTTACACGGCCTGGAATTTTCCTGCAATGGTGTTCTTTGTGGATGCAGTTGGTGTCCTTGTGGCTAGCTAGCTGGGCATAGTAACAAGCAACCCACACAATTTGAAACTTGTACAGAGTACAATCTGATCATCCAGTTCTGTTGGCTCAGGCTGCTTGCCAGCACTATGCATACCGGTATGTTCCTGTTCTGTCAATGCAGCAAAAAGTGAGAGTGTTAAATATTTGACAGAGACGGGTCGCCTGTTCTCATTGCCTGGTAGAGCCAAACAATCACCACGTTCAATGACTCGACGGTGTAAATCCTTGAAAATGTGAGCGCAAACGATTTACCAATGTGAGTCTTGTGTTGTCCTATAATATTATTAATTATATTTAACGCTCGGAGTCCCAGAATCTGGGAGTGGGTCTCCCAGATTTTGGGAGTCATCACTCCCAAAATCTGGGAGACCCCACTCCCAGAATCTGGGAGTCACCCCTGCGCAGCGAACTCGATACCTCTACCAGTACGACTGTACCTTTACTCTATGGTTGATGGTTGATGAGTCTGCCATCATGTACAAAGGAGGTTCTGTGAACCGGAATCGAAGAAGACGGCTGTCGAGGCGTCCCTTGTTGCATTAGTAGTAGTCGCTTGTTGTTTCATTAACCGTAGAGTCGTCGTCGCTCCGTCGTGGTAGAGGAGGCGTCATGGTGGCTCCGATTGATCGCTCCGTGGAAGAAGAAGAAGAAGAAGAAGACCGATCGCCGAACGGCTGCCGCTGCCACTACCGGTAGCCAAGCAAGAGGAGCCTGTCATGGTGGTGAGTAGTAGCCTTTGTAAGAGGAGAGCCGCTTAAAGGAGTAGCATCATCTTGATAGAGTAAATTCAAAGGCATCGATTTTCCTGGAAGACAGGATATTCAGGTAGATGCGGGAATAAAATAGAAATCTGACCCAATATTTACCACACCTACCAGTAGAGACTCCCAGAATCTGGGAGTGGGGTCTCCCAGATTTTGGGAGTGGGGTCTCCCAGATTGTGGGACTCCGAGCGTTAAATATAAGTGCGAAACCGGTACGATGACCCTATTTAAGGCTTAGAGAAAGTGAACTGGTGCTATCCAATAATTAACGTTTGTGGTAAGGTTATTCAAGGATTTAACAACTCCAACTCAATTTCAACTCTTTGGGTGTGGAAGATGTGTTTAACGCTCGGAGTCCCAAAATCTGGGAGACCCCACTCCCAAAATCTGGGAGACCCCACTCCCAGATTCTGGGAGTCTCTACTGGTAGGTGTGGTAAATATTGGGTCAGATTTCTATTTTATTCCCGCATCTACCTGAATATCCTGTCTTCCAGGAAAATCGATGCCTTTGAATTTACTCTATCAAGATGATGCTATATCCTCTTTACAGCGGCTGCTCCTCTTAACAAAGGCTACTACTCACCACCATCACAGGCTCCTCTTGCTTGGCTACCGGTAGTGGCAGCGGCAGCCGTTCGGCGATCGGTCTTCTTCTTCCACGGAGCGATCAATCGGAGCGACCATGACGCCTCCTCTACCACGACGGAGCGACGACGACTCTACGGTTAATGAAACAACAAGCGACTACTACTAATGCAACAAGGGACGCCTCGACAGCCGTCTTCTTCGATTCCGGTTCAACAGAACCTCCTTTGTACATGATGGCAGACTCATCAACCATCAACCATAGAGTAAAGGTACAGTCGTACTGGTAGAGGTATCGAGTTCGCAGGGGTGACTCCCAGATTCTGGGACTCCGAGCGTTAAGTGTGGACGTGTGGACGTGTGAACGTGTGACACCAAGAAATAAATGCGAAAGCAGTGTATCCACGACTGCAAACCCAGATCACGAACCAACCTCCGAGAGAAACAATCCAAAAACAAAAATACTGCAGTATTGGGAAAGCAAGACGACAATGATACTACATATAGGACAAGAACCCCACCGTCCGAGCATCTTCGAAAGGGCGAAGCATGCTTTGCAGATGTGGATGCTTTCCCGATGGTATCAGCTCCGACTTACCAAAGCTGACTGGATTGAGCTCCTGGACTGTCGTGCCAACTACGCAAAAAATAACTACCAAAGTGACTTCCTTCATTTCCGTATTTTGCCGCCCACGTCCCTCCTGAGAGATCGAGACTTTGTATTGGAGCTGATGCCCAAGAATGGCTATGCATATCGCTACATTCATGGGTCGCTGAAAAGGGACAAGGAAGTCGTCAAGGCAGTTGTAGCTGGTGGGTATTACGACGGAAGGAGCGACTTGTCCGACCAACAGAAAGATGATCCAGAGATTATGTTCGCGGCAGTGCAACATTCAGGCGGGGCTCTTGGGTATGCCTCCCCGCGCCTTCGAGACGATCCCAGGGTGGTGTTGGCGGCGGTGCAGAACTGTGGAATCGCGATGCGTTGGGCCTCGGATCGCCTGAAGAATGACCCCACCATTGTGATGGAGGCTGTTCAAAGTTCTTCAATTGCCTTGGAGTCAGCATCCAAGGCTCTGAAGGATAACCCACAAGTGGTCCTGGCTGCTGTTACATCCGTCCGCTGCGAGTTCAAGAGCAAAGGGCTCGTTTTAAAGCATGCATCCGAAAGGCTCCAAGCGGACCCAGAACTTGTCTCGGCAGCATTGGATTACGGCATGACGTTGGGAGGGGTAGTAGAAGGGTGACGAGGGCGACGAGACATTGTACTATGTGCTGCGAAGTATGATCCCGTGGCATTGGAAAGCGCTCATCCTCAGTTACTAGACGACAAAGAGATTGTTGCAACTGCCATCGCATGCAATCCCATTCAACTGCGATTGGTGCCCGACCGCCTGCGAGACGACTACGAGATTGTCAAGACGGCCGTCTTGAGGGGTGGATCTGCCATTAGATATGCATCTAGTCGCCTCAAGAATGATCGGAGGTCGACCGAGATGGCTTTGTCCAATTTTCCCTTTGCTTTGGAGTTTGTGGCGCCCCAGTTCCAAGCAGACGAAAGCTTGGTCCGACAGTGCATCCAAAAGAGCGGCGGAACGCTTCAATATGCCTCAGCAGACTTGCGGGCCCGCCGAGACCTTGTTCGTTTGGCGGTAGAGAACGACGGCAACGCGATTGCCTTTGCCACTGAGCGGCTCAGGGCTGATAGAGAGATTGCAAGATTGGCCTTCGCCAAGCCAGACGAAACGGGGTTTGGCAACTCAGCTCTGGGGTGTCTTTCCAAGAAGCTCCAGGATGACTATGAAACTGTCCTCGCCGCTGTATCCGTGGATGGCGAGAACCTGCAGTATGCTTCCCACCGGCTGAAGAACGATCCTTTCATCGTTGCGGCTGGACTGAAAAGCGGAAGGTTCGCCGAAAAGCCTCAAGTCACTGTGTTTCCAGACAGAGAAGGACGTAACAGGCCTTGTGATGGCTGGATCGGAATGACACTTTGGGCCAAGCTGAATGCTGCGATTGATTTTTTGCGCCGACAAACGGATGGTGGTGCTGCGGATATTGAACAGCTGATAGACGAGCGAGTGGGGGCGTACGACGAAAAGGAGAGGCTTCTACATCACCTCCTGTCCTCCTTTCCGGGTGATGTTGGCGTTTGCATCGCGGGCTATCTGCCCAAAAATGATTTAGACAGCAACCTTTACGAATGTTTGCCGGTGATCCGAGCCTACCATGATCAATTTGGAAAAGAGACCCAACACCAAGCCGCTACTAGGCCATTTGCAATCTTGGAGAACGTATACCTGGAGCTTTGGCGGAACTGATGCGTTGACGCAAAAGGAACTGAAGATGCGGCCCGAACGATGACATTTCCTTTTGGACTTTGAACTAGTCTACCTACCATTTGGAATCCAGCGCGGAGAGGGGATTTGGAGGCCACTGTACCGGTATGGTCAAGTCTCCGTATTCATCCTAGCTATCTGGCTACCGTAGGAATTGAAATAACTCTTCAAGTTAGTCTATTGATACCATTCAGATAGGTTTGACAATCCGGGTGTTGCTTTAACTGGCTCCACGGGTGGTACCGTACGTACCGGTACGGCTAGCAGAAGACCATTTCTTTACAGTTTTACTGGTTTACTCCAACCACATTATTATTGCACGACCACAACCGCACACCCATCTCGCCCATCTCCCCAGCGACCAGTGACAACAGACAAGTCTGCCGAAAAGGATCGAACACTACCAGTACCGGTAGCTAGCAACAACAGCAACAACAGAAGCCTCCAAGTGTGCTACTACCACAGGATCTACCTCTGCCGGAATATTCCTTTTTGTAATTGGCGGACGCAGCGACGTGAAACACAATCCCAGCATCATGCAAGCAGGAGGTGGTAGTGGCCCGGATCCAGCTGTGATGGCTGCCATCGAACGGGGCAATGCAGTGGTTTTTCTAGATGTAGCAATGGGAGAGGGAGATGCCATGTCACCACTGGGTAGGATCAAGTTGGAGCTTTTCGTAAATGATGTGAGTGAGCATTAGTTTGACCTTTTCGTTTTGCTGTCTCTACTCGACTCATCCATCTCTGACTGCCTCTTGATTGACCTGACTCAGTGCCCCAAAACAACCGCCAATTTCAAGGCATTCTGTACAGGTGAACACATGGAGAATGCTCAACCAATTGGCTACAAAGACTCATCCTTCCACCGGGTAGGTTCATTGATTGATTGTTGCCACGAGAGCTACTTTCGCCGTATCCAGTGACGAGTCCATCATGCGGTCTACTTGCTCCTTTGACTGACGTCCGTCGATAATGATGAGTCTTGTTGATCAAAATCAATGTTGTGACCATGGGCTAAAGATACTCATCTATTGTCTTTTCCTTCTCCAATAGGTCATCAAGGGATTCATGGTACAGGTATGTACTTCTTTTTCGTGGATGCAGCCTGGATTGGAGATGTAACTCGTTTTACTAACGATTCGATCCTTGATGTCCCCACCATGCAGGGCGGTGATTTCATCAACAACGACGGAACTGGTTCCAAATCCATCTATGGAACCGCAAACTTTGCAGATGAAAACTTTTTGCACAAACATGACAAGCCAGGAGTGCTGAGCTCAGCCAATTCTGGACCCAATACAAAGTAAGTCTGTTTGTTTGTATCGGCTGGAGAAGCAATGTTGTGGAAGAAGTTAATGGTGTTTAATTTACTGACTTTCTCCTTCAGTGGTTGCCAGTTCTTCATTACCTGTGCAAAGGCAGATTGGCTGGACGGAAAGCATGTTGTCTTTGGCAAAGTCTTGGATGCCCCATCAATGCTCACTGTCCGAAAGTGTGAAGCAGCACCGGTCCATGGAGACAAACCGAGAATGCCTCTTCGAATAGTGCAGTGCGGCGAGCTCTAATGTAAAAATAATTCAACTGTGAGTGTATGGCTGTTATGGGGTGGTCTCGGACTTCACTTCGAGACCGGTGTAAACAAAGTTAGTGGTCGGCAGTTGTTGTGACTTCTGGATGTTGCCCTCTTGTTACAAAGCGCCGTTGGTCGGCCTTGATGTATTGATACCAACATCTATCTGGAGCTCTATCTGGTCGCATGTTCTTGTGTTGTCGTCGTCGGAGGAGGAGCAACTAGTTTGATCTTCCCATGTAGCCAGTTGTATGGAAAATGGAGGCAGAAGCAAGAATGGGAAGTACTGTAGAACGGCCATTGCGTGCCACCTAATCTCGAAGAATTCGAGCAAGTTCCCTTGAAAACGCGTCCTTCTCGCATGGGAATGGCTTGAACAGGAAGCTGTTCGCCCCATTCTCGAGGAAACCCTCTTCCATATCGTTTGCAGACAACCCACAGATACGAGCCTCCACTCCTTGAGCTCTCAGGGCTCGAACTGTTTCGGTTCCAAGCAGCTGTTTCTCGACACTTGCCATGCTGAAATGAAAGGACGTGGAATGAGACGCAGTTGTTAGGAACGCACAGGCATGGCGACGCAGTTGTTGGCTGCGCGTCTCATAAAAGTTACTTACTACTGGTCGATGAAGATGATGTCGTACTCGTTGGATTTGCACATGTGCAGGCTGTTGTGCATAGACGGCAAATATGAGGAGTCGACGTCGTATTCTCAAAGCTACTGTTCGGGAACTTACGCTGTTTCCCCGTTGGATGCTTCTTCCACATGCCAACCAGCGGCAATTCGTTTAATGGCTCTCATGAAGAGCCGTCTGATGATCAAGTCGTCGTCTGATACGAGCACCGAAAAGTGGTTAGACTGACTGATGACTACAAGAACAAGCAAACAATCCCAGTGCTTTGCGCTGTACTCACCAACAAAGAGAACTCTCAGTTCATTTGGAAGTTGCACGGGCTCCGGTTCTTCCTGGGCCAAGTTTTCAGCGTCAGTTATCGAAGGAGCCTCTTCATCTGTCAAGTGTCGGCTGGATTGCTGCGGCGACGACTCTTCACCTGTTGCATCATGCGCATCATCCGGGGTTTCCATTGGGCCAGATCCCATATCAATGATAAACCTAGTGCCCGGGCATCCCTCGATGCCAGTATCAAAACTCTCGTCCAACCAAATGTCTCCTCCCAAAAGGCAAGAAAGATGCTTACACAGGCAAAGGCCGATACCGGTACCTGATACACAAGCGAAAGAATAAGGACAGAATCCCGTTAGCGAATTGCATAAGTACATGTAGGTGAGAAACGGCACAACACCCTTTGAAGCAGCTGTTTACGTGCCTTGGTTCAGCAGATCTAGAGATTCTTGGAACTTTTGAAAGAGTCTCCCTCTCTTCTCTTGTGGAATGCCCGGGCCCGAGTCTTCGACGTATATTCGTACGTTTCCACCTCCCTCTGGCACCTCTGCACGCAGCCGAATAAACCCCTGCGTGACGAATTTCGTCGCATTGATGCTGAGATTTAGCACAACTTGTTTCAAACGCATGCGATCCGTGTTGCAGACCAGATTGTGGGGACACTCCAACTGGACCTTGACCTTGCTTCCACGAAGATGGAGGATGGCCGCCACAGGCTGCAGTACATCCTGCCTCAAATCAGTGGGTGCTTTGGTGATTTTCATCTGCTTGTCGGCTGCTCTGTGCATATCCAGCATGTTTCGCAGGAGCTGCACAACAAGTCGAGGCAATCTCCAGCGTCAGTGAATGTTCCTTCCAAGCAAAAGTTGGATATTGCTTCCATGGCCAGCAGCAGCACGTACCTCGTTGATGAACTGGAGACTGGCATCAACAATGGCCACATCCTCTCGGAGACGATGTCGTGTATCCTCTGTACTCTCTGTTTCTTTGGTTGCCGCCGACACGAAACTGAGAGCCGTAATGGCAGAACACAACGGATTGCGTACCTCTTCAAGAAACAAAATCACGTTGAGATGCATGTATGTTGTACGAAAGCTTTGACGTTCAACGCGCTCTACTGTACCCAGACTGACTGTACCAGGTACCGACTAACTCACCGTGTGCAATGTATTCGTTTAACTGTCGTTCTGCTCGAGCTTGTTGCCGTGCGGTCTCCAGAATGATGCGTGCCTTTTCCGATTCCATTGATGCCTTCATCTTTTGCATTTGTAGCATTCGTCCCATGTTGGTGTAGAACCAAATGGCCAATAGAATGCTGGCAATGAAGATCATGGTCCCTCCCAAAATGACAAAGACCAAATTGTCTTGGAACGTTCCTGGTTGTGCCGTGACCGCCACAACCCACGTGCGATCGGCGACTTGGATATCTAGTTCTTCAAATCTCGTGGCGGCCTCTTGGAGCGTAACGAGGTCGATATCGGCGACGAAGTCGAGTGCGACCGTGCCATTCTCATGGACATAGATATCGGCGCCTCCCATAAAGGTGGGGTTGGTGGAATCGTCGGTGGAATCATAAATGGTGACCGAGATACTGACGGAAGCATCCTGCGCGGCTTCCTGGAGCAGATCCGGCACGCGGACTGCAATGGAGGACAGGACGGTGGGCTTTGCATTCTCGGCCATGGAGGCGTACTTGACTCCAGGGTTGTAGGAGAGGACACTGTAAGCTGTGACCAATCAATACAACAATGCAACAACTTGTTAGAGAGATGTCAATATCATCATACAGTATTCACTCATCCATACAATACCGGTATCATGCACGTGTTCTCATCCAATCTCACCATTCGGTTCCGTTTCTTGTGCTAGTCGAATCCGGTTGGTAACGATAGGTTTCCAAGTGGCCACTGCCCGATCAATGGCTTGTTGTCTGGCTGGATGAGAGTATAGATCTAGATCTAGCGCTGCCTCGTTTCCCGCTACTGGTTCCATGTAATGGACAGGCCAATAACTGGGTTCTTGTACCATGGAAGCGACTTTGAGTCCTCCCGTTTCTTCATTGGGAACGAATCCCACAAATCCATTGTAATCTACTTTTGGGTAGTGCTCTGCGTAGTACGCTCTTGATTCTTCCTCTAGACCCGCTCGATTGTCGTCCGTGACATTGGGGATCATTCCGACCGCCTTGAACTCCAATCCCCGCGAATTGACAGACTCGATCAAAAGGGCAAATTTTTCGCGCGAACACAATCCCATTCGTCCGGCAATGGTGTCATGGTTGGTCTCGCTGAGCGGCGAAAAGCAAGATTCTTGAATCCAAAGACCAAACACTTCGTATTGATTCCACGCATTCTGAATGCTCTTGGTAATGTCCGTGGCGCGACGTTCGAACAAACTCTCTTGTTCGCGCTTGACGCTCACAATGCCCATGCTGTAAAAGGCCACACTGGCAATGGCACCCACCAGCACAATCAAAGCGGTGAACATGGTACGACGCTTGGCCATGATGGACTGATTCGTATTGCTGCTGTTCTTGGCCCAAGCGGGGGGACTACTGTGTTGCTGCTGCTGCGTGGTCGTGTCGGGTAGAATCATCGTGTTGACTTGGCCCTTTTCCGCGGCGTCGAACGCAGAATCATCGTGGATGTTTGTGCTGTTGCCATTGGTGTTGTTGGTTGTTATGGCTGTCTTGGTAGTGACGGTGCTTAAAGAAGTCATCTTGGTCGAGCTGTCCATCGTCCTGCTACCGTACCAGTAGATGGACCTGTTTTTGTCGGTCGCCACAGATAGTTCCGGAAATGATTGCCTAATTTTGATGGTAGCAGATTGCCCCTCAACGAGTGCATGGTGCAACCGCGCTACTGCCATTCGGAAAGTGCCAATATGGCTGGGCACCGGCACAGGTGTCCTGGTGTCAATGGAGTTGTCACACCTGTCAAAGATCCAAAGATCTTTTTTAGTGGTGAGATATATTATGGTGAAGGTGAAGGTCACGTGAGTGCAGAATAAGATCCCAAAAACAGTCAGTGACGATTGAAGTCTTAAATGGTCTCTTGCCTTCGTTCCATGGTGATTATGAGGTTTGTGTAGACATTAAACCTCTCTTGCTTTTCGGAAAGTGTGCTGTTATGTGTTTCTGTTTAGCTACGTACTGTACAGAAACTCTATTAACATCTGCTACTCTAGTATTTTAAAATACTGGTACATGTAAGATCGAACTCGAAGTTCCATGAACCGAATCGGTGGTTTTGCAGCTGGCTGAACATCGGGGAACATTGGGAGCAGCCTGTTCGCTTCTGTGGCTTCTGCGCCTTCCCTTGTCTCTGAGCGCTTGAGCCTGCTTTGTTGAGCCCTTGGTTGTGATGATGCTCGCTTGCCATGAACATACATGTACATGTACACTTTGCACTCTCTCCAATCTCCAACTCCAAGTAAAATGGAAATGCTACCGGTAGCTAGTCTAGCTGCTAGCTAGTTAGCTACATTCGCGAGGGAAGCAAAAACACAAGAGGAAGGCACAACATGATGTTCCGAAAGATCCATGAAGAGCTATCAGACTTCGTAATTAAATCCCGCTAGCTCCCAGCGAGAGCCCGCGAAGAATGATTTGGAACAACAATGATGAGAAGCCGCTTGATTGCCACACCTCGGATATCTCCTCTTCCCACCTCCCACAAAACAGAACCGCAACTCCTGCAACAAATAAATGGACTTCTCAACATGACCACCAAGGACGCAGACAACAGTGTCGAAGACGCTCTGCTGGACGCGAAAAAGATGGACGGCCCTACAATGAAATGGGCGCCGAACGATGTCTTTCGAGGCAAACCCCGTGCTTTCTTGACCTATCACGTTATGAACCATGGGTATGCTTATCTAACTCCACTAGGAGTGACACTTGGCGGCGTGACAGCCATGATCCCACCTCTCAAGAAGAGAATATTCCCTCGATTGACACCACTTCAAGCCGCAGGGACCGTTGGTATGGGGGCTGGAGTCTGTGGTATGGCGTTGGGTCTTGGCCTGATGTACTCCGTGTCGGTGGCCAAAGATCCCAAGATTCCCTTTACAGACGACGGAATCCAAATGAGAGTCGATGGACTTTCCCACAACTTTGGTGTCCGTGTCATGGACGCAGGTGTGGTGGGCGGCTTCACATCTGCTGGTGGTCTCATGATTCTTTTAGGAGGACCAACCTCTCTAGGTTTGTCGGCAGGTGGAATGGGAGTCCTTCAAGGATTGAGCTTGGGCTCCGCCGTTGGAAGTATCGCGTCCATTGGGTGCATCTCGGCCAACAAAGACAACTTGCCAAAGTCTAGTACTGCAATGGAGTGAAGAAGATGAAAGCCTGAAGGAAAGCCAACAAGTGAATTATCTATGCAAGAAATGATGCACAGCTGCACAGCATACCAACCGCGTAGTAGTAGTACGAACAACCGTAAGGAGCTCCCGAATAGCTTCACGTACCGTAGTTGTAATATCTAGTCAAAAGATGCACCAGCTCTGAAGATGGCGACGAGGAACATATCTACATGTACAACCAGCCAGCTGCTTCTCATGTCACACAGAGCCCAAGTGACAATGACAACTGCAGCAGCCTCTTCAACGACAAGAAGAAGCCTCCTCCTCCTCACAAACAAGCAGAGGAGGACGCAGACTCTGTTGAAAGCAGTGACTCTCGATACTATTGAAAGTCTTTTCAAGTTACATTAGACAACACAACCATCATTGCTACGATATCAGTATGTTGACACCCCAGACTGGTACGAATGATAATCATCTCATCATTCTACTACATAGTACGGGTATGCAGGAAAGCACTTTCCGCCCCTCATTTCCGAGATGATTGGGGTCCCAACCCCAACACCACATCTGGTTTTGACTTCTTTGCAACCTGGCCAATAACTAATGTGCGAGACTGCAAACCACGTTTAATACGTTGGCCCTCCATCGTAACAAAAACACCCTTGACACTGGCAAACAATTCCACACTTCACTTCTGCTTTTGTGGGACATAGTTCAAGTGGAACAGCTCCCGTGAGCAGCGTGTAGTAAAGATTTAAAGTGGTGAGCAAGGTCAGTTCAACCAGTTCCATGGGAACAGATCCTGTCAGGTAATTGTCCGCCAGATCCAAATGTGTTAAGGAATTCAACAATCAGTTCAGAGGGGATTCTCCCAGCAACAGCTGTGGAACGTCGAACATCCAAAAATGTCAAGGCAGCATCAGTCCCAGCTCGCTTGGCAGGGTTCCAGTCATGCTGGAGGCAGCAAAATACAAATATTCCATCGCTGTCAACAATCCTATTTGAGTTGGAAAGGGGCCTCGGAATGCACCACTTCCACACCGCAAGAATGACAACAACGTCAACAACCCGATTTCCGTCGGAATGAAGCCGGTGAAGGGATTATTCGATATTTGAATCGTTGACAGTGCTGTCAAAAGTCCAATTGTTGTGGGAATGGATTTGGTGAGACCTCCGTCTGGTTTGAATGGGGCCCATCTTTCAAGTTCCAACGATGTCAACAATGTCAACAGGCCAATTTCGGGAGAAATCATTCCTACGATCCCCCCGTCGCCGTCAAACTTCAATCTTTGATAGCTTTGATTATCAACACAGTTTGGCGAAGTTTCTGGCCAAAAACACTCATGAATGGTCGCATCCAACCAATTGCCTCTTGTATTCTCACTCCATGTTACGGGTCCACCCATGGCATAGTAAATGGTCACTAGGGAAAACAATTGCAGCTTTCTCCATCCCCCCATCGCATTGTATTCGGGATGAGCTTCAACCCAAATACATGTACGTGCGTTTGATTGTGGTGACGCTGGATCCACCAATGCGAGCTTTGAATAGCTTGGGAGAAGGTCAGACAATGACACGGGTCTCATTGTTGGCGGAACAGTTGTTGGAGGCATTGTGGGCGACACGGTTGGAGGCACGGGTGTCATTGTTGGCGACCCCGTTCGTGGCACAAATGGTGAATCTGTTGTGTTGTTTGTGGAGCTGCTGGGCCCAGGTCCTTGGCTGAAGCTATCTTCTCCGCTTGCTGATCCGGAATCGGACCTGCTTGTCACGAAGACTCCCACGATGACACCAATGAGGAGCAGAGTTAAAATAAGAAACCCAGGTAGAACAATCTTCGAAGGTCGGCAAACCCAGAAACCTTCTCTGCGATTAGGATGGGGGTTTCACTCATGAAGATGTCATTTCCTTTCTCAGTGTCAGAAGAAGTCCCAGATTCTTCCACAAGAATTGCTTCCACAAGAAACGATGATGGTGGTTCATGTGATTGCAGTGGAACTGGTGCGTCTTGCTGTCGTGCTTCATGTAAGACAAACTCATTCTCGATTTCCATACCTGGTGCCGGTTCGTCCAATTGAAACATCCCGACCAAAGCGGTGTGGCTTCGATCCTTGTCACTGCTGTCTTCGACCAATACTGCTCTGCTGGCCGTTGGAGGGGGATTCGTCCTGTCCGGCAAAACTGTGTCGCGCTTTGCTCGCATGGCTTCTCTGGATTGTTGCCTCCGAGAGGAATTTGTTTGTGCCGTCTTGTGCTGCCTATTTTGAGGAGTCCCCGCTGCCTGATACCTGTCAATGTCGGTTTTGGCGCCGCCACCGTCGTTCATCTTCTTCGTTTTCTTTCGCGATTTTGGAACTGTCACTTGTGCTGTGGTGCCCTTTGCTCCCTTGGCTCGCTGCTTCCCTTGCTGTTCCAAGCCAGTCGATTTTGCAGCAGCTACAGCGGAAACACCTGGCGTGGCACTCGTAGTCTTTGGTGTTTTCTTTTTCTGGCGAGTTTTAGGGACAGGAATGCCATCACTTAAACTTGCGGCCCCAACAGCGTCAGTATTCGGCGTCTTGTCTTCCGGGTCCTGTTCACCAGCAACGCCTGCACCTTTTACAGCTGTGTCAACAACCAGTGCCTCGCTAGTACTGTTATGACTGGGTGTTTGTTGTTGTTCGTTCAGTCGATGTTCAATGCCTGGTGGCACTCGTAGTTGTAGGGACAGCAATACCATCACTTAAACTTGCGGTCCCAACAGCGTCAGTATTCGGCTTCTTGTCTTCCGGGTCCTGTTCACCAGCAACGCCTGCACCTTTTACAGCTGTGTCAACAACAGTGCCTCGCTAGTACTGTTATGACTGGGTGTTTGCTGTTGTTCGTTCAGTCGATGTTCAATGCCTGGTGTGGCACTCGTAGTTGTAGGGACAGCAATACCATCACTTAAACTTGCGGTCGCAACAGTGCCAGTATTCAGCTTCTTGCCTTCCGCATCCTGTTCACCAGCAACACCTGCACCTACTACAGCTGTGTCAACAACCAGCGCCTCGCTAGTACTGTTACAACTGGGCGTTTGTTGTTGTTCGTTCAGTCGATGTTCAATACCTGGTGTGGCACTCGTAGTTGTAGGGACAGCAATACCATCACTTAAACTTGCGGTCGCAACAGTGCCAGTATTCGGCTTCTTGCCTTCCGCGTCCTGTTCACCAGCAACGCCTGCACCTACTACAGCTGTGTCAACAACCAGCGCCTCGCTAGTACTGCTACGACTGGGTGTTTGTTGTTGTTCGTTCAGTTGATGTTCAATCTTTTGATGGAATCCTTCCAAGTCAGCCTGGTTATCCATGGTAAGTATGAAGGAGACGTTCCCCTTCTTCTTAGTGTCTACTTTGATCTTGGCTTTTCCCTTCTTTGATTTGTGGCATTTCGCAACAGACTTCCAAGTCACCCAAACCTTCTTTTTGTCGCCTCCCGTAGCTGTCTCTGCAATGGACTTCTCCTCAGAGCAGTAGTCCGCAAATCCCACTGCTTTACAGACGATGCGGCCGCCGTCAGATCCGTCGTAAGAGACATTTCTGTATGTTGTTCTCATTGTTGATGATGATAACGATTGCCTCCCGTTCGATGAGAACGAATGATCTTCCATCTTTGGCCCTCTTCTTCGTGAAACTTTTGTTTACTTCAATACCGTACAGTACCCGGAATTGGAGTGGTTGAAGATCTCTCTTCACGTTTTGTGAGGCTTCCTGAGGGCTGGTCCTAACCACATTCATGTGGTTCGTACATTCGCACAGAAAGCACATTTATTTTCATTCCACGTCGCGTATGTGTTTTCATTCTTATCCATTCGCACATACGTCATTCGCGATCCTGAAAGTGCGCAGGGTGGGCGAGCAATTGGCAAGATTCTGACAAAACGCAATCACCGTGCGTCAGGAAAACTCGTGATAATTGTACATGATTGTTCTTTGATAGAATCTCGTTCGTTGCTAGCCTCGCTGCTCGTGCTACAGCTTGCATCATGTGGATCAACAGGCTATCATGTGCATCCATTTGTGGATCCTCTTTCAACACAATTTCCCTTTTTTTGAGTTCTTCCTATCACCGTAACCGAATCGAATTGTACCGCAATCTCCCTTCATCTCTCATCACTGCCATGAGCGACAAAGACAGTGATGACGAATCGGCTAGTGTTGATATAGGACAACACCTAAAAGAGTCCGATGAGCGGAACAAGAGGAAGAGAGAGGAAGCGGAAGCCCATGAGTCTGATGATTCGTCATCGAGTAGCAGTGTAGCCAAGAAACCAGCCGCAGTTGTTGTCCCAGTCTTGGTCCCAGTCTTACGCCCGGTCACAGTCGCAGTCGCAGCCCCAGCAGCCCCAGTCGCAGCGGCTCTCCCTCGTCCACGTCTTAGCTTGCAGCAAATACAACACCGACACCAGCTGCAGATACAGGAAATGCATGCACAGCTAGCCCGTGCAGTGCCGCAACCACCTTTGCCGTACTACGAAGATGAGTTTGGCCAAGACATGTACATGCGGCAACTCAAAGCCGAGCAGTTACGCGAGCGACCGCCACGTCCTAGGATAGTGCGTGATGGATCTCCTTTGCCTATTGGATCTCCTTTGCCTACTCTTGGAGCCCCTTCACCTATGGTACATTCCAGGTCCGCCTCTTCTGTAGAGAGATCAACCTCACCGGCAGAGAGGAAGGCTGCTAGGGAGGTTCAAAGGAAGCACAAAGAAGATCAAAAGCTTGCCAAAAAGCTTGCCAAGAGAGCGGAAGAGGCTAGACTGGCCAAGGTGGTAGCAACGATGATTGCTGGGTATCAGCACGCTGATCACAAGCATAAAATTGTGATCGGGCAAGAGAAGAGCCCTAAAGACGGTGAGATTTACGGCGTGGCTGTGTCATTCACAATGCGTAAAGGACAACCAACCGAGGAAGTCTTGGACTTAACCAAATTCAATAGCAAGGACATTCGTGCTTTTTCTCTAAAGTGTGGAGTAAAGGGAGGCGGCGGTATGACACTGTTCGGTTGCAGGATGGAGATCGCCCGCAGTGTTCAGATGGGAACGATGTACAACGACCAATCAATTTCCAACCCAGGATCCTCTTCCGTAACGAAGAGGATCAACACTCTCTTTAAGGTGTTGAATATTTGCTTCCACGCTAACAATTTCAATGACTTTGTTGCTCTCAACGACAGTAAGCAACGAAAGGACTACGAACAAGAGCCTCTCTCGGAGAATGGAGTTACTGGAAATCCGGTCAAGGACTTTTGGGTTCTTGTGTCGAACGAAATGAACGAGACGGCGGACGACTCTTTTGATACCGTCTTAGGACTGCAAGAGGGGGAAGACGACAGACTCATTGAATGGAACGAAGAACACGGTTTCAATCTTAATGACATCAACCGTGGCCACGACTTTAAGTCAGTTCGACAGCTTGTGTGTGATTTGATGAAAGCTCGGGAGAGATGTCACTTCGAAATGAAGAGGTCTGGCGAGGGCAGCAACGATCTATGGACGTACTGCACAACACCGAAGTTCACTAAACCCCGACAATCTACTGCGGCTCTACCGGCAGTTGCTGTCTACTACTGTAACCATCTTTGCCTCATACATCCGGCCATTGATGGCAAGTTCGCAGCGTTTATGAGCAACGATTTGAAAAGTGACTCTACGATTGAATTTGCCGGGAGCGCCGATTCCGCTGGTAGCAAAGCTGGAAAAATGGCTGTATCCGCCGTGGTGGAATCCCTTGCCACCGCCACCACCGATTTGAAGGAAGCAATGAGCCAAAGAAACAACGTGTCGGAGGCAATCTCTCAAACGAATAGCTGGAATGACTATTTCGATATAGGCGATCGGTATTGTAAATTGAAGGCAGATATCCGCAACGGGGATTCGTCCAAAGCACGTATGGTTGCAGCCATGGAAGTTCGTATCGAACAACTTGAAGCGCACTTGAATATCGTGCCGGCCAAGTCAATTATTGAAACAGAGGACTAATATTTAAATGTGATTCGTGTATTACTCGTCTTCTCTCCTTCTACGCTTTTTATTCCGCGAAGGCCGTTGCAGCTGTAGACCTTTGATTCTTTTTGCCATGAATTCCCGTAGGTAGGAATTCCCCTCAAAACTACCCTTGAAGATATTGTCCAACCGCACGGGATCCCCATCGGCATCATGCGGAACACTAGGAATATATCCGGTACCATTTGTGCTGAGGACGGTGTCATTGTCAACAGTTCCGGCAGCTTCAAGGCGCTCGTTGATACAAAAGTTGTGTAGACGAGCTATAGCCTGAGCCAACCACAGCATGTTCTTCAAGGAACAGCCAAGAGGACGTGCGAGTATGCCCCATTTCATCTGCATAATACCGAAGGCCATTTCAACACGTATGCGACACTGACTGGCATAGAAGTTGAAATTGTCGTACAGCGGGATCAATTTGTCGGTACCCTGGTATATTGGCACCATGCGCTCTGTGGGGATATACGCAGCATCGCCGATTACGCAAGCACCGGCTGGAAGCGACTCCACCAAACCATGTAAAGCACATTGCCGCATTGCATTACGGTCGTCTGAGACTCCAGGAGCAGCATAGGCAAAGAAGATAAACCGAGAATGATGATCGGCCACAGCTTGGATGTTTACTCCATAGCACTGGTAATGGCCGGAGAAGAAACTTCGAATGTTGCCAGTTTCCTTCTTGGTTGGAACCTTGATACGCATAAGATAGCCGTCGACAACACCCACACAGTTGCTAATGGCGCCACCATCGGATATCCCAGCAAAGCCGTCTATTGCGTCCTTTATTTCCTGCCCTGTATTGGGGAAGCGGATTTTCAACTGCGGACACTTACATATTGCCGTTATTGTCTTCCATAATACGCGATAGAACGAGCTCTTGGATATTCCAGCTATATCCGTAATATCAAGATAGGAACCACCAGCTAAATATCGAAGCGTGCAGTAAAGACAGAGTGCGGGAATGATGGAACCTCCTCTTCTCACAGCCTGGGTCTCGTTTACTAGCAAGTCGTCAACTATGAACGAAAGCAGCTTGTCAAAGCTATCCTTGCCCATTCTAAGTCGTCTTGTAAACGTCGAACGCTTCTGGTGTTTCTCACTGTAGCGCTTCCAAGCCAACCTTTGTTCGAAAAAGGAAGGATTCCTAGGTTCGCCCGGTAGACACAGGAGAAGGCCCACCGATAGAATAAAGAGCTGCAAAAGTAGTGCGGCATCTTGTTCGTATTCATGGTCCATGACGACAACAGTGTGGCTGTGCGGCTATACTGTAGTGACTGTAACGACAACGGTAGTACGACAACGGTAGTACATGTACTTCTTCTCACTTTTCAATGATTTGATGATGATGAGGCTCCAGATCTCGAGATCTCACTTTTCGATTTTCGAAACTCGCTAGAGTTAGGGATTCGTGATGACCTTGAGTTCGGCTAGAGTTGGGGATTCGTGACCTTGACTGAGTTCGGCTTACTCGAGCGTTTTGATTGGTCCTACGCGAATTCCAAATGGACTCAATCTACGGTTCGCAGCTCTACTTTTTCAGTATATCCATTTCTGCGAACCGTAGATTGTGTCGATTTGGAACTGACACTTTCCGAATTGGGCAGTTATTGCGATTTGGCGTACGTACGAACGGTATTTTGGCTGGATAGGACCGGTCCTGACTACTAGTAGTACGGTAGATTGGATTTTAAAAAGATGGGTTGTCCAACATGGAGCGCGCCCAGAGGCTGTTGCAGTGACAGTCCCGCGAGCCAGCCAGTCAGGATGGTTGCACATTGCTTCTGGAGCGTTCCTCAATCGTGCATGACTTTAAATCCGACCCTAATTTAGGGTCGGTTTGGGGAATCCGTCCCTAAATATAGGGACGGTTTCAAAACCCGACCCAAAAACGAAACCCGACCCTAAATTAGGGACGTTTTTTCAGAAACCGTCCCTATTTTTCAGAAAACGTCCCTATTTTTAGGGTCGGTTTCGAAACCCGACCCTAATATTGGTGCGTTTTCAATGTATTTACCAGGCAGTCCCGTTTCTATTTAGGGACGTTTTTCAAACCCGACCCTAAAATGAAACCCGACCCTAAATTAGGGACGTTTTTTCAGAAACCGTCCCTATTTTTCAGAAAACGTCCCTATTTTTAGGGTCGGTTTCGAAACCCGACCCTAAAGGGAATCCGACCCTAAATCCGACCCTATTTTAGGGTCGGTTTCATGCACGATTGAGGAACGCTCCTGGTGGTCGCAGCGCAGGGGCCTGGGACTTTTTATAAAATTAACAAACCCTCGCATTTCTGGCCTGCAGCGAAACCGAAAAGCAGCCCGTTCTTATCAGGTTAGGGTTAAGCAGTCCTGTCTTTCAATCATGAAGGCAACAAACCTCAAAATAAATTCCAGACGCAACATTCCCCCTTCATTGGCATTGGACTTGGACTCGGAGTGCGCCTTTGCGGAAGCAATCGACAAGGTCCTGGGTTCAACAACGAATGATTCGATTCAATCAAAGCCCAATGTCGTTATTAATAAGGTTCGAAAACTTTGGCTTCCGCATCATGACGCTCCTTGGTACCGGTAGCTCCGTGTACAGTTAGTATGTAGCAAGCTTGGTGTGCTTCCGCCAAAGTGTGTTGTCCAGTGATCCACCTTGACTCCAACTGGCGTTTGCACCGTGCCTGCACGTATGTATCTCGCTTATTCGGAAGCTGCAATTTTCTCTTTGGTTTCCTCAGTCATCCATAAAAAAGTTTCTCAACTTGGTCAACCGCTCCAGCCACTTCGCCGCTGTATCGTATTTTTTTTTAAAGCAAACTAACTACAAGTATCATGAGCACCCAGGACAGAAACCTCCTCACCATGGCGAGTGATTTGTCGCTCTCGGATCCTTTCAACAGTCAAGTCGAGACGACTATCCGTTCGAAGGTGGTGATTTTCAGCGGTGGACCGCTTGCCTCAGTGGTCGCCGACTTTCAAGACGAAAAGAAGGCCGACGATGGTTCCTCTGCTCCTTCGACCGCCGAAGTCACGGCGGCTCCGAGTCTCGCGTCATTGGGAACCAATCCAGCCACTGAAAGCCCCAAGGTCAGCAGCGTTTCTTCAGTGTTGGATTATCGGGTAGTGAGTTGGTGCGGAACCAAGTTCTACTCTGATTTGGTCCACGATGGCCTTGAGTGGCTTGGCAAGCCCAAGGACGATGTTGTGATGGTATACGAGAGCCCATCCTACGAGACACCCGGAACGTCGTTTGTCAACGCCTCCAAGTATTTCTTTCATGACTCTCCTGCTGGGTCTCCTATCCCTCGCACTACACTGGGACCTCTGCGATACGGTGCCATGACGGGTGATGCATTCCCAGTCTATCTGCAAAACCAACCCGACGCCCAACTCGTCAATCACTGGAAGAACAGCTTGCCTCATTTTGTGGAACCCAGGTTTGTCCACGGCCTCAAAGAAACCAACCGAATCTATGCTTACCTGCCACTTGAGCAAGTTGCAAATCACGTCCATGATCCACAAGCACACTACCATGTCGCTGGAAAGGACGCCATTCCTCTCATGACCACACTCACAACGAAGCTATTGCCTGACACCAAGCAGGTGCGGCCCTGCATTGCCAAGGTCAATCATTCCATGGGAAGCCGGGGCATCTTTGTCATTCGAGACGACAATGACGAGAACGAGTTTTTGGAGTTTCTCCAAGAGACTGGCAATCCTCCCTATGTTGTGTCTGAGTTTATCAACATCGTTCGTAACATTGCATGCCACTTCTTCATTCACCCTGACGGCCGCATTGTGTGGTTGGGGTCATCGGAGAATGTCCGGTTGGAAGACGGAACCTGGAGTGCTGACTCGACCATGGACAGAACCCAGCAAGACATCCTTCAGGCTCTGCAACTCCCTGGAGCCCGCGACGTGGCTGACTACTGCTTGTCTCTTGGCTTGTGGGGTTTCTGCGGCATTGATGTGTTGATTGATGATAAGGGCCAGGGGCACGTTGTGGATGTCAACCCCCGTGTCACTGGTACCTGTCCAGCTCTCATGGCATTCCGAGGGATGCAGAAGCGTTTTGGATTTGACTACGGTCTCTTTCGTCGAAGCACCAGCCACGCCTTTCCTGGTTCGCTTGCTCAGTTGTTGGAGCAAGTGGAGGCTCACAATGCAAACCATGAGGGAGAAAGTCGTATCGTTTTGTTCAGTGTTGCCGAAAAAAGTGCAGACCAGACACTGTTGAACATGGGTGTTTACGGAAAGTCATTGGAAGATTGCGAGGTCCATCTGAACCACTTTTCTCGAGTCTTCCGTTACAAAAAGGCTACTTACATGTGATGACAAAAGACAAAAAGATGATGAATTGAATGGCTGATTTGCGTTTGCCTATGAGTATGCTATGCATGTTGTTTACGAATGGATATTCCAATGCTAAGAATGCTTGTTTAGATACATGTAGCTTTCATTTATTTGCTTATAGAGATTGCTGCTTGCCCCCCACCCGCATTCTTGATGATATCTGCTTGTGGTGCTATGCATGTTGTTTACGAATGGATATTCCAATGCTAAGAATGCTTGTTTAGATACATGTAGCTTTCATTTATTTGCTTATAGAGATTGCTGCTTGCCCCCCACCCGCATTCTTGATGATGTCTGCTTGTGGTGCTATGCATGTTGTTTACAAATGGATATTCCAATGCTAAGAATGCTTGTTTAGATACATGTAGCCTTCATTTATTTGCTTATTGAGATTGCTGCTTTCCCCCCAAGCATTCTTGATGATATCTGCTTGTGGTGCTAGAAGACCAATTGCCCTACTAGACTAAACTTGTGCCATTAGACGGGCTCGGATCCGATTGCTGAAACTTGTACATACAAAAGAAGTACCGATACACTAGCTACCCTGCAATAGAGGATTTTTTTGTCTTCATCTGCTTGGGACCTCAGCCAACCACCATCATCTGCATACTAGTAGCTCCAATTTGTCAACCATACATGTGTATCCTTGGTTAGCACGCATCTTTCTAAAAGCAGTGCACCAGTCTGTGCTGGGGGTGCTGTGGGAGTTCCCATAGGAGTCCCTGTAGGAGCTCCGGCTGGTGTTCCTGTGGGGGGTTCTGGCTTGTCACACATTGAATACCCGTACTCCCCACAAAGACCATCAAGGTCCCAGATCCTCAACTAAAGGGTGTGCATTCAAAGGGCCCATCGCACAATTGACTTCTAGTTCCGCAATACCATCCTTGTGCTTCCAGATCTTCACAGCGAGGCCTTGCTTCTTCAACAACCAATTGCGGTGCCCGTCGTTTAACTCAAAGGGAGACTATTGAATTCCAATTTGCGACTGGTTCCTTGAAAGCGCTCTTCAAGATGGGATGTGCACAGGATATACCACCCCTCCATAATCAAGGATAGTCTGACCAGCAAGTAGGCCCCACAGTGATTTCACAGAACTCTTGAAAAGTCGTAGAGCCGTCGAAATGTAACTGATTCTGAAAGAAAGCTGTATCTGCACAATATGCTGGATCGTAGCAGGAACCGGCATACAGACCCAGCAGCTATCTTACAAATGAAAACTATGGCTATACAGGAAATAACCGAAGCATTATAAGCTACACCTCACTAGACAATTCCGCTGGAATTGGTGCCATTAGAAATCGACATACCTCAACGCAACAAGACGCTCACTGGCAATACACGGCTCTAGCCTTATTCGCGATCTGATCCTAGATGGGTTTGGGTTTGACTCATGACTGTGTCTTTCGTTAATAGTCATTGAGAAAGGGTTTTCAATGACCGCGTTAGTCATTCTAGGTTGATTATGAAACTTCGCTCTATATATTTAGCTGGCGTTGAGAGCTTCCACGCTACTTGACAGTTACTAGCTGAATTTTCCACGTTTTCCGGAAATGGACCGTGGAGTACGTAGAGTGATAGTGGGGGGGGGGCCAATAACCTAGCGATATCACACTCGAGGCCTCCCGGGGAGAGCCACTTCATGAGCTTTCACAACGGGAGCGGCTCCATGGATGTAGGGTTTCGGACCGTTTCTAGAGTCTTCTCTCAGAGACTCATCGCGGTCAGACTCGAAACACCGAAAGGGAGGTCTGGTTACAGGCGTAGGGCGGATCGTAGGGGCGAGGGTGTAACAACCACAAGCTTCAGCACGGCGGCCTGGCGACCTGACTCGCACCAGGAGAGAGTGCTGCATAGGCAGACATGGGGCGGGGGCGGGTTCACGGGCAACTTGCCAGAACACATGTTGCGAGCAAACCCAGCTCTGCGCGCTCGGGACAACGACGGAAGACGCCGAGGGATCGGACCGATGCTGCGGCAACCGACCATACAAACGGCGCGAGGCGCGGGCCTGCAGGAGTCGAAAACAGTGGCCAGAAGACAGCGCTTCCAAGGGGAGCTCGGAGGGGCGGTCAATGGTCCAAGCACTCCACGGCAGGAGGCCAGCAGTGGCTACGAATATGGAGAAGGTCCTCGTCGGTGGACGTGCAACCTGGCCGAAGTCGCGGGACGACAAACAGGTCGCCTTGCTCAAGGGAAATGACTGCGCAGCGTGCGTCGAAGAGGCGCGACGGGAAGCGGGGGCAGGCCACAGGCGCGCACCACATACCTAGCGGACAAAGTGCGTGAAACGCAGTTGCTCCAGGGCGCGACGTGGGCGAAAGAGAGCCGAAGTCCGATTGCCGAAGCGGCGGCGTGCAAGGCCGCAGGGGAGGCGGGCAGGGCGAGCCCGCTGCGGGGCGGCCTAGAGGCGAGAGGACAGCACCGTGGAGAGTCAAGCGACGGTTATCGAAGCAAGCCGTCGCCTAGCAAGGCGTCTCGGAAAACAAAGAGCTGCTTGCCATGCGTCGCAAGATCGTAAGCGCTGAGGGCGAGATGAAACGGGTGCGCGCCTAACAGCAAGCAAGCGCGGCGAACTCGGATGAACACCGATGAGCGTCCACGTTTGCCACCCTTCAGTGTCAATCAACAGTTGAACCAGAACGAATTCATCGACATCAGGGCGCATGGGCATTGGCGCCTGCGCGTCGCTGGATGGCGCAAGGATGAAAACGAACACCGGATGCGGCGAGGTCCGTGTCGAGCGCGCGAGGATGGGCACGTTGATGAAAGCGGAGGGCGGCAGGAGTCCGCGCGAAGACGTTGACGAAGGAGCAGTGGAAGGCCAGGAGCAAGTTTCCTAGCGGGAAGAAGACAGGGAACAGCAAGAGTGAGCAAGTGTTACTCGCACAGGTGGGGGACGACCATCTTGCCAAGGGAGTCGAAGAAGAGGGTGTGAGTACGCCGGGGGGGCCGGGGGGGACGGGAGGGTCCACAACGCCAGCAAGACGCGAGGTGCAGACGCTAGGAGAAGATCTCATAGGCCTATTCTCCTCGTCTGACATATCTGATAGGCTATTAGGCCTATCGTATCAATACATTAGTATACTAACTGAATCGCAAGCCCTGACAGACGCCGAATCCTACTACCAAAAAGGAACTTCGTCCGTAGAAGAAATCTCCACACGCGCGGCAAGGGGCGGATCGGGCTAAGAAGAATAAGCGGTAATGCAACCGGGTATTTGGGCCTTAAGGAGTGCTTAAGTCGGGGTATTCGACACGGACCCTGCAACATGAGTGGTAAAGAAAATGGGGGCGCGTAGTCGATCCTAGGGAGGCGCTTGCCGTATTCGACTTCAATCAGTCAGATGGAGAAATCTCCGTCAGAGGATTAGGCCAGGATGAAGAATCAACGGAACCATGTACCGATTTCTCATACAAAAATGATGAAGGCGATGAGTTCGTCATAACAGTAATTCATGAAGTGTTTGCAACTTACGAAGTCTACGGCAAATAGATAATTGCCTAGAAAACTGCTCAACTAGACTATGAAGATCTATTTAGCATAGTTAAACTCGTCCGTGGCAAACCACCTCGTCAACTTCGCAAGACAAGAAACCTCAAAACTATCGTCAATGTTAGATTCAACAGACTAGAAAAAGGGAAATACTATATAACTCTTATCATTCTGTTTTTCTCGTTGCTACGATACAGGAGCGTCCGGTAGTTAACCGTGAGACTCCAAGTCAGTAAAGATTAAAGCTATGTGAAGATCAGTGGTGCTGTCCAATCATACTATTGACTACCCCTGTTTAATAGGAATTTTTGAACCCCAGAGATCGGAGAGGGTAATGGGGCGACTGAGAGACGCTGAAGGCCCAGCGTATGGGATAAGATGTATTGTCTGAGGGATAAGCTGTTGTGCACGCCACCGTGAAAGAACTGGGCGAGACATGACATGTGCCGTAAGTTGGTCTTAATGTGACTTCTCTCCGACTAAGAACAAGTGGCGATTTTTTCAACTACACTGGGTGTGGTTTTGGGTGTTGCCGTGCAGCCGAAGTGATCTACTACATCGTTTCCGCTATGAAAGAGAGGAATTTTCCTAATGTAGGAAGTGCATGAAACCGCTTCATGTCCCTTAGTGGAGCCAATGCCCGATGCCGAATCAGTACTGGAAATGCGACACATTTGGACGACTACGAAGTAGAAACTTTTCGTTCGCTGTGACGCTGAAGGATTCTCTCTGATTCACACGAGGATTGGTTCACCCGTGAACTCCACGTGCCATTGTAGTCCGTTTAACACTCTTACGACAGAGTTCGAACTTGTTCTTCTTTTTTTTATATTCTTTCTATTTTTTGTTTATTTTTTTTTATTCTTTATTATGTATCTTGGATTTTTTTTTCCGTTTTCCGAGTTGTACATCACCTTTTTTTTTAACTAGTGATTCATGTAGTCCTATAAAGAATTTGATCGTATTATTTGTTCTATTTTCTCGACGTCCGGGTTTTTTTTTGTATATCTGTATACTATATATAGTATGACATATTGTATAACTCTGTGCTCGTAGGGCCGAAGTGATATCAAGATCATGCTATCTTTTGAATCTTATTGACAGGATTCGAGGAAATACGAGTTATCCTTTTTTTATCTGATATTACGCTTAATTTCTCTATGCATGATAGCTCGTACATCGTCTCAATAAGATGTTTATATCTTTATTATCTCTTATTCTTTTTTTTTTTTTCACTTATCTTTGATTAATTCTCTGTCTATATCATGATTTATTTCATATTTTTCTCCATTTTTCCTTATATCTTTAATCTTTGCGATTTTTTCTTGTTGATCAACGTTGTAATTAGTTTTAGTTTAATGTTTCTCTAAATTAGTGTTTTCTCGAGAAGCCGACTTAAGATCAATGCTACCAAGTCCTTCTTTCGAAAGAAGAGAACTTGAATATCTAGGCTACTGGATTACTTGAGAAGGAATCCACCCTAACCAAGAAATTAGACGCGATCAGAATATCGCCCTCCTACGAACAGAAGAAACTTGGTAGATTCATTGGACTAGTGAACTACTATCGAGACATAGGGATCAGAAGATCACATGTACAATAACGTCGAGGATCCCAAGAAAAGAATCCCTGTCCATTTCATTGCTTGACAATGATTGATCCCGTAACCGAATGGTTCGAGATTGCCGAATCTGCTGCCAATGCAGCAAACGAAGTAGCCACCGTCTAGAACAACGTGGCTACCCAGTATCCATGGCCGCTGAGTTATCATGGATAGAGAACTGAGTTCCGCGCAGAAGTCGAGAAGACTCTCCGGAAGCATATGGACTTCGTCGCAAGTTCATCACCACACGTGTTCCATCGTGACGCGATTCACAACATCCAACTCATCCAGAAAAACAATGAGAAGGAAACGCGACGCGTGTCCCTCATCAATACAATGTCAACGATACCGTGAGATTTCAACAGTATCACACCGCAAGTACGGTCAGCCAAAGTACGAAGGTCCTTACAATAAGACCGAGTCAATAAAATTGGAACGTACGGCTCCGACATGCTACCGCCAATAGCGGCACAGTCTAAGACTTGGAACATAAGTTATTTACACCCATACAAGGCCTTATCCCCTTGTAGGATTGCATCGTGCGACGCACATGTCTACATCCAATCTCCGGAAGAGTGCCCCGCACTTTAACCATATGTTCTCCTTGTCCGACTGATTTCGCGCCTTCTGTGACCCTTGTCAGGGGTGAATGCAATACACGGCTTTACCTTATTCGCGACTCGATCCTAGATAGGGTTTGAGTTCGACTCATTGACGTAGTCCTTCGCGAATAGCATTGAGACAGGGTTCTCATGACTGCTAGTCATACTAGGTTGTCGATGAAACATCGCTCTAGATTACCGGCGTGGAAGCTTCCACGCTACTAGACAGCTACTAGCTGAAGTTTCCACGTGTTCCGGAAATGACCGTGGAGTACGTAGAGTTATTGCCATAACCTACGATATCACACTTCGAGGCCTCCCGCGGGAGACCAACTTCAATGAGCTTCACAACGATCTCTCTCATGGATTAGTTTTCGTAGCTTTCTAATCTCTCATAACTTTCATTCTCTCAAACTCAAAACACTCGAAAGATCTTTACACTAGCTTTTAGCGTAGTGCATCACTTAGGAACGAGCCTAGTGTAAGCCCCCTGCCAGAAAACCATGGCTATAAAGAGCAGGTTCATAACTAAGCAAACTTTCCAGCTTCTGGAGCATTCCCCGATCGTGCGTAGCCACAAATCTAATCCGCCCCTATTTTATGGGCGGATTTATGGCAGAATTCCAATAGGGATGGGTTTCAAACCTGCCTTTTAGGGGCGCTTTTGGGAATCCACCCCTAAAATAGGGACGTTTTCGGTATTTAGGGGGAAGTTTGGAAACCATCCCAAATTGTAATTGGGACTGCATTGTAAACACATTGAAACTGCCCCTATTTTAGGGGCGGTTTCTGAAATCCACCTTTAAAATGGGTGGGTTTGGAAAACCACCTCTCTTTGTCGGATTTATGTGCAGATTCTCTCCCCGTCCAACTACCCTAATTTAGAGGTGGATTCAGTAACATGCACGACTGAGCGACACTCTGGTAAAGAAATAGAAAATTCACACAACAATACAATTACATGCATGTTTGAAGCTGAAAAGTCATCTACCTTCTTAATGCCAATTTTCTCTTCATTTCTACATCCAACTCTTCCTCATCCTCATCCTCCTTTGTTCTCCCATATCTTTCTCTTCTTCCACTACTTCCTCATCTTGACTTATACATCATCTGCACATCATCATTTCCAGTGCTACTCAAATACCATAGAACAAGAGCATTTTGCTAAGGCAGCTGTGTCCGATATATTGTACCGACTTTAAGTTTCCTTCCGTTACCTTCCGTTTTTGTATGTTGATATAGCGAATATAGAAAATCTGGGATTGCTTTTGCATTCTTTTGAACCTAGCCAGAATATGTTCCAGTCAATGCCTTTATTTTGTTTCAAACCAAGCTGAGGTCTGATGTCGAAAGCTTTGTTTAACTCAGCAGTTTTTGGCTACCGGTACTATTAGTAATAGCACTGACCATTGTTAGGGGTTCTAAAATCTGTCAGAGCTGCTGTTGGAGTTTATGGCTTCAACACTGAGGAGAGTTTACCTCAATCCCTCCCGACTTTAATTGTGAAGCATTTATTTAAGCCTTTTCTACCAAGGCTACACAAAAGCTAGTGACTTAGACAGACACGCAGGAGTAAAATGTTGCATTGGCAAAACACAATACTACTATTTTACTATACGTCTGTACCATAGATTGTAAATATATTACATTATTCCTTCTTTTTATTACGCCTCCAGAGAGTATGGCATGTGTCCAGAACTATTGAAACGTACACTATTACTATACGATTTGCTTCAATGCAGGATTCAAAGTACTGGCATATATCTTCAAAGGAGCCCCTACCAATGCCTGTGCAGCATAGATAATGCCCTACTCTTACTGGGTAGTTTTAAAGATATAAGGAATGAAATTCGAATCCTGCATAAGCACGCCTTTACACCCCTCAGCATAATTCACTATACATTTTGCTGTATGAATCTACCTACTAGTGAATTTACGAATTTGTACTGATTTACTATATGTAGTCGCTCTATGCAGGATTCTCGTTTGGCACGGAACACGAAAGAACGATCGATGCATTTTTCATTGGTCACGTTTACATATGCCTATGCAGGAAACAATTTTTACTGGTTAAAGGAGATATAATGTCGATAGTTCGATTCCTGCATAGCAAGGCTTTTGCACCCGTAGCATCTTTTACTATATAATATACTGTACGAATCTACCTGGAAGTGCAGTCACAAATTCTCATCAGTTGTCACTAGTCAAGCTAGGAGATAAGTAATTCGAGTCCTGCATATCAACGCTTTTACACGATTTATGTAGCATTATTTACTATACAAAGTACTGTAGGAATCTAGATTTGAAAAGGAATTTGGTACCGTGTATGCAAACCACCATACAAATCTATAGTAAAATAGTACGATTGTGCTTTGTCAACACGAAATGGTACTCTATCTCGCATCTCGCTCCTTGCTAGCTAGCTACTAGCTATTAGCTACAAGCTAGCTACCTACCGGTACTAGCTAGCTAGATAGATCTAGTAGTAGCTAGCCAGGTTTCCGGCGCTTCCTCTTTCTTTATCTCTAACCCTTGCATTTTAATAAAATAATTTTATTCCAAATATCCAAGCTCCTCAGTGGCTCCCCTAGGGTCGTTATTCTCTTATTCTATATAATATTATTAGATTCTTTGTGGTGTCATCAGCAGCAGAACTACTAATTCGCTTCAGTAAACTCAACTAGAAAGCTGTTTGCGTTAGCTGTACGTTGTCTTTGTGTTATTCACCGAATATCAGCCGTTGCTCAACCATCCGCAGCTGGATCCACCAAATCAGCACCTTCTTCTAGAGGCCTGATAAATATGTGTGTTGGTACTATCAGTAGCATCCACCTGGATAGCTTCTTGAGATCTGAAATGTCTTGTTTAATCGGATTGCAAATATATATAACTTTTTACTTTCCAACCTCCTTGTCTGAAATCTTCTGCATATACTTGGGAGTCTGGAATTTTGGATAAATTGTTGAGCTCAGAGATTCTTGGAAAGCATACAATGTAGATTGTTGTTAAGCAAGATTGATAGTAGCTATCGAATCTATTTGATTCAGAAGCAATTCTAGTTGATCAAATGCTGTCGCCTCAGCATTCTGATCTGTTTGTTACGTAATTTATAACTATATGCAGAGACTTTCAAAATGGCATTGAATCAAATATTAATGGGCTGACAATCCACTGTCAAATTAGCAGAAATGAATGCAATAACAACACGTTTGGGAAAATTCCACTCTGATGCATTTCAGAAAACTCTGGATTTTAGTAGCAATACACATCCCAAAGACACAACACATTGGCATTCACACAGAGGTTCTTAGAAACAACAACAGACTTCTGATACATTGCTTCTATTCTTTTGTCTGTTGAATTATATTTCTTTTGAAAATCAGGTGATTTTTGGAATATCCAAGAAATACGATGGAAAAAACTGGAAACTGACAAAACGAACGGGGTGGTAGTCATTTTTCCGTCTAGCCGAAACTTTTTTATAACCTTTCCAAATGTTGTAGTTACCAGTAATAATGTGCCGTTTGCCAAAAGCACCATGTACTCAATTTTTTCATCCCTTCTTTGCATATGCTGAATGTACAACTGCTTAATGGGACCAACATTAACGAAGTCTCATCTATAGTTGTTAAAGTACAAGTACTTTGAGGGAATCTCCACAAGGTTGGCGACGAAGCGTGGTTAGCTTTGACTAGACCCGTTGAAGACGTGCAAAGGCAAACGATAAAGAAGAAAACTAGCTAAAAGCCTGCATAGCTGTGATAATAATAATAATGCAGGAAAGCTGTAAAACGGGCCAAAATAGGGTAAGAGGCACGACTGAAATTGCCCGTTTATCACTCCCCTCAATGAGGATTGTGACTCCAAAGTAGATTGAAATTGGAGAAAAGATGCAAAAGTGGTGGAATTTTGCTCCCTTTTTTGCTAATGATTGACTGTGAGGGAAGAGAGTTGTTTGCTCCCCTGGTTTTGAGGAGGTTGCTCCCCTATCTCCCACATGTCAGCATGGAAGAGTGGCCAAAAGAAGGTAGAAGGTGGCTTGTGGGAGGACAAGAGGATGGCAATCTTGTCATTGGTGGTGAGGGGGAATGTTGGCTCCCCTATTTTCATTGTGTTGGCTCCAAAGAGGAGAAGGTTGTTGTCGGAATTGGAGCCAAAGAGATTGAAGATGGGCTCCGTGGAGGAGGCAGTTGCCATTGCTCCACGGCCAGAAAGTGGTTCTTTCAAGTTGTAGGCGCCGATGGCCAGCATGCCTTCAAGCATGGTGGTTCCACATCGTTGAAATGGGTGTTGGGCTTATCGACGAGAAAAGAGGCTTCGTTGAAGAGTGGCTGGCATGGGCGCATTCCAAGGGAGAAATTAGCTCATAGACATTGGTAGAAGGGCAGATAATTCGCCGTGGTTTACAGCTCTTCTTCTTGTTGTTGTCGACCGAAGGTTGCTCGTGGTCGTCGGCAATGATGTCACTGTGGGCAGCATCGTTGATGGCCAAAATGGGGTTGTTCGTGTCACTGATGTAGGAGTCAGTGGTCAGCACCGGAATCTCCTTGTAGGCGATGATTGTCGTCTTTCTGTGGTAGTTGGCATGTGGTAAAAGTGTCTCCTTGCAGGTGATGGAGGCAGTTGTTGGCTTTCCATGGTCGTAACATGGTTCCTTCATGCAGTCATCAAAAGGTAGCTTTCCACGGTTGGGAATTCGCTCTTGCACGTTGTTGTTGTCGCACCGGTACACGAGCTTGTCAGGATGGACTTGACGAGTAGCATTGGCATTGGGTTTGTCCGGAGTAGCATCTTCTTTGGTGCAGGAAGTACTGTTGCCGTCTTGCATAAGTTTGCCAGTATCCCCCCTTGTTCGTATGACATTTGCAAAGGGTTGGACAGACTCTGCAGTAGAGGTCATACCGGACACACAAATGGCAAGCGAGAGCCAAGAATGCTGCTGGCTCTTGTTGTTGTTCGTGCGAGCTTTTGCCGTGACAATTGTTGTTTGAGGAGACGCAGTGTCATTGTCTTTGATTTGTTGATTCCGTCGGTAGAAGGCTCAGTCTTCAAAGGTGGCTCCATGGCGATGATTGTCGGATTCTTTCCATGGTCGTCGTCAATGAGACCGTTGGCAGAAGGCTCAATCTCCGGTGTGAATTGATGAGTAACGGCTTGGGCGAGACGGAAATCGGTGTTGTTGCGCGTGGATTTCTTCTTGTTGTCATTGTCCCTGTTGTCAGAAAGAAATGGGAGGAAATTTCCGTCAATTTCTAGCATGGACTTATCATTATCTTGAGCGTCAGCGGCGACACGACGGTTGGTTGTGGCTTTCGCGAGCAATACTGGAGGAGTAGCATCATCGCCACTGTGGTTCTTGTTGTTGACTGGAGTAGTAGTCACCGACGTGAAGCGTGATTTTGGAAGAATAGCAGCGCAGTTCTTGTCATAGTTGGTCGTGACAAGCGTTGCAACTGGGGTAGTATCAGCAGATTCGAAGCATGATTTTTCGACAAGACCGGTAGTAGGAGCGGCGTCTCCGTCGTTCTTCAGCGTGGAAATGCGTGTGTCATTGTCAACATTGGTTTCCAGCGTGGATTTGTCCTCCAACAATAAAGGCGGCTCCTTGGCGACGGTTGTCAGCTTTCCACAATCGTAATGATTGTCGTTCTCGTAAGCGTCGGCCGTGAGGACAAGCTTGGTTTTGACAGTGATGAGCGAGCGTCGTTGCAGGAGTAGCGCCGTCTTCATTGTCATGTTTCTCCGTGGACTCCGTCGTGGATTTGGCATCATCTTGAGTAATGGAATTGGCATCCAACGGTTCTTCTTCACCATAGAGATCGTAGCCCGTCTCAATAGTAGGCTCATCATCATCGTAGTAGAAATCATAGTCAATCTCCAAAGGTGGCTCATTGTCGGGGTCGAACGCGTAGTCTGGATCAGCTTCGAAAGTTGTTTCTTCATCATCACACAGAAAGTCTGGATCGGCTAGAAGCTCAAGCTCACTGTACGGTGAATCATTGTCATCAAAGACGCTTGGATCGTCATCGTCAAAGGAACGGCATCGGCCGTCCATAGACGTGGCCGTCATGGTGGAAGGGCGAAAAGCAGCCATTGGCGGAACATCAAATGTTACGTCAAAAGGCTTTCCAGCCACCATTGTCATCGCAGTTGTGTAGATCATAACTGTGACTGTTAATCTGCTAAAGTACAAATACTTTGAGGGAATCTCCCTTCACAAGGTTGGCGACGAAGCGTGGTTAGCTTCGACTAGACCCGTTGAAGACGTGCAAAGGCAAACGATAAAGAAGAAAACTATGAGCATTCCTGCTCTTTACAAAACTAGCTAAAAGCCTGCATAGCTGTGATAATAATAATAATGCAGGAAAGCTGTGAAACAGGCCAAAATAGGGTAAGCGGCACGACTGAAATTGCCCGTTTATCATAGTATTCGGAAGCTTGCCAGCATCCGATTTTAGCAAAGAGCGACTTGATTATTAGCTAAGGAAGTTTTGGTTGTTCAGAATCTTTAGGAAGTCTGGGGCATATCTTTAAAGTGTTCATTGATTGATTCATCATTGCTTCGATATCATTATGTTGACACCTCATACCAATATTTTCTGCCCCTCAGCCGTTTTCCCAGAGGATTGGGATCCCAACTCCGACATCACATCTTCATATGGGTGCTCTATTCAGTGATTTTGACTTCTTTTGCAACCTGGCGACTAATGTTCGAGATAGCAAACTATGTTTAATATTTTGCTGGCCCTCTATTGTAACAAAAACATCTTTGACACGGACAACCAATTCCACACTTCACTTCTGCTTTTGCGGAACATAGTTCGAGTAGAACAGCTCCCGTAAGAAGCATATAGTAAAGATTTAAAGTGGTGAGCAATGTCAGTTGAATCAGTTCCATGGTAACAGATCCTGTCAGGTAATTGTCCGCCAGATCCAAATGTGTTAAGGAGTTCAACAATTAAAGTAAAGAGGAAATTGTCCCAGCAACAGCGGTGGAATGCCGAACATCCAAAAGGTCAAGACAGTCGGCAGTTCCAGCTCACTTGGTAGGTTTCAAGTATACAAAAATTCCATCGCTGTCAACAATCCTATTTGAGTCGGGAATGGGCCTTAGAATGAACCACTTCCACAATGCAAGAATGACAACGATGTCAACAACCCGATGTCTGTCGGAATGATGCCGGTGAAGCGATTATTATCGAATTGAATCGTTGACAGTACTGTCAAAAGTCAAATTGTTGTGGTAATGGATCTGGTGAGATCGCTGTCTGGATTGAAAGGAAACCAACCTGTCGGCTTGGTTGGCGATGAGATTTGGTGCTGGAAGACCAATTTCCCTAGACAGGCTCTGATCTGATTGCTGACACTTTTGCGTGTATACATAGAAATATCGGTACTCTAGCTAGCTTGTGATAGATTCTTGCGACCCCTCGTCCAGAACACACATTTGCAGTGCGGGACTGCTGGCTGTAGGTTGCCCGACTGATGCATCATCACCACCGCGAGGGCTGCCACAAAGCCAACATGCAGCTGGTCAACAGGTACCAGTATGTGCAGGACCGTCCGACGTTTTTCACTCAGGATTTAAAAAACTTCAAATTTACACGATTGGAAACAAGCCCTTAAACAAGCCCTTAAAAAACAAACCCTTAACAACAAGCCCTTATGTTCTCAAAACAAACCCTTAAGCCTTCGTGTAAACCCCATAGAACAAGCCTTTATTAGGAGCAAACAAGCCTTTATTAGGAGCAAACAAGCCCTTAAATAAACAAGCCCTTAAAACAATCCCTTAAACCTTCAACAAGCCCTTAAACAAGCCCTTAAAAACAAGCCCTTAAAAACAAGCCCTTAATTGTACTGGAGTCAGTCGTGTCAAGTTTTAAAGCCTGAGTGAAAAACGTCGAACGGTCCAGATGGGGCTTGTGGTGGCTAAGAAAGCACTGGAGGCTAGCTAGCTAGAGACGTCCGATTCGTAAAATGAAACATGTATTCTGCTAATTTACTTTTGGCTGATCTATACCGCATGCCATTTTTCCAGCACAAAAAGGTTGTCCTTAAAAATAGGTGCCTCCTTCAGCAAACTCCAAGTCGCCTGTAGCCAACACATCGAAAACACAGAGATCCCTGTGCTCGTCATCCCAGTGTGAACATGCAGCTTGTGCTTGATCTTCCAGAACGGCTGCCTCTCCGAGGCGACGACGTCCCATTTGCTGGGCTTGAGGCAAAACACACTTTACTGGGTACTGTGGGAATCTGTCTATCTGAAAAAGTTTCCCCTCTGAATCCTTTACCTGCCATTCTTCCCCAAAGGCAATAGGATCAGTGATCACAGTCTCACCATCACGGGCCAGCCAAACACCACCATTGTAGGATCCCATCAATCCAACAGCACCCCCAAAGGTTGCCTCAGTGGCATTTTCCACTTTGACACTGACCAGCTCTTTTTTGGTGCTGATCTTGATGTGTTCACCGCCATCCAAATGGATCATAAGGACATGCTTCTTTGCATTGCTCCACCACTTTTCCAATGTGAAGCCTCCAAGATCCAGTGGCAAATCGGCATCTTCCACTCCATTGACAGCATAGGAACCCCACCCAGTGACTTCCAAAATGTCTTGTCCAATTCGAATGGCAGTGGTTTCAATGTAAGAGAAGGAACCCCGACCAGCTGTACGGATGACAATGTCCATTCCCTTTCCATCCGCAAAATCATTTAGTTTGAGCAGCACAAGGTCACAAACACCATGGTAGTCATACCACTCGCCGGCCCAGGTTTTGAAATGAGGATCTCCAACGGATCCACCGTCGGCGGATCCGTGGGTGGGTGCCATCGTCGGAGTTCCGGTGGGGGTGCCAGTAGGAGTTCCTGTAGGGGTGCCAGTTGGAGTTCCAGTGGGTGTTCCCGTTGGAGATCCGGTCGGAGTGCCAGTTGGGCTTCCAGTTGGTGTTCCTGTCGGAGTTCCGGTCGGGGTGCCAGTTGGACTTCCAGTTGGCGTTCCCGTGGGACTTCCAGTAGGGGTGCCAGTTGGAGTTCCGGTAGGTGTTCCTGTAGGGGTGCCGGGGTGTTCCTTGGGGTTTCAGTTGGGCTTCCAGTTGGTGTTCCGTTGGAGTTCCGGTCGGGGTGGACTCATGACTTCCGGTTGGACTTCCGTGATTAGTTGGACTTCCATGGACTTCCAGTGGACTTCCAGTGGGACTTCCAGTGGGACTTCCAGTAGGGGTGCCAGTTGGAATCCAGTTGGCATTCCTGTAGGGGTCTGGTGGGTGTTCCTGTGGGGGTTCAGTGGGTGTTCCTGTGGATTCAGTTGGCTTGTCACACATTGTCCAACCGTACTCCCCGCAAAGACCATCAAGGTCCCAGTATCCTCGACTAAAGGTCGTACATTCAAAGGGCCCATCGCACAATTGACTTCTAGTTCCACAATACCAGTCTTGTGCTTCCAGATCTTCGCAGAGAGGCCGTGCTTCTTCAACGACCAATTTGCGGTGCCCGTCGTTTAGCTCAAGGGCAGTCTCTTCCAACATGCGTCCGGGTGCTTGACAGCACTCTTCAAGATTTGGATCGTCCACAGGGGTATACCACCCATAATCAAGGATATCCTGACCTGCCGGGCAAAAGTAGGCTCCCACACTGTTTTCACAGAACTCTTGAAAAGTCGTAGAGCCGTCGAAATGTCCCTGATCCTGAAAGAAAGCTGTGTCTGCACAATGGGCTGGATCGTAGCAGGAACCATCATACTCACAGCATGAATCAAAATCAGTTGTTGTTGCTGTACCGAGTGCGCCCAGCATCGAGAGCAGTGGCAAGAGGAGTGCAGCTGATTTGCAGTTGTTACTCATCATCATCATCATCATCGTTTGATTCTGTTGCTGTGAGGTTTGAATTTGTGAACAGTATCTGATGCTGCTGCAACCACAAAACACAAGCACGCGAAAGAAATTAGTGGCAGTTTGGATGCAAGGTACGAGGCAGCCATGTGGTATTTCCCCACAACATCACTCCAAGTCTCCAAGCTGAAAAGCGCTTACAGTACTTTAGCTGGCCAGTAAACACCTCGCGCCTCGCACCTGGCTACCAGGTAGCTAGCTAGCACCTTGACCTCAAACAGAACCAGGCTTTCGCGCTTTCGAAGTATCCGTTTGGCAGCGTCTGAATCTCGTAAACTCCCGTGCAGTCACGGTGTCACGGTGTCTTTCTCTCTAAGTACTCAAGTACCACTGAATTGAACCAAAAAAGTCCGAGAGTTACGTCTGACTGTTCGGAATCATACCTGTACATTCAAAGTCATTTGTAGTCAGTTATATTCGTTCGGATCAATTGTATTTCGGAACAAGAAGGACTCTGTTTGGAAGTGAACTTCACACTTCTTTATGAAGAGGGGAGGCAAGCAAGATGGATGGTACTCGAGTACCGTTCTACCATACTAGCTAGACTGCTGCTCGCTTCAAGAATAATGCACAGGTCCAGCGTCCAGCGGACCTAATAAGAGCTGAAGAATGATGCTTTGAAATAATAATATGAGTGATCGAGCATAATCCCACAATCCCACTCACACCCCGGTTACCCGTAATCGGCTTGTCAACTGATGTTCTCTACACTCAACTCCTGCATTATGTAGTCTCTGGCATCTCGGGCTATGGGCTTCACCTTTTTCATTGGACCGGTATGGTATTGGACCATTGGACCCATACAGATCCAGCAGCAGCTGCTGGACGACCTTCGATCTTCACTGCAGTCTGTCATCCAGGGCTTCCATGTACTTGGACCCACCCACCACCCACCGGATCAAGCGACGGCAATACCAAGAGCTGCTGGACGAATTGAAGTTGATCCGTCAACACTGCTACAGTACGGTGTCATGTACATGTGTATGCCACCGTACCGTACCGGTATATAGTACGGGCAGGTGGATTGAATCATGCCACCACAAGACCGTCGATCTGGTTCAATTCGATTCATTCCAAGAAAACGTCCGCCTGATATAGATAGCCATCGTAGAAGAATAATGATGCATGCTTACGTTTTGCAACAGCCTTATTAGAGGAGTCGTTGCTTACAGCGAATTCGTCGCAGGTTTACAGATCCGTACCGATTTGTCCACGCAAACAAAGCGTTAGTACCGGTAGGTGTGATGCTGCCAGAAGGAATCTGGTATTGAGAAAGTGATGGCTGAACGTCGTTGAAGGAGCCTGTGATGGAGATGATATTCTTCAAGCTGCGTGCAGTTGAAGGTGCCATCCGATTTTCGATTGGGCCAAAGCGGTCAACCATTCAAGTTCACACGGCGAAGTACAGTATCCAAAGCTGATTGCTCGCACCATAGCGGTGAATTGGGCAAAGAGACCTCTTTGGGTGTGCTTGCGTCGAGCTACCAGTTTGGAGTTGAAAGATCGTACGTTTTCATACGATTTTAGCAAAAAGTGACTGACTGAGTAAGTTTAGTCGTTTTGTAAGCTATACGTTACGTACGGAACCGGAGAGCTTCTGTGCCGATACCAGTAGAGACTACATGAAGGCAGGACGGCTTTGTGGAAGGCAGGACGCACTGGTGGAAAGAGTACCGTACCTCGGGGTCACAGGGCGATGATCCAACAGTTTGGCATCTTCGGGCCACAGCGCTGTCAACCCAATGATAGTAACTGAAAGCTTGGATTGCTAAGCGGTACCTTCGTGTCTGCTCTTTTCTAGTAGAGCAGCTAGAGAGCAGTTCTATGGATACCGTAGCTAGATTGAACCATTCCTCGGATACCGTACTCGATTGATGAGTTGAGAAGCGATCGCTCGTGGAGCGAAAAGCTTCGTCGCGAGATGAAACACGAGGCAACTGTGACTGGACTGCCGCAAACAAAACCCTTTTTACGCCCTCCTCTCTGTTCCCACATTCATTCAGGTGAGGAAGCGACATTGACAAACAAGCAACACACTGCAACGACGACGTCACTATGAGCAGCACAAAAGACAACAACTCCTCGACGGAAGACCCTGTCTCCACTGTGGAGCGCGGTGTAAAGAAGGTTGTCAAGCAGCGCGAGGGGCCAAAAACGAGCCAACTCGGTCGCAACCATTTTGTTGCGGCATTCACGCTCACGAAAGTGCCGTCAAACTCCGTTGCTGGTAAAACCAAGAGCACTGCGGCTCTGGGAATTATGCACGCCGAGAAGATGCTAAAGGCACGAAAGGTTGCTTTGGCACTGTGTTCACAGCATCCTTGCCTCCGCACTGAGGAGCAAGATGATCATCCCAAGAAAGGCAGCCATCGTTTCATGGAAAGTCCTGTCCCACCCGGAGTCACGGCTGTTCGAGAAGAAGACGACGACAAGGAAACGGATGACGACGACTACGACGACAAACAACCTCTGTTTGACGACAGCCACCGCAACAACCAACGTCGTGTCCTCTTGGTGACCCCTGAGTCGCGCATCCAGGTAGCTGCCAGTTTGCAAGCATTCCGTCGTGTTAACTCCACTCGATCTATCGATTCCATCTCCACCAAAGCTACTGTCACCAGTCGTCGCGGCTTCTTGGTGCGAGAAGCATCTCTTCGTTCCCAGTTTTCGGCCGTCTCCAACACTTCCTCCACCTGCGAATTGGCTCTGTACAACACCCACAACAGCAACACGACCAAGAGCAAGAACCGTGATGAGTATGAAGAAGAAGGCCGTCTCAAGAATTACCAGCCCACTGCCAGCATCTTTGGCGACCAAGGCAAGTTCGCGCTTCCCTGCATTCCACGTCGCACGGGTGTCGGCAGTGAAGGCCGCAAGATTCGACGAGGTGTCTCCCCCAAGAACTCGTGGTATCGTCCCATGCTTCCTCCGGCCCGGCCAAACAATCCCGTCTTGAAGGAAATGGAGAATGGCGATCGGCTGACTCCTTCCCGTGCCAGCTTCTGAACAAACATGAAAAAACAATGGCAAAAACAAACGCAACAACAATCGCAGCAAGGGAATCAAATCCAAAAAGTGCATGAAAACAGTCTCACAACAACAAGGTCGCAATGCAATGATGGAGTCCCGCGAAGCGAACATGGGCAACCAAGCAAAAGTAGCCAAGAATAATCTCACCGTAGCCAATGCATCTTCTGGATGGCATAGACTTCTCTTTATACTATTCATTCGCTAACATGTCCAGGTCTTTTTTGATCCTGCGGAAACTACCGCGGACTCGACTCGATTCTACTGTTTTCCTCGGGTCCAGACAAGCGGCTTTCCAATCGCTTGCCTTCCTCCCGGCATGGTAACTTTGTCCACTGCATGTTAGGTCAATATCCCTACCTTTGTCTCCAGGTGGTTGAAGTTGTATCCCTGCTATCGCGACGGTACTAGCAGCCTGTCTGCCAAGCTGCAGTTTGCCTCACAGACAAGCAGGGAAAAGGTTCAGAGAAGGCGTGCACAACCATTTAGAGAGCAAGTATGATACCGGTACACTCCCAGCCACATGTTGTTCTTTGCGTGCTGCCTTTTGGGATTCCGCAGGATTCACTCATTTTTACATCCTTCATTTCTGCTGCATGTCCCGTTTCCAATTTCCTGCCTCTCTCACTGTTCTGGCTGGCCGCTTTGTGGACTTTGACAAAGGAGTCCGGTAGCCTTGCCAACCAAGAAACCTCAAGTTGCTGCAGGATTTGAACCTGAAGCACTACCGGTAGCTAGCTGGTTAGTAACGAACACGAACCACAGAGGACAGAGAAGATGAACAGAGGATGCAGATCAAGGCATGGAGCGTCTCTCTCCTTTTCTTCTTAAGCACTCAACGTACACCATACTGGTGAAGGACAATCACCAAACAAATCTTTGTCCTGCCTGCCACAAGCAACTACATGTATTTCACCAACTGACTGTGGAGTCCATAGAGCTACCGGTATCATTGTCTGTAGATCGAGATTGTGGTTTGTAGTATTCTTTCTTACAGAATTACACAAAGAAAACAGCTCCAAGGAGATGCCCACAAGAGTGTAGTAGCTAGCAACTGTGATCCTCTCCCATCGTTCAATTTTGTTCCTTGTACATCTTTGGGCTTGTGAAAGACTCGTTCAGTATTGTATTTCTTCATTTCTGTAGCATATCTTCCATCAGATCCCAAAGTCCTGTCTCTCTCACTCACTGGTTCGATTCTGGCCACTGAATGAAGACTTGTGTGCTCCATCCAACCAAAAGTGGTCTATTTCTCCCAGAATTTGAAGCCAAAATAGTAGAACGCTGTCAAACAGAGAAAAAGAGGCAAATGACCTTATTAGAAACACACACAGGAGAGCAAACAATCAACGAAGGCAGGCACCCCAAAAGAAGATAAACTTACTAGCCAGAAAGGGTGCCACAAAACCACCGCCCCAGAACCAGAAATTGAAATTGCGTTTCTTGGCAGCAATCTCCTCCGCGGTGGGAGGTCTGCGTTCTTCCAGAGACAGGGTCACCGAGGTCGACGAAAAAGTATTGTCCTGGAGGTAGTTTTGCACGCCTTGTTGCAGCTGCTGAGACGATCCCATCATTGGTTGTTGCTGCTGCTGTTGTACGGTTGCCATATCCACCACCGCGGGAACTGGAACCACAAACGCCACTGTGGTTTGCACCAAGGCGAGGAGGAGAATCAGTTGCTTGATCATCTTATTGACTGGTTGATTGATTGACTAGATAGAGTATCTGAGGGATCCGCTACTATTGTAGGTAGCTAGCTAGAGAGTATTCGGCAGGGTGTTATTCCTTCGCTTAGTTAGATCAAGAAGTGAGTCAACTTGTTTGATGAGTTTGTACTTGTCAATTGAGAGACGTTTGCAAGTGGAACGGTGTCAACCGATAACCGATCCGGCATCATTTTGGATGCGTATCTTTTGGGGTCAACGTGAAGACCACCTCAGTGATTGACAAACAGAGAAATTGCTGACGCTGAATAAGTGACTCGACTCAATCGGCTGGAATCGCGACTCGACTCGAGAAACATGCTCCTCGAGAACCTTCGCAACGGTCAAGAGAAGATCTTGGCGTTGGTTTGAACAAACATTGGGACAGACAACCACAAACCAACAATAGCAAAGCAACAACCATGTCGAAGAAGGGCCGATCCGCCGAAAAGAAGAAGCAAAAGAAGCAGAATGCCAAGGAGGAGGACGACGTCAAGAACAAGAAGAAGGAAGATGACGGGAGCAAACTGAAAAGGAAGGAGCAGGAGCTACGCGCAAGGCGCCTAAAAGTGACTCCTCGTCAGTTTTTGGGACACTTGTTTCTGTTGGGGATTGCCTTTGGTGTCATCCTCTTGGGCATGTACTTGCAGCAACCAATCGTCTGGGCTCCTGGTACCAAGGGTGGTCTTCGTGGCGAATTGCCCATTGATACGATGGAACAAGCGCATGCATTTGCCGACATGTCCATTACCGAAGCGGACAAATTGTGGGACGAGCCGTCTTCCAATTGGAGAACCATTTACGACAACCAGCAACCTCTCTCGGTCGAATGCCGCAGTGTGACACAAGGTCCATACGAGCTCTCCTCTGTCTTGGTGGCCAGAGCCAAGGGTGCCATAAGAGCTTCTTCGGCGGACCAGGTCTACGAGTTCTTGTCGTCTCCGGAAGGACTCTCACTGATATTGAATGCCATGGGCCAAAGCAACAATCGAACCTATCAAACTATTGAGACAATCCCGGAATGGAGAGAAGGTGCCTCTACTGAGATTGCCGAAATCACACTACCAGGTTTGGGACCAATACTGAGCGATAGACACTTGGTCGTACAGACTTCCAGAATACCAGAGGACAGAATATTGGTCACCAAATCTGTGCTACACAAATCACGCCCTGGAGCAAGCAGTTTCTACAAACGGAACGTGGAGAGCAGCAGTAGCAACAGCGTCAGAGCCGTCACTTCATTTGCCATCAAGGTCAACGAGGAAACAACGTTGAAGAATGGACAAGACGTAGTAGAGATCAGATTTATTAGTTATGTGAATCTGTTTCTCACGGAAGGCATTATGAGCTACATTTCGTGCCAGTGGTTGTTCCCCAGCGTCTTTCAAAAGCTGCAAGAGAGGTTTGAGGGCCAACAATGAAGTATATAAGAAAGGTCAAGTAAGTAGTTTTGTAATACATCGCACATGCCCTGTTTCATAATAACATAAAGGAAAATTTTGGTTACGCAATGTAAAACTACCCAATCACACTCGTAAGAAAGGATATGCAAGGGCTCCCACAGTGCCCTGTGCTCGTCGTCTTTGAGCAAGTTTTCTGGTCCAGCTCCTGTGCCATCGATGCTTGGTGGACAAGGCTCCAAATAATGCACTTTCGGCCTCGTAGTTGAGCCAGGGAAAGGCAGAATGTACGCCCTCGCACGGATCCGTATTGGTGGTTCGTTGTCAGGGAGTCGTTTTGGAAGTGGAGATGACGACCGCATGGAACTAGCTAGACAAGAAGCAGAATCAAGGAGAAGTGCTTGCTGTCTAGATCCGGGCTGCTCATTCATTCCCTCTGTGAGGCTACGGTATGAAAACAGCACAGAGGAAGTCCACAGCCAAGAAGCAGGATGCAACAGAGGAAGTGGATACTGGTACCGTACTACTCAATCTGTTTACGAAATGATCTCGTGGTTTAACTTTCACTTATTGCATCTGGTTGCGACTCTACTTGGGGTAGTTGTGTCGTTTTAAAAAAAAAGTCTAGGCTCAACAAACAATACAATGGGGGAGTTCTAAGAGGAAGTGGATTCTAGCCAGTATGTAAATCAAGTATAGGTTGGTTCAATTCAAAAAAGCTGTTGCCTTGCAGTCCGCGAAGGGGAGGAACATGATGATGGTGGTGCCTCGGGAACTAGACTGTTGCTGACGATGGCCGCTCTCCTTACGGAAGTCGTTCTGGAAGAGACGAGGCTAGATGCACCTCGCCTTGGAAGATGGGAAAACGGCGTAGTTTCATTGTCGCATTGGACAGACGTGGGAATTTCTTCGTGTTGTGCAGTAGCTTCCTCGTCGCATTGGACCGAAGTGGGAATCTCTTCTTGTTGGGAAGACTGGGCGTTTTCCTCGTCGCCATGATGAGACGAATCAGAATCAGAATCGTCATCATCATCCAGCAAGTCTGGGAATGACGATGAAATTGTAGAATCTTCCCGTAGATCTTGATTGTCGTCGCATGGAGGCGACTCCTTCGACGGGTCACTGCTGGCTTCGGTGGGCGACGCCGAGGAACGGAGCCCCAGGATGAAATCCTCTGTTTGGATTCTCTCCATGGGCACTGCATCTCCATCGCTTACCCCAGATTCATCGTGCATTGTTGGAGCGGAAGAACTATCATCATCCGATGACAAACACTCGTCGTCATCTTCGCTCACCATTTCTAGAGCTAGATTGCCGGTGGACGTGAACATTTTTCGTGTATGATTCGAGGAAACATCGAAATCCATGGAAGCGGTCAAGTTAGATCCAACAGACGTACCCATGGTACTGAGTGTGCCCGCAAATGTAGGAATAGATGCACCGCGCTTGAGTGACTCCAGGGAAGATTGTGAAGCACCGCGCCTGAGTGACTCCAGGGAACACTGTGAAGTGGTGCGCTTGAAATCATGTGTTCCCATACCCCGCGTCAGACCCCTTGAAGATGGACCTCTCATTTGTTGAGCAAGATTGCGCAATTCCGCTTGGATGGTTTGGTTACTGTCCAATCTGGAACAACGAAGTTTATCTCGAAGTTTGACCTCTTCGTCCCACAAATAAACTTTGTAAATAAGATTTCCACTGGATTGATAGAGTGTGCACAACAAATGCAACCTGTGTGAGAGTTGCTCCTGCAGTAGCTGTGTGGCACTCAGTTTGACGCAAGCGAAGGAAACTTACAAGAGAAGCGCCACAATGATGAAGTCATTGATCCAGATTGAAACTGCGCGCACAAAGAAGCTGGTCTTCGGGTCCGACCCAAGGATGACCAAGATGGGGATAACCACAATGAAAATTTGCATATTCGAAACCATTGCGATCGCCAGCATTTTGCCATTTGTAAATCGATTGGGAATGTGTCTGGCCAAGTAGCACATGTAACATGCCGTACAGAGCAGCAGAAAGTGAAAGGAGCCAATAACAGCAGCAAAGACGACCCAGTGATCGCTCTCGCATTGCCCCGCACTCTCCAATGCATACCCATACTTGTCTTCGCTGATGACAGTTCTGGTCCACCTCAGAGGATCCACTGCACTCCAAACGGTCAAGATAGCCACATCAACGGCCAGAATAGCAGCCACAATGAGTGCGGTTTCCTTGATCGACACGACAACTCTCTTCATCTCTGCAGCTGCCTTGGTGAGAATATAGATTCGGCGAATCTTGCCGAACAATGCGCCAAACGTAATGGAGAATCCCACAGAGTAAAGCCACGGAAAGACCGAGCAGGCTGGCACAGGTCCATCTCCCTCATCTTCTTGTGCCAGGGCAATGATTGTGGACGTTGAGATGACACATCCAAGGAGGACAAGAAACAAGAGATGGGGCTGTGCAATCTTGACCTGGGCACGTTTCCTCTGGAACGCTAGCCAGACAGCGCAGCAGAAAGCCATAAGAAAGTTGATACCCACCAAGCAGTAGGCAATGGCCTTGAGCGAAGTGGGGAGCATGTGCAGGTCTTCTTCTGCTTGGACAGAACAGTCATCCCCGGTCCACTTGGTGGAGTCACAGACACACTCTCCAAAGCGGTTGCTGATCCCATGCGATGGATTGCAGGGCTGGTCACAGTTGGGGCCACTCTTTCCAATAGGGCAAAAGTTGACTGAGAAGTACTTGTCGTAGAGAGAATCCAGGATACCCAACTCTTTGGCCTGATAGATGAGGGTCACGAGGAACCGTTGTAGGTGTGGATCCAACCGAGCATTCATTGGCCACAGGACAAAGTTTTCATTAAACTTTTCTCTTGTGACCTCCAGCTCCGGATCCTTGACAGTCAAATGCCTGAGCTGGAGTTCATCCTCTACAAACAAGACACACTCTTCTGCTTTGAGCCACTCGAGGCACTGCGCATGGTGCGGGCAGCTGCGGTATCGCATATCTGGGTATCGTTTCAGGGTCTGGACATCATAGAACGAATCACTCAGGAGGCATATAGGTTCTTGCCGAGCTTGCGCCTCCTCCAATGTGGTGATATCTCGCTTGGTTCGATGTATATACTTGACGGCAGCGGCGGCGGTTGTCAGAAAGGATGGGGTAAAGGTGGTCCGCATAGACCGCGGGTAAAAGGCATAAAAGTCACCGACCAGAAAGTCGTACTTGTTACAGTCTTCCAGGGGCTGAGGGTTCACTGTCGTGTTGCAGTCTTCCGTCACAAGATCAAAGGAGGCATCATAGGCAAACGGCGGAGCCTCTGTAATGTCGAACGAAAGAGTCACGTTGTGAATGTCCCTGGCAACACCCTGGATTGCCCTGAGCAAGTCTGGCTGAAAACCTTGAAACATTGGAAATGAAAGGTCGTCATCGCCACGGGTGGCGGATTCATTGCTCACAAAGGCCAGTGGAACGGTCTTGGTCAAAATTGCAGCACGAAGGTTGATCGTCGACGAGAGGTTGGTGTGAGCGATAACCTCTGACGAGGAAGCCAGAGCTATTACTGCTAATGAGAGGAGTGTTCCTATTGATGATACGGGTAAAGGAGAATTCGTCATCATGGTGGTCTTTGTAGGTACATGTAAGCTATGCATTAGTTGGTTGGGTGTTGGGTGTTAATAATGGTGATGAATGCTTTCTTTCGTCTCTTCTCGACAGATTCCCCTTTGAGAACTGAGTGAACGCGATGTGCATGTGGCCGCGTCTCTGCAGAGATGAGTACAAAAAAGCTCCAGAAGCCAAAGCAAAAAGGAAAAAGGCCGACTGGTACCAGCTCGATCCTGCACTAAAACCCATACGGTAGCTTAGCCCTGAAGCATGCAGGTACTGGTATCGCAAAGAAGAGACAGACAGAAAAGTACACTGTGTACATGTACATAGTCTACCGGTACTAGTACTCTAGTACTCTATTTGTCTACGGTACAGTACTACGTGGTGCGTACTTTTGTCTTTTGCGGAACTCGCTTGATCAATCTTGATCTGACGATACCGTACCCCAGCAAAATAGCTTTGGAAGCCAAAAAGGTGGGGTAAAGCTTGTTTTCATTTGAATCTTCAGTGCAAGTTCAACCTTAACCTAATAGTTACCTCAACTACCCCTCAACAGCTCTGTGAAAGTAGCCAAAAGACAAAAATCTTGACGTTATTTTCTATTTGATTTATGAACAGTTGCCTTTCCAATAGTTCACTCACTCACTTCACTCTTACATGACACCTTGACACTTATTTCACAATCTTGTTCGGGAACTTGGAGGTTGGAGGACAGCTTACCGGTAAAAGCCAACGGCGAAGTAACCACTTGGATTGCATAGATATTGCGTTAAGTACTGCCTCTTTACCTCTTTACTTCTTTTTAAGACCGACTTTCTAGCAGTAAAAGATGATACATCTGAGCGAGTTATTGGACGGTGCACTCCAAAGCAACAAAAAGGAACGATTGCGTGACGAATGAACCGGAGACTGTACATGTGACGGCTACCGAACTATTCCGAGATCTGTTTAACGACCGCAACCGTTGCGGTACAGTGGACAAAACTCTCAGCTCTCATCAGAGGCTAGCTATTTAAAAATAGGTATGGTTGCTGTACCGCTACCGGTACAGGTACACTGTACACGAACATAGCTACGAATATCCTGGTGCTCTTTTGACTTGAATGATTCGATTTGATTCAATCGAATCGAATCGACGGTACGACTCTGCTCTCTATTATCTACCACAAGCTAGCTAGCTAGCTAGCTAGAAGTACTAGTAGCTAGCTAGTACCACCTGAATACATGCACCTGGATACCTGGATTAGTACAGTCGGCTGGCAGGCTGCCAACTGCCCACTGCCGAGTGCCAAGCAAGCTTGAAAGTATAATGGCAGTATCATTGAAATGCTTTCACCGAGGCAGAATGGTCTATCCTACTATCCTACCACCACCGCCCTTACTGCATTGATGAGGCGACGAGGGATAGGGAGGAAGAGAATCTGATGGGAATGGCATGATTGAGGATGGAGGGAGATACCAGCTTCTAATGGCTTTGTTTTGAAGTGCAACAATAGGTGCAGGAACTGTCCCGTTTTGACGATGATTGATAGTCGTGGGAGTCGAAAGATCCCCAGTACCGGTACCGGATCAATACCGCGAGACCTTTCTTGGGCTTGGGTCTTGGGTGTAGAGATTGGAGAGTCGAGTCGAAGCAAAGATATGGTCCAATTGCTATCTCGAGGCAGCAGAACCGGGTCTGATAGTATCAAGTCATTGGGCATTTTGCTTTCAATTTAATTAAACAGCATTGTGGTTCACGTATTAAACTCTGGACTCCTCTGGGAGGTGAGACGGTGAGACGGCGAGACTATTAAATAGCTCCGATAGCCCCAGATAGGGCGCGACGGTCGCTCACAATTCAATGATGGGCGGGTGTTCATGTACACCATGAATTTCTTTCGTGCTTTTTTTGCCAGCCGTTTATGCCCCTTGCCTCAGCGACAATGCCAACCTAGCTAGCTACGTATGTACATGTAGCTTTGGCCACACACAGGTCTGTGAATATGTTTTGACTGGTAGAGTGTTGCTGATTTTGGCTTGCTTCTAAGTTGACAGAACTGCGCAGGGTGGTCATCAGGTACAAAATCTATCGGTATCAAAGCACAACTGTCATTGAGAAATTGGCCCCTACCGGTACGTCTCTTTGTTCTCGTGTTGCTGATTGCTGATTGGATTCAATCCTGCAGGCCCACTCGCACGCATGTACCATGCAACCAAGCCACCACCACAAACATGGACGCCGCAAGACGGGAAGAACCGCCTCCGAATTTCTCCACTGCGCGAGTCAATTCCAGCACACCAGCTGACCAGTGCAGCAAATTGGTTCAGCCCGAGCCTGCGTCGGCTCGGGAAACTGTTGTTGTTTACTGTTTGCAGTCGATACTAGTACCACTACCGGTAGTTTACCTCTGCTGGACGCTTTGCGGCTTCATGACCTGCCTGTCCTGAAAAGTACCGTATCAGAGAGTATCTTTTCCAAGCCCACCACCACTTCAAACAACCAAGCAAGACGCACAGAGCAAGCAAATTATCGTATATACTCTTTATGATTTTATGAATGTGCCTTATGCAAAGAAATAAGCGCAGTGCTGTTGCAGGTTATACGGCATATCCGTTCTTGTCGTTCCCGTGCTCGGAGTGTTCTTCGTCGCTTTCAAGAAGGAGCTGTCCTTGAAACCAATCCATCGGTTCATCGGCACTTGGACGAGGCGACCCACGGGGAGTAGACGTTCGGCTTGCTCGGCTGCTGCGTCTTGCTGCTGTAGGGCGATTGGAATTCGGCAGTGCTGCTGGAAGAGGTTCTATTGCTGTCTCTGATGATGGTTCTGCACTACTGCTGCTGTGGAACGCGCCTGTAGGAGTGTTCGCGCCTCGAGCTCCTCCGCCCGTTATGGCACTCCCTTGGGATGCCAGCGGTCTGGGAATCCTGCGAGTAACTTGTTTTCGCGACGAGAATGTCGCAAGACTCGTAGACCGTTCTACTACCGAGCGACTAGAAGCATCACTGACATCTGCTTCACCACCCCTTTCAGGTGCAGCAGGCAGCCCTTCATGAACAGGCAACCCTTCGTGAACAGGCAAAGGGGCCGAAAAGGATCTAGTCGGGGGATGTGGTTGGGGCTGATATGTGGATTGCTCAAAATAATGTTGGCTGCGCTGCTCGTAATAAACATGCTCTCGTGGATGTCGTTGGCCAGGCGGGTAGAGCATGGATGGAGGCGGTGGCGGCGGCGGAGGTCCCCAGTGATGTGGGTGAGTCTGGGTCGCTACCGGTACAGGACCAGCACCTCTTGCAGCACTGATACCAGGTTCCTCGTAAGGTGGCGTTTGTGTTGCGGATGTTTTTGTCTTGGCAGGGGAACGAGCTGGGGACTTGGCTGGCGGGGTTGCCTTTTCTGGGGGTGATGACTCGGAGCTACCGGTTTCAGGCGACCCCGGCAAAGACCGAGCCCGTTTGCGTCTACCTCGGTTGCCCGGAGGCGTGGCATCTGTTGAGGGGTGCCAAGACATGTATGCCTCGGTGCGTGCAGCAAGTGGCACAGCCCCAGGCGCGGCCGCAACCGAAAGCGAGATAGAGTACGATGGCGGGAAGCCCGTAGAAGTATCATTTCTTCCTGGTGGTGTATGTGGAGTTTGAGCAGCAGCGTCGTTGGACCCAGAAGGGGGTGAAGCTGCCGCTGTTCTCGCCGTGGCTGGAGGCCGAGGAACATACGAGGCATGTGCTGCAGTTGACGATGCCAGAAAATGATGGGGATGGGCGCGTTGGAATCCCGGAGGAAACGGGGGCATGCCCGGATATGGTTGGGGCGGAGGCGGGTGTCCGTAAGCATACCACCCTGGGGGTGGCATGCTGTAAGCGGGGTGCGCGGGATGCCCAAAAGAGCTACTTCCAGAGGCTGTTACAACACCTGGGATTGCCTCACTACCTGGACCAAATGGTCGAGACGCCGGACTATGCCGAAACACGCCTGCAGCAGCCCCGCTGTCAGGGTATTGCGGGTATGGCGACGCAGAAGCAAACATATGGGGAGGAACGCTCGGTCGCATGGCTTCGGCTGCTTCGCAAACAGCGTCCCGTAGAACTTGCGCCTGTGGTCCGGATCAATACAGAAGAGGCAAAGGACGGAATCAGTGGGCAGCAGTGATTGCAACGACAGAATTTGAACCGGATCACTTACAACTTTTTCCCTGGCCAGATAGTCCCCGACATCTGAAGTAGGAGAGCAGGATGAGCTACTGAAATGCATCGGCCGGACACAAACAAGACACAAACAAAAGAAACTGCCATACCTTCCCATTCGCCCGTCTCCGCAACCCTCTTGAGGAACCTATGTAAAACCAAACATAGAGCTATCAGTTTGGCATCATACTTACTTTTTGCTGGCAGCCAATGACACCCAAGTCCCTGTCATCTACCGAGCCAAACGTACCTTCCAGGAGGGTCCAAGTCTCGTACTCGCTTCACTATATCTCTGGATATTGCTGATTTGATTTTCTTTGTGGATACTTTATACCGTTCCACCTCAGCCCTGGCAACGTCGCGAAGTTTCTCGTTCCCTACATGTCTGTTGTTTTTCCCTCCACGCCCCATCAGAACTGCGCCAAAGCATTACATTGTTAGTTAGTACCGTACAAATGATACAAAGTTAGTTAGTTAGGCAAAGCCGGCAAACATTGGCACTCACCATCATTCTCGTGGATATCTTCATTCTTCACAACGGTATTGTCGGCCTCTTTATCATCTTTAAGTGGCATTTCCAGTATTCTAGGAGTCTTCTCAATCATCAAAGCAGAAAACTTGTGCTAGGACCAGTTCTTCTTGCTGCAAATGAATAGTGCAATGGTGCTCCTCAGAAGCCTCGTCTATCTTATGAGATGAGATAACCAACGACGGCTGCTCGGACACATATAAGCTATCAGCAGGACCAATGTAATCTTAAAACGTTGGAAGAAAGGGACAGCGCAGGAAAGCCACCAACTAACTAACCAAAGAAGGAAGAACCGAATCCAATAGTCGCTCACACCTCAAAAACGGCAAAGGAAGGGAAATGAGCGTCAGTCCAGACCCACACTTGATTGGACTGCTGCCGCCAAAGACAACTTCAGTACCGTAGTAGTAGTCCAATGGCTGCAATACTACTTCTTCTCGATTGTTGGTTTGTTTGTTTGTTCAGTGCTTTCCCAAGCTTCCCCGACCACGGATGACGATTCACAGATACCTCACTGCTTGTCACACCAAACCAGGGAGCTTGGGCGAAAATAGGCAACAGGACAATGTTGCCACTGAAATATCGTAAAGCCCCCTTGTAACGCCTTCTTCTTCGTCCCTCGGCCAGTGGTCCGGCCATGCAAAACTCATTTCATGTCCACAAGGGAACGAACGAACAACCAAGCAAACTCTCAATGACAAAAACGCAAACCACTGCGGGACCTTATTCGGGTAACTACACAGACAGGCTCCTCTGCTGCAAACAGACAGGGCCGCACATGCATTGCTTCTCGCCAACACCTGTGACTAGCCACTTCTTTCGCCGGGTTGAAGTCCTCAAGAAGAAGCAGCCCCGTGAACCTACGCCCGAGCAGCAAAGCTGCAGCATTTAGAACGCTCAATTAGGTGAGAAAGAATGTTCGACGTGCGGACCCGGGGCAACCACTGGGGTGCAAAAGATGTGAGAAATCCCACTGTGTTAAAACCTAATTTGTGCTGAAGATGCCAGCAGAGATTTAGAACCCCATTCGCCACCCCGAGCGTGACAGGATACACATACTAGCCAGTAACTGAGTTGTGCTCTTTTGTGGTTCGTTTTCCAGGTGGCTCTCCTCGTACAATGCTGTAGAAAGACTCTGTAAAGACTATTTGGGGGATCTCCACGACTTGATCTGGATGGTAAGAAAACTAATTAAGGCTAAGGCTATCTGAACCAAGTTTTTCATTTAACACGCTTTCCAAGACAGCCTTCTTTCAATCAAATACTGGGTTCTTGTGACCCGCTCTTCAAGTAACGATTTAAATAAAAAATCTTACGTTTTCTTCATATTTGTTTTAAAGCATGAAAAGGTTATTCAGGTCGTGAAAGTACCAGTTCATCAATCCAATCCATTACCGGTACTGCCCATGCTAGCTACCAGGTAGCATGGCACTCGGAGTAGACTACATGCAACCTTGCTTTTCTCGTAATCTTGGCGAAGGTTATGGCTACCGGTACCAGTGAAAGGTTCGAACCTTGACCCTAATCTATTGTCTAGCTAGGAAACGCTAGCAGAGATGCGTTTTCACCCTGTAAGAACACCGTCGAGCGAAAAAGGACGGAAGGAGGGGAGGAAAGAGCAAAGTGTTGTGGGGTTTCGCTGCTCTTGTTTTGGTCTCTGAATGAATACATGTAATCATCATTAGAGGTCCCAAAGTACGGGAACTCTAGCCAATTCCCTGGTTCCTTGCTACAGTAGACCAAATGAATTTTGACCTGCAAGCTACAGAATGTAGCAATGCAGCTACTGGCTAGCTAGTAGTGGCTGACTTCGCTTGGGAATAACTCTGAGCAGCTACTGGTACCATTTCCAACAAACGCGAAGACTGGATTGTTTCTGCAGTTTCCCCACTGAGAGCTGGCCTACTAAAAACAATTCACACCTCACAATGAGTAAAATAAGTATCAGGTACCAGGTACTCCGAGTGGATGGTGACAGTAGAGACTGAGAGTGGACGAGTGGACTAATGCTTCGCTCCTCCAGGAACGGAAGGAAGCATCAACTAACTTATTGGGCCGAGTTCAGAGTTCCAAGCAAGATGGTGAATCAGCGGAGGGTCATTTTTGCCATGCAAAAAGGTTGCTCGGGTTGGTCAAAGGCGTTCATCACTATCAAGTCCCGTGTTCATTAATTCGTGGAAAGTCTCCCTGGCCAAATTTCGCCGCGCTGCGTCTGATTTATTTAGCCAAGCCAGCTGCCCTTCTGCGTTTAAAATTATCGAGCACGCTTGAAGACGTCCGTTTGAGGTGGCATTGCAAACATGCTTTCAGAGCTCTTGCAGTGGTGTTTTCACCTACAATGTAAAAACCTTCGTGGCGTTGAAGGTTTTAGCAACGTCTCAACCTTGTTCATAAGATACTATGGAAGACATCATAAGATCATTCATTATTCATAGGTCTGGCTCATTCATCCACACACGGAAGTGATTGGTCTGTCTTGTTGATGATTTGATGGCATCTCCTTCCAGTTCAATGCTGTTGATGATATCATCTTTTCGGGCACAAAGATCAGGGAAATATTTCAAACCAAAGAAATGGAAATTGTGGGAAGAGCATGTTGCTGCTGTGCACTGAAAGGTTGGGTGATACTGGATGCACAAGGGCAGAGCCTAGCCCATTGCCACCTGGGACTGGCCACTCCTGAAACTTTATGCTATGGAAAAGCTACGCTACGAGCTTGGATTGGAGCCATCTGGGGCATACTGATATGGGACAAGACATCAGAGGTGTCCTTTTTTGAGTATCATTTCTCGCTTGAGTTGTTTCCAGAGACTCAGACATACTGTTGATGCTGAAACAGGATATATCTTTCTACTCTGATAGAGATGCAGGGAAGCCTTTCAACACTGGGCATTGCCAATGCACCGCTGCTGATGAGACGGATATCTTTTGCAGGCTGCACCCCAATACATTCGAACACAAGCATTTAGACTGTATGCCATATTCTTCTTATCAAGGCTAAAGCTTACCTTACGTTGAATGGAACGGCACGAACGTGTTGTGCCGTGTTGTACCGGCAATTGGCGGTTTTTCGATACTGTTCTATTGACTCTCGAGCCCCCAAGCGGATCCTGTAAAAGAGGGATGTCGGACAAGCGATCTTGGTTTATGTCGACAGCGACACTGAAATAAGATTGCATGTTAAGTAGCTTTTCATTCACATAAATCATGCTTCTGTGATATGTCCTGGTAAGAATGAGGTGGGGCCAGATGCTTAACAGTGAAATTGAACATCTGAGACTCCAACGAAGTAAAACGTCAGCATGACGGCAGCAAACTGCGTGAAAACACCGGGAAGAAGTAAGAGTTCCTTCCAGAAGTACATTCAGGAGCACCGTGCCTAAACCAGTCTGTCTGCCTCTTATCCCCGCGATACCGGGGTCACATTTTCCATTGAGAGCACCGCTCATCTCGCCACTCATCAGGTCTCTTGCTTTTGCACCAACCACCACAGGTCAAGAGAGCTCCAAAGCAATCGTTCTTGGCAAACCATTCCGAGTTTCGTGGCTGCTTCTGCTTGTGCTTCATTCATTCATTATTATAAAGCACCCCGCAAAAACAAAGGAAAGGACCGAGATCCATTCAGAGAAAGACACAAAGATGACGGCCGATACCAAGCAAGCTTCCGACATGACCGACCTGAGTCTGACCAACACAAACTCCTCCGCTGCGGTGACCAAAGCACCCCGAAGGCAGTCCTTTTCCTCCTCGGGTTCTTCTAATTCTGGAAGTTTCCTGATGAAGTTCTTGCCCAGCAGAAGAAGACTGAGTGAAGAAGTCAAAAGGACTTCCAGTGTTTTGGACGATTATGCCAATGTGCTCAGCAGAGACTCGAGCTTCTTGGCGAGCAACGGCGACACTGCGACTGTGGCCACCAATAGCTCTGCCGCAACGTCTCTCAGTGAATCGGTGCATGCCTCGCTCTGCTCCTCAAGTACCACGACACCGCGCCCTTCCATTGTCTCGCTGGCCACCATTGGCTGCTTTCACCGACAAGAAGTTGGATTGGGTTCCTTGTTGGGCAAAGGACGCTTCTCCAAGGTCTACGCGGTCACTTACATTGATCTTGGAGACCTCAGCGATCACGGCATCATGGAGAGCACGGCAGAGAGCGAAGTCTATGATGCTTCGGAGAGCGCCCGAGCGGCCATGTCCAAGAATGCCCGTGAAGGCAAGTACGCCATGAAGCGATTGCGCAAGAAACTTCTCCGAAGACCCCGAGACTTTACCCGTGCCGCTGCCAACTTGGTCATTGAAGCTCAGTACTTGAGCAAACTCGACCACCCCAACATTCTCAAATTGCGTGGATCGGCGCTTGGTGGAGCCAGCAGTTTCCAGTCTGGACAGTACGACGGATACTTTCTGATCCTCGATCGCGTCAATGAGACGCTCCACGAACGGATCCACAAGACCTACGCGGCCCGACGTGACCCCAAGGTCATGGATGTCCCGGCAGAGCCCGAGAAGGACCTCCTGTACCAAAAGGCGCACTATGCGCTCCAGTTGGCATCTGCTCTGTGCTACTTGCATGACCGTCGCATTGTGTTTCGCGACATTGCTCCGGGCAACCTGGGTTTCACTCAAAGCCACTCCTTGCAACTGTTTGACTTTGGAATGGCGCGTGAATTGCCGCCAGCCTTGGGATTGTCCAACGAGCTGTACCACATGACGCAAAACACCGGAAGTCTGCCCTACAAAGCCATTGAGGTCGCTACCAATGGTCTTTACAACCTGAAGGCAGATGTCTTCTCCTGGTCCATTGTTGTTTGGGAACTCATGATGGAGCAAATCCCATTTGCTCACCTCGCTGGAAAGGCCAAGAAACCTTTTGCCAACCGGGACTTTGTCCAGGCTGTGTACATTGAAGGCGAGCGTCCCTCCTTTGAAGTCGAAGCAGGCCGTACGTTGCAAGCGCCACCCCAGAACATTCAAGATCTGTTGTCCGAGTGCTGGCAAGCGGATGTCTTCAAAAGACCTACCATGGACGATGTCTTTGGCCAGCTCCGAACCATTCTGGAGACACTCCCTCATTCCACAAAGAGCCGGGAACTGGCGGATGCACTCCCTCCTGCACCCAAAGTTTCAGGTATGGTTCTCGATTCGCAAAAGGCTCGAAGATCGTTTGCCGACCTATCCGACCTTTCTAATCGATTGTGACTATCTCCGTCTGTTCCCGCTCCGATTGCCGAATGTACCGAAACGAAAATTGAACTAGATCAGAGCGAAAGAGCAGCCAGAACAGCAGAGATTTTGTTCCGAGAGAATCAGCAGCAGCTGCAATAGCGACGCCGTCACAGGAAGGGCCCTGTAATCGAGATCGTACACATTTTTAAAACAAACGCCCCAGACGGAAGTTGGAGAGGGTCTACCGCTAAAGCTGTGAAAGTTGTGGCGCCCGGGGAGGAAGTGGAATCCTACTAATGATAACAATAAGATGATTACTATAATTACGTGCAAGTGATCTTTGGCTGTCTATTGTGTTGCGTGGCTTGGCACAGGAACAACAAGGAGGATACGCTTCTTCGTTGTTTGTCCTGTTGTACACAACCTTCACGACAATGCGTAGCTGTCCTGAATCCTCTGTCGGCTGTCTTGTGTGCACAACCTTCACGACGATGCCTGCGGTTCGTACAGTGTATCGTCTCCTGCTGCTACAAGTGAAATCTCACGGAACCTTCTTCGTCGAATCTGTTGGAATGGTTGCTGAAGCTCTTACCAAGGTACAGTAGCTAGCGGTCATAGAATATCATTTCTTATTACTGTATACTTTGATTGAACTCAATACTTGGTTGAATCTGGATAAGTGCAGCTTTCCTGTTCCACTGGCAACAAATCACCTGTAAAGATGCCCATTTCGGTAAGCTTGTCTTCCATGGCTGCAATGGTTTGGTCGTCGGCAACTTGCTCTTTGGTAAACAACCACAGCCCAGAGCCGTTGGTGTCCAAGAATGAGTTACCTTGCTTGGTGGTGCAAAAGGTGCGGCCATCTACTGTCTCCTTGACTTCAGTTGGTTGGCCTCCACTGACGATGGCCCAAGTGTATTCATCTCCATCCTCCCCGAGGGCCAAGACCCAGTAAGGACCGGCAACCGCTGAAAACGCAACTTGGAACAAGCAAGGGGCAACTTGCAACGAACCACCATCAACTTGTTGGGCACATAGGTCAGAGAAGAAGGAATCTGAATCTGAATTTTGACGAGGGCCGTCCACACCACCTATTGTACCAGAGTTTTGAACTTGAATGAAGCCGTCGTCCCTCTCATTGTAGGTGGCAACTACACAATTCAGTTGATCTTCTGATTGGTAGGGATTCACTTGTTGCTTTTGAATGAACCAAGACTTCTCTGTGTACTTGGTAAGATTGAACTCGCCTGCGGCTAGTGGAGTCACTGTTTCACAGTTGTCTCTTTCACAGCCAAAGAAGGGTACCCAGCAGAAGTGGTTTGGGAGCTCAACCTGCAGATCTCGTTGTGTTGACGAGCTTCTTAGGTAGGAAGTTGGATCTTCTGCAAATGCAGTAGAAAGGGCAGAAAGGGCAGAAAGCACCAAGGCGGCGCAAGTTGTGGCTTTCATTTTGATTGTTAGATTGTTTTCTTTCCTTGGTCTCTGTATTGTGAGCATAAGGAGACTGCAGCCGAAAGTCACAGGCCAGAGCTGAGCACGACCTAACTAAAGGTTGAAAACCAGCGGGTTCAGTAACAACAACTATCTAACTTTCACTGGCTAGATCTAGCTAGTAGCCGGCTACCGGTACTTCGGAGTAGCTTTTGACAGGGAGTGCGTGTGCGTGGCTTATCACCGGAACAGTTTTGGGTGACTCATCAGTAACTGTTGTTCCACACGATCACCTTGGCAACTGGAAGCTTTATCTAATCACCGCCCGCAATCCCTCCTAAATGCAACTTAATTGGAGTTACAGGCATACCGTAACCACCCGCCAACCCTTCAAGCAAACAGCGTTCAAGCCTACCCAAAGCAACATGCTTAGCGCTTGCCTGTGTGCATTGGTCGAAACTTCGTACGATGACAGCAGCGCCGCCTCGATTTTCCAATCGCAGCTTCCCTAACTTCGTGGAGGATACCGGTACAGTCGTAGCTAGCTGCGAGCTTGGGCAGAGCATCCAAATTGTTCTTTTAGGCTACTGCTGGTCAGACTCTTCTACATCCTTCCTGCATGGTCAACTGATCCACCAGGTACCAGCCAGGTACGGATACCCTCGAGCTTCCGTGCATATTGTTGTCATGTTGTCAGTTCTTGCTACGGCACCGGTACCGGTGCCGGTACCACTAGGGGACCCGAAAGACGGGCCTAGCTAGTTGTCAATTCTTGTATATTCCTGGAAAGGAACAAAGTGCTCACCCTCAGCTTTACCGTACATGTAACTTGAAATGAGAAAGAGTGTTCTTGCTGCTAGGTAAAGTTATCTCGACGAAAGTCAACTATACTGTGCATGCATCAATTATTCTTTGTAGACAAAATTCCCAAAATTTACTCAGTCTCTTCAATGGCTCCATTGACCAACTTTTCAAGATTATCTCCAGGGCAGTCCTCGTCTCCCTCGCGGCAACCACAGCTGGCCACGCCCTTGCACCAGTCGTCGATTCTTTCTAGGAACTTGGGAGAATCTTTCTTGGGGCACCTGCATGCGCTAAGGTCATCCCCACAGCATCGCGTTGCACCGTCCTTGGCGTGTTCTACGAAATCGTCAACATTGCGAAACTTGCAGATGGGCCACGGAGGCATGACAGATCGAATGCAGGCCGGTCCGTAGGCGTCATCCTTGGGGCATTCAAACAAACACTTGAAGCAGAATCCCTCGGCTGATGCAGATGCGGCCAACAAGAGCAACGCTGACGCCACAATGGCAAGGAAACGAGTGAAAGGAGCGGCGACAATCATGATAAGCAGTTGATCAACTCCTGTCTTCTGGCTTGATAGAAGTGGGTCAGCAATCAGAAAAGAAATCGCAACAAGAGATTTAAAGATAGATGATGAGTGAGCACGTGCCTCATGCTGTCGCTCTGACTGGATGCAAACCTTGGACTTTTTTAGCTGCATCAGTCATCCTCGCTGTCTTAATTCGAACCAAAAGGCGAATCATCAATCGGATCGAATCGAATCAGAATCGAATCATTCAATCGGATTCAAGAATTCATTCACCCTATCTGTCTCCCTGAAGGATAGGGTTTCAGAAAGCCCGGGTACTGTACCATGGAACCGGTACTACTACCGGTACATAGTATAGTACCTATCGGGATCGGTCGGGTTGTCACACATTGTCAAACCCACCAAACTCTCCACAAAGACCATCAACGTCCCAGGATTTAAGTATACTCCACTAAATGTTGTGCAATCAAAGGGACCATCGCACAATTGGCTTCTATCATAGTTCCACAATACCAGATATCAGTCTCGTGCTTCCAGATTTTAACAGCGTGACCTTGCATCTTCAGCAACCAGCCAATTGGCGGTGCCCGGCGTTTAACCCAAAGGCAGTCTTCCAACATGTGCCTGGGGGCTTGGCATCACTCTTCAAGATGCCACCCATAATCAATGATATCTTGGCTCCATGCGGTACGATATAAGGCTGTGGAGCTGTGGGCATGTGGCCATGTGGGCATTGGGCATGTCCCTGATCCTGAAAGAAAGCTGGTACGCGTACAGTCCTCGACTACAGTACTGTACCCTGTTTTAGGGTTTATTAGGATTCTATGCATAAATCCTTCTGTACCCTACTCAGTAATCAAGAGGATTACTTTAAATCCCGGATTCCCCGTATTCACGATTATTTCTTACTTGAGACACACTTCTGCAGTCTGCGTAGGATGGTGTACTGTACTCAGTACTGCGAGAAGCACCCTTTACCGGTACCGGTATTATTTATAACCGGTACGCCTGTTCCGAGTACAGTACTCTGACTCAGTATAATTGAAGTTGTTGTAACAATGACTGCTTATGTCCAACAACCTCCCTGTGTGCAATGTGCAAGTTCGTATTATTAGTACCTAGCTAGTTTGAAATTGAGAATGTTGAAGAAAGGGTCGTGGTGAGAGCTCGTGTCTGGGCTGTACTCTACAGCTTACAGCCACGGTACGGTACTACTAGTATACTCTGACAGCTACTCTGACTCATTCTTGTACCAATAGCTCTGTAACAGCTTCTGTAACAAACTCCAAGCTCCATGCGGCTTGCGGTCGTGCTGCTGTGCTGAATCAGCAGGGTCGAGGGCATCTGTCGGACGAGTATTAAGGGCCGACTTGGAAAGCTGAGTCACTTTCCTGCTATAGAGCTCTCCGCTTGTTTGCTCGGAATGGCTGAAGTGGCACCACTGGCAAGCGCTGTGTTGTTTTGCTGGGATGCGTCGACATTATCAAGCTCCTTATTTCCGAGATGAGCCCGACGATCAGAAACCGTATACAGCTCTTGGGCTGCTTTGCTTTCCATAATTCACAACGCAAGATGCCAGCCATCCAGCCACTTCTTGCTTGGTATCGAGGAATCGCGTCGAAATCGTTGACTCATCTCAAAGCTTTCTTTCTCCAGCTCACAATGTTTGCGCCTGCAAAAGAATCAACCACAGATAAGCAAAGTACGCATAATATATATCATCATTCAGAGTTCCAACAACTAAAATCTAATCATGCACGACTTTCCCATCGGCCAAATATGTGTTCGCGTTTCCAATGATCCCTTGGACAAGACCTCGGATGTATCGACGTTGGGATGCCCCGATCTGATGAATCGATGCGAGAGCTCTTTTCGAGAGGCGTTTGGCCGCACCGCGCATAAAGACTCTCCTCCCAGCAGACGATCACTGTTTCGAGTGGTGAGCTTTGAGAGCAACATTGATTGTGCTGGCAACGATAGCGATAACAGGTGGTCCAATGGCGGACGCAGAGACGCATGCCCACCCTCCACCATTGTCACACCCATGAGACTGAAAGAAGATACTGCAAGTCCACCAACCACCATCTACGCCCCTCACCGATCTGATGGAGCAAGAAGGTCACGGCGGCGCACAAAATGAATTTATTGCAGGCAGGTAAACAGGGACCGACTGCTCAATCAGGAAACAGCTTTTGGCAACTGGCTGCGGTGATATCACTGATCCGAATGAAACCGCAACTGCATAGCTTGTACAAACATAATAAACTTAGACTTCATTTTAGAAAGGAATCCAGCAGTTAGTCGATCAACTAAACCTGTACTCCAATCAAGCAAACCTGAGACTCTATGTAGCTGGTACGCACCATACCACAGCGAGCAGAAGCAGTCATGTTGTCATAACGGTTGGAGTTGATCTGATGTTTTTATTGAAGGCTACCAGTATTAGCTAGCCAGGTGCACCGGTGAGTCAGTTTCATGCTGTTTGGGGTTGACACTACGAAGAGGTACCGGTAAGTGCAAAACAAAGCTGGGGAGCATGTGGATGTCATCGCCTTTCGCATCATGTGCCGTCTAAGAGACTTTATGGGGGGGTTAGGCAGCAGCGCGGGGGAGGGAAAAGAAAAAGGAAAGGGAGAGGGTTATCAGTTGGATTCCCAATTCCGCCGTTGAGAGTGTGCAGGGCATGTTCCAGTCATCATGCGACACTGGTGTCACACGAAAGAGAGGGGAAACGGCAATGACCACCGGTCTTCGCCCCTGACTCTTAAGTCACCCCATTGAAATCATGTCTGAAGAACAAGTAAATACGTCAGGAAGTACGACCGTAGAGGTTCGTTGTTCGTTGATGTCAAATTCTCAAATTCAAATTGATTCAACGGATATTCCGACTGGCTCGTCTTTCCCAATCCTTCGCTCCAACCAAACCCTCCCATTATTATTTTCAAAACCTGTTGCTGGTGAGTGTTGTCGGTGTTGTTGTTGCTGTTGTTGCTGTTGTTGTTGTTGTTGTTGTTAGCCACAATGGCGACCATGGCATGCTACTAATCGTTCGAACGTCGTCCTTCCTCTACAGACACTCCTTCCTCTACCGACACCGTGACTCCTTCCTCTACCGACACTCTACGGACGATCCTTCCTCTACGGACGATCCTTCCTCTACCGACGCCGCTACCGACGCCGCTTCCTCCACCACACTACTGCTGGTCTATTTTGTCTTGAAGTCAGCGACTACTCCCTTGTGCTACGGACCTTCGTTTGCTTGGTTTGCTTTGAAGTCAGCGACTACTTCGGTAGGGGCAAGGCACTCTGCAACAACAGCTCACACGAAACTATCCACCATGACCATGAGGATCGCTACAAGTCCTTCCTTCTCCAAGTGGCTGCTTAGTGTAAAGAGATTCCCATTCAATGAACTGAGGGCAACAAGGCATGGGTTCACCTGCAAGTATGTGATTTTCGAAGGACAGTATGCACCAGATCGCCGATTCAGCAACAAGGAGAAGCACCACTGTGCTCGCGCAATCGAATTTACAGGGCACACTCTTGAGGAGATGATCTTGGAAGGAGGATGCAAGCCATGTGCCCCTACATGACACAACATTCATGGATTACATGTACTATTGCGACCTCAGAAAGTACGGCCATTCGTACAATGCTGTTCGTCTCCGTCCCTTTATGAAATGCTGGTGGGAACAGTGGCTTGTTTGGGAGGGAAGGAATGTTCTTGAGTGCATCTATAGGTTGTGAGGAAAGATCAGTGAGAGTATGATGTTCTCCCTTAAGGACAGAGTGTGATGGATGCTTGGAATATTTTGTTGCCACTGTGGTAGACTAAACACAATTCCTTCAAGAAATTGGCTGAGATGAGTGACTGATGGTTGTTGATTTCATTGGCATTACTCAGATGATATGTATCTGCTAATTAGAAATGAATTGGTGATATGGATTGTTGTTGCTACTTATACCCAGTAATCTGATGGCAATATGATCATGGGTGGTCTCCTTCCTTGAGTCAACCACTGGCAGTAACTCTGACAGCAGCCATTCGTGGGGAGGTTGTGGAAGAGATGGCGTATGGTTGGAATTGCCGCATTGCATGGCAAGTTGCATCAATTAGTTGTTGTTGTGCTAGGTATAGAATATTATCTACATAAACATTTCTGTTTGTGCTACAGGAGGAGCTGCTTGTGAGGTGGATGGGTGTTATTTGGCTTGGGAACCGGTTTGGTTTGGTTGGTTGTGCGTGCTCTGCTGTGGGTCGGTGGTTTCTGTCTGTACAGCAACACACAACACAATATTTGGTGCATCTTTGTCTGCTGTGGTTGAATCAACAAAAACTTGGAAACTTTCCAATACTCCTGTTGGCAGGCTCTTGTATTGGAATGTTCATCGACCAGCATGCTATCTGATTCAGGTAACCAACTCGAATAATTCAGTAAGGTACACCTTTTCCCTCGCTGAATTGACTCCTCTCCTACACTGATTCTCGACAGAAGCTCTCTTGTATCTTCTTGAGTTGTATCTTGCAGTCGGCAGTTGAGTGCGTCCAGCTTCTTTTCATTCCCCATGGCCTGGCAATTGTCATGGAACGCTTCTAACTTGGATTCTCCTCTCCTTGTGGTACCTAGCTTGGCGAGGTTGGTGCTGATGTATCATACATTGCCATTGCGCCAGTGGTCAGACAGTGAGCTTGCTCAAGCAGTTTCTACGCTGGCTGGTATCAGAAGTGAACAAGTTATAGTTCTTGGCTGGATCCAGTCGCCCCTGTCTGTCTGGCTACCATCACTGGCTGTCACTTTTACCTGCAGAACCACTGCTCAACCTTGCCTATGTCTTTGGACTCATCTCTTCTTAGATTTGGAGTTACATCTTGGACCTTGGAGCTTGCTGTCGAGATCTCTCTCAGGGTAGTGCTTGCATTGGAGGACAAGAGGCTATGTTTCAATGCATGGAGCATTCTCATAGTCATCTGGTGAGTATCATACAAGCAATCCAAGAGTCTGCAGTGCTTGAAAGTATCATGTGACCCTTCTCAAAGTTACAGATCCTCTTCTCAGAATGACAACGGTCAATTTCTCAACTTCTGAAGAGAACTCCCATATCATCCTTGTTGGCCAGTGTCCTGTACATTGCAGCTGGATTAAGTGCGCCTCCTTGCTAGTGCATGCTGCATGAGAATGGATGTCTTGGGTGTAGAACGGAACTGCTGAAGCAATCTACCAGTCTCGTGCGCTCCCAAACAGCAGCACACCAAGCGCTTAGTCTTGATCCCTGAAAGTTGTGGTTCAGAAGATTCTTTGTTGCATTTGACACTTTTGATCTCTCTTGTGTGGCCTTTGTTGTCACTTATCTCCAGATTCCTGTTGAGACAAGCAGCTAAGATGTCGGATGGTGTCACCAAGGGGAAACTTCTGATGTAGCCATCCTTTTGAAGAAAGGATCGGTCTGTTTGACTTCTTCCAATAGGAGTATGATCATGCCTAATAACTCGTCTTTGCTTGTAGATGACCGGCTGCGAGTTGCCTTGCATAGGTATATGTCCTCGATCTGTGGCAGTCCTGTCCAAGGACAAGCCTTCTTGGTGGCTTTGACTCCCAGGATATAGGAGAGCAGCATGCTGTGGGATTGTCACAAGACTTCAGCACTGTTGGCACTGAACAATCTCTGTCAGGAGTAACTTCATTTCATGACTTATGCACAAGTGGAGTCCTGTACACACAATAGTGAACAGGTTTTGTTCTGTACTTAGTTCTTTCTTGAGTTTGCCAGGGCATTTCATGGACAAGTATTCCATTCGATTCCTCACAAGGAGGTAGTTTCTGGCCACAATGGAGTGGTAGTGATGGAGACTCGAATTGCTCCTTGTGGAGGGAACTGTCATTGTGAGTCCTTCAAAATGTTGTTGCAGAATTGTGGATTCTTGGCCTGATAATGGATTCTGACACTACTTGTCCATTTCTAGCATTGCCATTGTGCTCCTTCTTTTCTTTTTCAAACACTTCCTCTACGAATGTTACCTTTCTTTTACAATGCAAGCTGGATGTGCATATTTCCTTCGTGTTGCTGTCCATCTGTCTGCGTTTT